CAGTAGGTTAACTAGGAATTATTTATTGTTCGAACTTTAACACAAAAAGAATACAGCAAGCCAATGTGGCTGAATAGACCCGAAATTTATTTGGAGATTGAATAGAGTTGTCGAACTTCGAGCAGGAGAAGCTAGCTTCGAATCGGAGCTGGAATCTGAAAGAAACCTTTGCTTTTTATAGAAGATTCAGATACTGTGCGATCTGTTTCACGTCTCGAAGAATTTGATAATGAAACTAGACACACAGCTTTTTATTTATCCTGTTCTCACCTCCGCTTTTTCTATCTCAACACATTTTGACGCCAAGACTTGCCCGCACTTTCTCATACACCACGTAACTGATACTGACCGCGGGAATCACCTGTTTTGAAATAAATGGAAATCGAATAGCCGGAAAAGGAAACAAACCTTTAAAAAATTTGGAGTAATCCCTCGATATAATCCTGTCAGCCCTTCGTTTTGTACAATATGCTTGAACTGTCCGAACATGGTATCAGGTTGGGTGGTATAACGATGATGCCTGAAAATTGGCAACTATCTATAAGATCTACAGTATCCCTTACTCTTAGCTTGCAATCGCGTTCTAACAAGAGCGAAAGGGTAACTGGCGAGTTGTCCGCATGTAGAGCTGCATGTACCACATGCCAGCAGGGCTAAAACTCCGGGTTCGGTGGAATTCGTCTGCAAAAATATCCATTTCAAATTGTATAAGATGCTTGACAAACCTCATAATATCGAACATAGGTTCTTTTTAATGTTTCATAAATGGCCAAGTCGATTCCAGCATAGGGAATGATTCCAATCAGATTCGGAAGATATCCTTTGTAGAAGCATCGTATTCCTTCCTTCGTGTACATTTTGTGCGCAAAATGTATGACTCCTCGATCCAATTGGCCAGTTTTTCTGAGTGCTAACCGAGTTTTCATCACTTCCATGGGATAGATGGCTGATTGAGATATAGCTCCAGCAGCAGATCCTGCACATAACCTTTCAATTGTGCTTATCTCCTGACTGCCTTTCTTCTTCTGAATCATCCGTTTCAATTGGTCGTAAAACATGAATTTGATAGCACTTTCGGGAGCGATTTTGACCACATTGATTCCATTCCCTCGCCATAGTGACTTTAATCCACCTTCGGCATAAAGAAGCTTCAGACATGACATTACACCCAGTCGATTTGTTTTTGATGAGTTGACCTGAAGGTACCGTAAATAATAACGATACAAAAACACAACCTTTACCTGAAGATACACTTTGATTCTGTCGAATGGAGCTGTACAACTTCGTGACACTGCGCCAGCTAGGCCTCCTGCAACCAAATGTCTCCACCAGATACCATCTTGCATCTCTTGTTGACTAAAATCTTCAGGAATTTGGCTGTCCTCTCCGATGTCAATAATCAGATTATGCCGCCAAAAATCAACAATATCTTTGAGATCTGATGATGGATAGAGGAGCATGAAGTCTTGAAACTCCTTTAGACCAACAGATGCTGATCCTGTTTGATCCATTTTATTAACAATATCTTGTGCTTTCTGATCATCCAACGGAACTCCGATATCTTTACAATAATTTTTCATCTCAACAACATCCACTAATCCATCATGATTGCGATCCATATCGGCGAACATTTCAGCCAGTTTCTGTTCATTCTCGAGAACGTAACTCGAAAAACTGTAAAAATCAACTCGGCCTTCATCATCCGGACTCATTTTCGACATGATAACAGGGGCTAGATTTGATGGAATGTGAGGGGTTTCGTGCTTGAGAGCAAGAGTCAAATCGCGAATGTCTATTGTTCCATCGTTGTCTATATCAAGCCGATCATAGATCTCTCGAATTCTAAAACAGGAAAAATGCAATCTGAAAAAAACGAAGATAACCTACTGTTGCTCTTTTTCCGGTGACATTCCTCCATGAAGGGCTGAGTGTGTAGCGATTGCTGCCTCCTTTGTAATTTTTCCCAAAACTAGAGGGACATGTTTCGGACTTAGAAGAGGTGTCAGTTCATCTTTATAGTCTCCGAGATTCCCAACTTGAATGTATTCTGAAATTTTCTCGTTTATCTTGATGTCTGCGCATTGCAGGAACTTCAATTTACGTTCTTCATCGTCGCCGTCATGCTCTCCTGCAGCAGACGTGCTTGCCGATTCGGAATTCGTACCGATGCTCATACCTGAAAAATTTAATTTATGTTATCAATCCAATTACAAGAGAATAAATCAGAGTTCGAATCTTTTCGTTGGAAAATAAGTCGAGAAGATTACTGGTGAGTAAATAATCCGGAAACTACTGAAATTATAAAGCAGAAATTGACAAAAAAACAGTTTTTCGTCTGAAAACGTCAGGAAATAGAGAAATCGAAAAATCGTGGAAAATTCCGAAAATTTCTCACTTTGAATGTTCGTCGTCACGCCAATCTGCAGAATATCCGACTACCGTAATCGCGAGCATTGAGCTCGAGAGCTCTGAACAAGAGCCTGTAACAGAGAAAGGAATTTTTCTGAAAGAAATATGCAGAATTTCAAAAAATAGGAAATATTATGAAAACCATTTATTAGAAGACGGGGACATAGAATTCCTGAAGCCCCTTAATGCAGAACATACATTTTCTGTTTCGGTTTTTTGCCATATTCATAAAGGAAGAGATACAATTGGCGAACTATTTATAATTTTTATCTATTTCCACTCGAAAATCGCTCAATTTTCAGCATTCAGAGACGAAAATTTCAAATGAAAAAGTTTCGCGCTCAAGCCAAGTGGGCGGAGTTTCCCATGGCGAGAAAGCCCAATGTCTGCGTCTCTTATCAATTGTGCACACACCACCATCTCTCGCCGATATTCCCACAGTCGGCCGCGCCTATAAAAGAGAGAAGTTCGCACCATTTCGTCATTTCTTCCGGTTCTCGGTCACCTTGGCCTACCCTTTCCCCGCCCCTCATTCTGCTACTCCTGTACTTGATCGGTGTCTCGAGCCGAGTTAAGGCTAATAGTCCTTCCGGTGTATGGTAATGACTAGAACCTTGACTCTGCTCGAGTTACTGAGCTCTTTGACCCCGCCCCTTCTCCGTTTATTCAAGCTACCATTCCGTATTCTGCTATTATTCAAGGGTCTTCGGACCACGCCTTCAGTTGCCTCGTGATCCGCCGAATCTGTAATGGACGAATCACAGTCAACTGTTGGCACGGTCCTTGAAGTTCACCATTTTTGAAGGTTTGGATTCCTTTGGAAACTTGATATCATTTTGTAGAGAATATAGAGGTAACGGTTTATTCAGAAGATAGGAGCGAGGCAACGGATGACAAGAAACGGAAGCAAGAGGATAAGAATTCGATACAATAACTTACTAGTGACATAATAGCTTAACGAATACACGTGAGAAACCCAACCGAGTTTAGGTCTTTGGAGAGGAAAAACCTATGGATCACAAAAAAAATACAACGAGGAACTAATTACAAATTGCGATTATTCATGTTCAGGATTTGGTGGCGGGAATCGGGCGTTCAAATGAGCAAGTCTACGTTGACGGACTTCGTCTGCTTCGGGAGTTCTAACTGATGAAGTAGAAGGAACTGAAGACGTCGATGGGGTTAAAGAAGGTTGCGGGCCAGCCGACGTAGAAGGAGTTGAAGTAGACTGTGTATCGTTGAATAAGTTGCCACGGAACATAGAACGCGGGGCGGATGCCGTTTCAGGAGTGGATGGTGCTGGAGACGGTTCCTCAGATGGAACAGAAGTTGGCACACTTGAAGCTGTGGCGGTCTCTTCTTCCGAAGCTTCAGCTGTAGGAACTGGACGTCTGAGTGGTGTTATAGCAGCCAGTTGAACCATTTGGACTTGAGCGGATTCCAAAATAACCATAATGTTCTCCATAGCTTGAATTCTGGCAAGAATAGCATCTCGCATGTCTCCCTCCATTCGATGAAGCTCTTCCACGCTGAATCTATCGAAGTTAGGCCTTCCTGGTGGCTCAGCATTCGAAGATTCGCCGGGTGCAGCGTTTGGTTGTGGGATAGGTGGAGGTGGCATCATAGGGAACATTCCAGGCGGTCCTGCCATTGGCATTGGGGGAGGGGCAAGATTCTGAAAATCATCAAGGATTAGCGTATAATTTTTCAAGACGTGCTTACCATGAATTCTGGCCGATTCGCTGGAGCTGGCGCATAGAAAATTTGATGTGGGAATGGCCCAGGGTGTCCGCCAGCTTGTGCACCACCTACTTGTGCTCCAGCAGCAGCTTGGGGGAATCCGAATTGATGTCCCAAGAATGGCAAAAATGGGGGAATCCCCGCGGCTGGTGGTGCGCCCGCAGCGTTATTTTCAGCTGCTCCACCTGCGTTGGCTCCTCCGGCAGCACCATTTCGTCCTTCTGAAAAATCATTAGCGTTGAAAGACTACGATTCACAGTGTGCTGAAGATAACTCACGCCAAATATCCGTACGACATGTTGGACATGTCTGTTGTCTCTGGAACCAACTACGAAGACAATGAGCATGGAATACATGAGAACACGGCAGACGTTTCGGTGATGATTCAACTGTCATTTCTTCCCGACAAATGATACAAGTTGCGTCCATCGCTGATAGCTCATCATTCGATACAACAGGGAATTGACTGAAAACTGATTATTAGTTTATGTTATTCATAAGATGCAGATTACCTGTTCATTGCATTGATAGCTCGCCTCGATAGAATGACATCAAGGAATGCTTTGTGAAGTGCTCGAACAGATTGATAGAATGGGCGAACAGAGAATAGAGGGAATGTGTGAACACGAAGCATGATGACGGCGAAGAATCCATAAAGAACACAACGGATCAGGTCTGAATAATTAAATCAATCGAGTTTAGTCTTCAACAAAAAAACTCACTGATGAGAAGTTCAGCATAAAGTAAGTACACTGCTTTGTTGTCCCATGACTGAGGATTTCGCAGGTCGTGCATATGCAACAAGTACTTGATGGTGACATGGAGCACCAAAGCTAGAAGTATCGCATATTCGAATCCAAATACGATCTGAGAACTGGCTCCTTTTGTGATCGTCGAAAAGTATGCACTAGACACAAAGTAAGAATCCGCAAATCCTAGAGCAGCCAGAACAGTCATCATTCGGAGATGGAATCGGAGTGTTATCACAGGACTTCGTTCCATCATATCCACTCTGTCGTCTGCGAGCCAATGGAAACATTTTATGAAAAGAAGTCCAATGAATTGCATGACGAACATTGCGGAAAAATCGTCACGGAAAACTGTGAAAGCGAGACATGTTTCCAAAACCGCATGCCATGTTCGCTCCGAAAGGTGCTGAAAATAGATGCATGGAATTGACTTTCGAAAAAGTCAGCTCACTTCCGCTTCAGCAGCTCGCAAGTCTCCGAAAAGGATAGATTTGAGAAGTTGGAACATTAGATAAACTAGTACTATTCCTTGGAAATATAGAACTGCCATACTAGCATTGCTCTTCGAAAGATATACGATAGATGGATAAAACTGCTTGTTGATGACGAATGCATTCAGTACGGTGGCAGCAGTGGCCACACACGAGCCACCGATCATAAGGCCGGCTGAGACCCTCATTTGAATTTGCTGAAAGAATTAGAATGGTGGAATCGTTTCCAAATTAAAAAAAGTAAACATGGTAAAAAACCAAATAGAAAGAAATTGATAAGAAGTAAAGAAAATGTTTCGAAGCTTTATGCTGAATTTGAAAAAAGAATCATTTCAATCACAGGCGGGGGGACTACCACAAGTTATTTAATCGGAACCGAACTAAAAAAGACAAAAAGCTAATTCGTGAATTAGTGTGAAGAGGGAATACATATGATAGATGAAAGAAGAAGCAACCGGTGGAATCTTTTTCAGTTTGCATTTTTACAGGAGACACATTCAACGGAAATGATTTAGAAACGGAATGAAATATGGTGATATTAGGTCAAGAAGAGCACGAATACGACGAAAAACACCATCAGAACACCGAAGACTTGAATCATAAGCCAACGATTTTTGCTAATGTTCTGGAGGTATCTAACGAGCTCTGAATGGGCCATGTCGATGTTCAGGGCTGTGTCTTCGACGTTCGAATCAATTCTAGTGATCATTTCTCCTTGTTCGCTAACTAGTGAAGCCAGCTGGGAGAAGATTTGGCCAAGTTCGGAAATCGAACCTTCAATTGTAGCCATCGTATTGCTACGGGCTTGGGCATATTCCAAGGATGTGTCTCGCTGTTGCTGAAAACAGATTTTTAAAAAAAAAATTTGTAGGTGGGGGACATGAGATTTTGTAGGATTTTGGACACTCCACCGATTCCGAGGAAGGGGTTGTCGGAACTGTTTCATTGCTAGATGAAGACATCCACAATTTTTAGTCAGACTTTCAAAATTAAAGACTCACCATGGTTTTTTGAGATTGGAAATTATCTAACGCTCCCATATCCAAGGCGATGCTCGAAGAACCGTGCTGCTCGTCGTCTTGAAGGAGTTTAGAACGAACTGTAATTATAAAAACTTTTTTTTTTACAAAAACACTATTCCATCACTTACCATTCGCACCAGATGAAGATGATGGGAGTCCCATTGGAAGCGGAGTGTTGTTCGAAAACTTATCACGACGATTCTTCTCAGCTTTCATGGTCTCCGTACTGATTTCCAGGACACTTTGAAAATCTTTGCTCACATTCGCCAATTTCGACTGTAGTCCCACGACAACCAATTGACTGTGACCATTGTTTTGATTTTTTACATTTCCAGCACGTCTTCTTGAAAATCCTGAAGGGCTGCGATTTGTTTGTTGAGACCAGTGATATCGGTTTTGACGATAGATGAAAGATGGTCGATTTGAGATCGTTCTTCATACAAACTTCGCTTTTTCGCGAATTCTGCCAGTTTTTCCATTTTTGCACATGTTTGACTCAATTCACGTCCAATTCGTTTGGCGAGTTGATTGAATTGAACTGATTCCGCAAGCATCTCATGCTTTGGGTGTGGTCGAACACCATTGGCTGCTGCTTTCATCTGAAAAACTTCAGAAAATTTTCCGTGCGAACATCTGTATCTGAATTATCAGATTAAATTTTATAGCTTCGAAGAAGAATCTGTTTTTGTAGTTGAAGCACTAAAAATCAAGCTACTGAACTTAATTTCTTTCTGTTATTGATTTATGTTCTCAAATGTTAAAAATTACCTCATAAGATTTGGCAGTGGCCCGGAATTCAGAAGTTCTGTCTCGAGACGGCATGGTGATAATAATGTGATCCAATGGACTTCCAAAAATAGTCAAGGATTCGAGTGTCTCTGCAACTTTCAATCGATCTGCGTCGACAGCTTCTTGGCCTTCCGCTGTGTCGTAAGAAGATGCAAGCGCCTCCTGGAAAGACAAAATAATGCAAAAAAAAAAGAAAAACGGGAATTAGCCAGATGTGTATCTCTGAATCGTTCCGAAAGACAAACCTGCGCAGAATTCCAAAGTTGAGAAGCAGACGCGTTGAAAACGGTAGAGAAGGAGCTGTAGGCGATTCCACCAGGGCCAGCTGGCTTGTGATTTTTCTGGTCCGGATCGTAATCGAAATCAACTGTCGAGTAAGAATTGGGTTCTGGTATGCGTCTACGAGATCTAATGTTGTGAAAGTCCGACATCCGACATTGAAACAAGTTGAAACTTTAACCTTATTTAGAAGCAAGTGTTCTTTTGGTTTTCAAAAGTAGAATAAAAGGTATTGAGTGCTAAAGAAAAACAAACAGCACTAGGCAGACGGAACGGCAACGAAACCGGCTCGGCTTCGTGGAGAAGCAATCAATGTGGTCGGCGAGTGGTGCGTCTTGTTGCGTATGGCGCGCGCAGCAAACACGCTTCACAATGCAAGCCATTTTGATGATTTTCGTTGTTTTCCTTGGTGTTTTCGGTACTTTATGTAACAGAACCCTTTATAAATTTCGAAAGCAAAAAACTGTGTGCAAAAAGAGCTGAAACTGATGGCACTGTTTTCACAATTTCAGCTATTACCGTATGTTTTGGAACACGTTGCCGCTCTATTACCGTACCAGCCCGTAAATCGACACAATAAAATAATGCTTCCACTTCACGCTTCCGTTTTTGATTCCGTTTTTCATCCGTTTTCCAGTTTTCTGCTGAAATAAGTCATTCAGTTGTTTCCAGGAATGGTTGCCAACGTTCTGGTAGTCTCCTGCCTCATTCTTGGTGCTATTGCCCACCAACCACAACACTTCCCTGGATCAAATGGACAACAACCTCAACAGGTAAACAAACAACAATTCAAAAATAAGTAAAATATCATCACTAAACATATTTCAGGGTCAACCAGAACAGGCTCATCATACTCAACCAGGGCAACAACAGCAATTCGGTGGAGAACAAGCTAGAGATGAACAGTAAGTATTTTTCTTCGATAAATATTTGTTCGAATTTGTTTTCAGTCATATCAAAGAGCATTTGGATGGAAAGGTCGATCCAACAGCCAATATGACACCTGAACAACTTCAATTCCATTACTTTAACATGCACGATTTGGATAAAAATGGAAAATTAGATGGCGTTGAATTGATCAAGGCTATTACCCATTTCCATTCTGAGAACCCGGGACCACAACACACTCAAAATAATGCTAATGCGAATCATCAGCCACCTCCACTGCCAAGCGAAGTCGAGCTTGAGACGATGATCGATAGCATCTTGAAGTAAGAATTTGAACTTTTCAAAAGTTGTATTTTATGAAAACTCAAATAGCCCTTTTTCAGAGATGATGATTTCAATGCCGATGGTTTCATCGATTATGGAGAGTTCCTGAAGGCCCAAAAGATTCGGGAAGATCAAGCAAGAGCACACCAGGAGAATATGGCTAAAACCGGTGCAGCCACGCATTAATAAGCTCAAGTTATTAGACCGTCGATCTGCTTATTCAATTAGCCATAAATGTATCTTTCCGTCTCATTTCCACTTTCCCCGTTTCCAAAGGTTTCTCCTTCTCCTCCACCAATTCTACGTCTTCCAAAGGGTTCTATCGGCTGCTGTTACAAAAACAAACCTCTGAACAACCATCGGAACATTTCCTCGTCACTTTTAACATCTTAACTGGTACATAATAGTCAGACACTGTCCATTTCTCCCAGTCACTCCACGATTTTAGTCATGATTTTATCTTTTCTATAGCATTTGTTTTCCCGAACTTCCATGTTGTGATGATTTTCGACCCGTTTGAGCATAATTTATTTTTTATTATCTCGGTTTAGAGATTGATTTGTAAAATAAAAATTTACCATTCAGTTGCTTTTGTGAACACATCATTTCGCTTGCAGACAAGGAGCACTATTTCAAATATTGATTTTGGAATCGAGGTGACAAGAGGCGTGGCGAATGGGAAACTGATAATAAAATGTCGATACATTTGCAGTCTCTTGGGAAGGTTTTTCTTTTTCTTTCTTCTCTTTACGCAGCACATTCTACATTATGCATACAATGTTATTCACTTTTCTTGTAGTTTTAGCAGTTTTTGGTGAGATTTATTTCAATTGGAGGTATTATTCTAGTACAAAAATCGGAGTCGTGGAAGAGTAGCCGTTGCCGAAGGTCCCACGACGAAAACTACTATAACCTAAAAATATGTTTGTTTTCCGGTATTATTATTTCGTTTTTCGCTGATCATTTTTGGGTCTTTGTTTTGTTATTTTTCCTCAAAAAAGTAGGAAAATTAAACTTTTCCAAATCTTAAATTTTGCCGGAAAACGGACGAACATCGAGAAGGAAAATAAAGTATTGTCGAATTAAAAAAATTGGGACCTGAGAATTAGAAAGGCGCAGCTTTTTTTGATCTACGAAAAAGTGCGGCAAAAAAGTAATATTTCAGAGTTTCGCCTCGTTCGAGCTACTTTCGCGATTAAGTTCGGTTTTTCGCTGAAAAACAGATTTTAGAGATGCAAGCGATCATTTTCATACCAAGAAACATAAATTTTGTCCAGAAAATCCCACTAAATTCACAGAAATAAGTTTCGTTTACTACCGTAGTGTTTTTGGGACAAGGCCTTGAAAATTGACCGGGAAGCCGCCCGCGAATGTTTTCAGGTTCCACTTTTTTTTAATTCGACAATAAACATATTGGCTAACTACGGTAGTTCGGTCATGACCCAGGAAACCAAATTTTATCTTTCATAGCTCCGATTTTTGCACAGGAGCATGATAGCTGGAATTCCACTGATTCTTTGCAGGTACGGTAGCTCATGGAGCAACGTTTGCTGATGAGTCACAGGTGCACGATGAAGGGTAAGAATACGTGCACATAAAAATGTTTAGACTGACTAATTCTGATAACTATGAATCTGCACCAAGCAACTTTTTTTTCCAGGCATATCAAACAGCATTTGGAAAACAAAATAGAAGTTGAGAAACTGACAGAAGAGCAACAACGATTCCACTACTTCGCGTTGCACGATTTGAACAAAGACAACTTCATCGATGGTATTGAGATTCTGAAGGCTCTCACGCACGATCACGGAGAACACCGTAGGTTTTCTAAATGCCATTGGAAAGTTTGTTTTTGTGTTTCAGCCTCCGCAGGACCATCTACGGACGAAGGAGAAGCCGAGAGGCTCGTGGATGCAGTATTAGATGATTTAGATACTAACGGAGATGGTGTAATTGATTATGCGGAGTATTTGAAACGACAATAATAATAATACGTGCATGAAGTACTTATTGAATAAAATTCAAAAGTTTTTTGGACTTTTCTCTTTTTGAAGTTCTTCTAGCAACTGAGCAATTGCATTCCCTTCTCGAGCAGTTGGAATTTCATCTGAAACTTTTCAAATAATGATTTCGTATTCTTGTTCTGTCACCTACCGACACCTAACATCTTTCTTGCAATTTCCATTATTGTCCATGATGTATTATTTGTTTTGTTTTTCGTTCCTTCATCACTATAGAGGACGTCACCTTCGGAGCTCTGAAACAGATTTCAACTTCTTGAAGTCCCAAATAGATACCTTCAATATAGGGAATCCTTTGATTTTCGTCATATCGTACAAATGTTCTTTTTCTTTTGATTCTCCTTGTTTTCCAATTAAATCTCCGATTCGCCACATTACTGGTGGTACGTTGTCAGCTGAAGCTTACTATGAGAAACCCGCCTCAACGTTGAGCTCAATTATCTCGATTCCTGTAAAAGATATCAAAATTTTGTCAACTGTTAAATCATTTACCATAATGTCACAATTATTTTATTAGTTGAAAAATTTTTGATATCTTTCACACTAATCGAGATAATTGAGCTCAAAGCTGACGGGTTCAGTGGGTTTCTATTAAAGAAATACGGTAGTTGTCCAACAAAGAAACTGAAAAAATAACTCACGAGGTATCGAATTAATCAATTTTGAAGTAGCTGACAACTCCGATGGTCTAATTCCATGGCTATAAGGAATGAGGTTGAATTTAGGACGACTGTGTATCATCTCCAAGGGACTCTGGTTTCCTAGTCCCGGTCCCCCCCTCATTGAGGTCTGCAGCTGGGAAAGTTCGGGAAACATCGGCCCTTGAGGAGAAGAAGAATGATGATCAGAGGTGATTCCATGCTCATCTTCTCTTTCTTTACTTTTCTGATGCATTTCAAATAAATGGGCAACAGACGAAACCAGTTGAGTGATTGGAGAGTATTCCTGTAATAAAAACTCTAATAGAACACTCTAATAGAACGCCCCTAACTTTTGACTTTGAGTCAATTTATCTCACTTCCTGTGTACGATTTCGTAGTTTTGTCCACTGATAAAATATTGGTGACATTATAATATTGTGTCAGCTGAATTGAATTTTTGATATATCTGACACTAATTGAGATATATGGGCGCAAAGTTGACGGTTCGGTTCAGTCAGTTCAACAAAATCTCTAAAAAGATTACTGTAAATTTATTAAAACTAACAATTTCTAATCCCTGGTCGTATGGATTTCCAACAAGCTGATGGTGCATCGGCATCATCATAGGCATTCCCATCGGCATTCCCATTCCCAAACCCATTCCGAGCTAAACTTTTTTCAATTTTGTTTTTTTTTATCCTCCCACTTACCGGAATTTCTTGAAAAATTTGGCAATAGCATAAATTCAAAAACTGGGATAAGATGAGAATACAAAAATTGAGAGTCATAGTAAAAAGTGTAAATTGGAGAAAAGCGGAAGTGACATAATTGAGAAAAGTGACTCAGGTTCGGAATGTAGGTCATCCGGAAAATGAATATATGAATAGAAAAAAAGAAGATGTTACTTTCGAAGAAAAGATGTTTATGCACGGTTTCAGAAATCAAAAAAGTTCAAAGAAGCACGTTCAGACGGTTTCCGGATTCGATTGGATCAAAAACCCATTCACACAGATCTTATCGAGATCCTCTACATTTATAAGATGATGACGGATAGCATACTCCAGAACTGCCATTGATAAGAAAACGAATTGCTCAGCTTTCTGGATGATGTTTTGGTAGAACTTTGAAAATACAAAATTAAAACTTTACCATGCAAGCAGCTCCACGGAGCATACGAAGTCTGGCAATTGTATCCAGAACATCTACAAGTGGGGTTCCAATTGCATGAGAGGCTTCAAGACGTCTACAGAGAATATCAAGTGCTGCCAATGTGCAACTTCTACTGAATCCATCAAAGCAAATAAGAGTGATTGGAGTTCTCTGACTCTCCTCGATTCGTTTTTCAGAAATTCCCTGTTTCCTGACAATAGTTCTCATATGGTTCATATCAGATATCAGATCCAAAATATCCGATGGTCTCTGAGGATATCCCATTGAACCCCATCCGATATAAGCAATCAAAATCACTGTCTTGCTATTTGGCGCTCCTTGTTTCTTCAGTTTCAACACGGCGGAATATGTAGTGGTTCTCACTTTTCGAATGTTATCCAACTCAACAGTCATATCATCAAACGTCATTGGTTCTCCATGTTTTGTTGGCATAAATGGTTTTCCGTTTTCGTCTACCAACTTGCAAAGAGTCACAACCACAACTGAATCTCGGTCATAAATTGAACGCCAAAACTGAGAAATCGTTGCAGAAATAGGAGATGGGGCAACGATGAACTTCCGAATTTCACGATATCCATCAATCCAGCTGGCATTAATGTAATTATGACCTGGAATAAGAATTAAAAATTAGAAAGGAAAATTATAGGATTGCAAACTAAAAGATATTCACAGTATTGATCAATGAGATATACAAAAATGTATATTTCAGTTAATTTTCAGTCATGTTGGTTAATTTCAGGAGTCTATGTTCAGGAGTCAGCTGTCAAGTTCCTTTGAAATCACTTTGAGAAATTTGAAGGGTGTAAAACAGACATAGATTTGAAACTTTGGATTCAAAAAAATTTTTGGAAAATCATAGTTTTTCGGCTATATTCCGATTTCCTAAAGACACTTGTTTTTTTTCATGTTTTACACCCTTCAGAGTTTTCAAAACCGAGCTCCAGACATTTAAAGACGGTCAAAATGGCTGAAAATCAACTGAAAAAAATGTTTCTGTACATCTTTTCGACCGGTACTGGGGTCCTGTGAGTGAGCATAATCTACCTTTATTATGAACGGCTCGAACACGTGTCTGCTCATAAACTTGAATTTCACCTAGTTTATTCAAGTCCGGATGATCAAAGAAGGCGTCAACGGTGCGGAGACGTGACAATGGGACAGATGCGAAATGAGAGAACTCCCTAGCGACGTTGGATTTGGAGAGCAACTTGATGAAAATTTCCAGTGGACGAGTGCAAGCGTTTTTCGTGTTCAGATCGAAAAGAAACTCGTTTTTATCAAGTGTAATACTGAAAAGCAAGGTTTTCAGACACTTTGAAATTCTGAATCCGCCGCCTTACACATGCCCACTTGTCAAATCGGCAGCACTGTTATAAGTGTGAAGTCCGATGGCAGATTCAGAAGACTTTGCACCTTCAGTTGCCATTTGTATTCGGTGAAATAGTTGAGCCAGCGCTTCCACATGCTGCCTGATCATTTTTTTGACCTATATGTCGTTTATCCAAAAGTCATTACGTTTCAGAAATAATTTATTCAATTGAAACAAAAAATAAAAATCTGAAAATACAAATAAATTTGAACACCGGACAACTACAAGCTCTGCCAAAAAGGGAATATGAACACTAGAAAATTATGCTCAAAAAAAATATGTGTATGAAAGACAACTTATAAGGTAATAGATTAATTTTTGTGAACCCGTTTAGGTAATTATTTAAAGTTTTGAGGAATTATTATATTGAATTTGAAAAAAAAAACATTTGTACATCTTCTTCTATTCTGGTCTTAAAATGTACAAAAATGGGTTGAGCTGGTCTGGACGTTTTGCAGGAACGCGGTTGATTTCTGGAATAGGAAATTATACATTTTCAATTTAAAAGAATTTAAAAGACACAAACCTTGAACTATGCATTTCCTCCATTCCTCAAAGGTCAACTTCCGATCCCTATCCATATCACAAGTCTTGAAAAGATTTCTGGAGCACTGTCTTACATTTTTCCATTCTAACAAAACTGCTTTGAATGGTTTCCATTCGCTTCTTTCCAAAACTGTATTATGATTAACATTGAGTTGATTGAACTTCCATCTGATTGCAGAATCTCGACTGACTTTCGTTGCATTCACTCCATTCATTATCATTTCTGATTTGATTGTTGATACCAATCGTCGAAGGAAACGAGTCCTCCTCTTTTCCTTACACCGATTATTTCTTCTGGCTCTTTTTGGAGGAGCAATTGTTGTTAGAGCAGTTTCTTCACATTTCGGTCGACCTCGAGATGTAGAAGATCCGATTTTCGGCTCTCCAGATAGCTCGTCGACACACCAACAGTAGGCAGATACATCATAACATTGAACTTTATCATATAGTCTGGAAGTATTCATAAATTATTTTAATACTGTAGGCGCGAATTCACTCACAATGCATTTTTTGGGGAGCAAGTTGGAATATAAATACGGGAGTCTCCATTCGTCTTCCTTTTCAACGCTTTCCTTCTCTGTGAAGCACAATCCAATCGGATGACTTCTTCAAATCTGGGACGGACTGATAGCTCATTCGTATCTGATATATCAAGCACCCCTGAAACATATTGAATAATTTGTTCTAGATTTATTAAACAAGAAACTTCTGATGAAGGCAATCAGTCTAATAGACTATCATTCAAACCATCTACTTTGTGCTCAATTATCTCGATTTCTTTGAAAGAGACCAGGAATGTGTCCACTGATAAAATATTGGTCATGTTATGATAAATAATTTATCAGTGGACAACTTCTCGATACCTTTCGAAGGAATCGAGATAGAGATAATTGAGCTCAAAGTTGATATTTTGGATAGGCTTCTATTTGAGGAAATACGGTATCTCATTTCCTGTAAAATATATCAAAAAGTGATTACTTGATAAAATATTTTTGATATTATGATATACACTTTAGCAGATGATTGATTTTTGATACCTTTTACAAGAACTGAGATATATTAACTTAAACTTGACAATGTTGGGGGTTATTCTATCACAGGCTTTACGATATCTCATTTCCTTTACTATTAACTCAACTCACCTAATCCACCTTTTTGAGCAATGGGGTTTCCATTCACCAAATATATCCATGCCAACAATTGAATATATAAATGTTCAGATCGCATCCTAAAAATATAAAATCAAAAAAGGGGAGACTTTGATATTCATAAGATATGTGCAGAAATTGAAAATAAGAGCAGCTGTCCGTTAAAAAAGTGAAACTGAGTGGGAGAGAGTGGGGGAGAAAAGAGAGTTGTAACCAGATTAGGCTGCACTTTTCTGCAACGCGTGTGGGCTGAATTCAAAGTGACGTGGGTGTTCTTCTGGAGCAAAATCATTGGGGTTGAACAGAAAGAATACCATAATTGGCCACCTGAGAAGAAAAAGAAAAGGAATTGAAGCTAGAGTGTTACATGTTTCAACGTCACCGCTTTTTGGTCTTCTGAAACAGAAGTTCTGATGTAATCGAATACGCGTTTCCGGAGAAATCTAAACTAGAAAAGAAAAACAAGTGACATTGATTTCTTGAATTTCAAGTTTCTTGAGGTCAAACCTTGAACTTCAAGAACCAGTTTGAAGATTCAGAACTGGAAAAAGATTGATCATGCTTTCAAACCAATATAAAGTCGTTATGTTTTCTTGAATATTTGGTTTCTTTTTCAAAAAAAAACATCGGCACATTTTTGGTAATTTCAGAACTACAAGCACTATTTTCAGAAAGACGGCCAGCCGAATGCCAAATATAGCTTTTAATTTTTCAGGAAATTCGACTGGTCAGCTCAATGACAAATTCTGGGTTCAGTGGTCCCAGTTTGGCTCCGCCCCACTAGTTTTTTTTCACCTGAAGGCGTCTGGGGATTTCTTCAATGAGGCGTGAACACCCCCTGGTTTCCGATGGTGAAATCATTCTTTGCCCCCTTTTTTTGGCATCCACCTACTTTTTCCGGTGTTTAGCAACGCTTGATTCTTCTAAATGTCACATCACACCTCCACCTTTTCCCCTATTTCGGGCATTTTCCGAATTTAGAAAAAATAACAATTGTGAGGAAATGACATAATTTCGTGGAATTAAAAAAAAGTTCCCAAGAAAAAGAGGAAGAAATAAAAGAGGTGTTATGGGGCAGAACGAACGAAAAGTAGATGGAGAGGAGGTCAACGGCCGATCGGCTGCTGTTTTGAGAATCTCATAAAAACGAAGAAGTATCCAAAGTCAACCTCTCCACTCCAGTGTGTGTTTAATTGACGATGCGACGACCGAAGCCAAATCGTAAAATTTGGTTTTGAAGGTTTTTCTAGTAAGAGATCCATTACTCACAACACCCTTCCTGTTTTTATTACGGAAAAAAAACAACAAAAACATGTGGATGTGAAAGATCTCGTTTCTTGGGAATATATCGGTGATAGAAAGTTTAAAGTTTGTGAATGACTGGAGCCGACCTTAGACCTGTTGTCAAAAAAAGTCACATGGAGGTAAAATATATATTGGTAGGTATGACAAATGTGTTGGAGTCGAAAAGATACGCAAAGTTAATAAGGATCTGGTCTCGGTGGCAAAAAGTGACCATACAAAGGAAGTTCAAAGCATGGAATCAGACAATTCGATTACGAGTAACTTGCAAAACTCAGATTACTTCAGTACACTTGCTTTTTTTGCATCTGATAAATCATAGAGAAATTCCTCAATAATTTGATGCGGTGGTATTAAAATAGGTGATAAGAAACAATTAAAAGTGTTGTGAATTTTGTTTTATCAATCGTAGGAATTCGTAAGAAAAATCATTCGGATTACTATATGAGGACGTTGAGAACTCTGGGTACTAGAAGAAGAACCAAAAAAAAGGGTTCTTGCATTCTAAAATTGGAACTGGCATGTCCATCAAAAGTGAGAAACGATGATAAGGTGTTGGGAAATAGAGCGAGAGTGAAATGATGGCTCCAGACAGACGTTGATAGTCTCTCGATTTCGTGGCGCCGCGCTCTCATCACTGTTTCTCTCTTATCATTTATCACCAATTGAATATTCAATATTCAAGTGGTCATCTGTTTTGTTTCTCTCTGCAGAATAGAGAGTCTGAAGATTGGAATGTGGGCGGAGTCAAGAGTCAAGAAGTTGCTGATAATATCACATAGAGGTAGGAAACGTTGAGTGAAGTTTTGAGCAAAAATGGAATCTAAAAAAAGAGAATAGAATTTTGAGAAACTTGAAAATGGAGAAGAGGGTGTAGAGAGACGAACTAACTGACGGGACGACGAGGTAAATAATGTAATCTTTTGAGCAAACGATCTGCGCACTAAAAAATGGAACAAAACCTGAGGGGAGATGATTTTGGATGATCGAGGAGTAAATTGAAATTTAAGATGGGCACACTCGGAAGGCGTGGGAGAATTGGAATGAAAAAAAAAAGAATGGAAGAGGGTGGAGGAAATTAGATTGAATTGGAGAAGGAAAGGGCCTCTGAATAGATGAAAATAAAAAACAAAAACAAACATGTAAATGCTCTTTAAAGAGTTGTGCCAGTAACTTTACAAGATGGGCCATATCCCGTTTGTTTTATGTGAAAACTAAGTATGTGTCGAAAAACGAAGGCATGTGATCTATGTGAAATATTCCAGAAGTATTGCAAAACGTTTTTGCATTTATGAATAGAGATAAGAATTTGATATATTGCTCCGAGTGAATCATAGCTTCAGAAAGTTATCGATTTCCACCAGCTTTCTCACTGAAAAAAGTCTGATATGTCAAGAACGCAAAATACGAAAAAAAAGATCAAAACCTTTAATTCCCTAAATCCGAAAATCATTGCGTCCACGATAAAGTTAGTTCTAAAACTTTGAGATAATCCTACAACAGATCCTTGATAGAACATCAATCCGATTTTCGTAGATTACGTTGTTTCAGTTATTCCCTTGTTTTCGTTTGATTGATTTGGATTTTCAACGTCAATCAAGGATTCTCGACGTCAATAGAGGATCTTTCGATTTAAATAATATTTTTTAAATCCTACACTCAAATGGAGATCACTGAAATTGTAACGATGAATAGAATAAAAAGCTAGGGAATTCCCATCACAGTGTTCGGTAATTTTAGCTTTCCCTAGTTATGTCAGTTATTTTTTCTTTTTTTAATAATTGAGAAAGTATTGACCCCAATCGGTTCAGTATCCCACGAATTTAATGGGTGGTGGACCTACAGGCCGGACTGATAAAAACGGGGATATCTTTAGAAATAAGTATCTTGGAAGCACGAAAATTGATAGAAATATAATTTTCTGCTCGGTTCGAAGCTACAGAAATTCGCAGAGCGATTCGTCAAGTCTGGGTATTGTTATGCTTGTCCAAAGAAGAACGACTTTGACGAGCGATAACTCAGCCCGAAATCGATCAAATTATTGGAAACTTGGTCGGTTTACTGATGATTTCTGTGAACTTTCACACTCCTAATTTGAGCCCAGTACAACGTTTTAACCAAATGTTATGTTAGTACAACTCTATAGTCTGGGTAATAATGAGCCAACAGGTAATTCCATTAATAGTTAGCATTTTTGAGAAGAAAAAAGTATCTCGATCCAGATTTTTAGATCTGGACAATCTCAAGAAAAAACTATAGTTAAGACGATTCTGAAAAGTGGAACACAGACGATGAAGTCTTCTAATCAGAACAAAGTGCTCATCCTCTTTGAACTTAGGACTCAATTCCCTAAACACCATAAGTCTTTTTTTTTCAAAGAAACCTCCCTTTTGCACATGTTTCTCAACCGAAAAAAACGAGACAAACAGTGAGAGTTCATAAAAAAAAACTTGACAGACTTGTCAACTTCTTCTCAGTGTCCGAACACTGGGTGGTCCGCGGTGCCAGGCACGTTTATGCCTCCGGCCGCCCACTCTTGTGCCATCCTAAAAAAGAGAAAAAAATGAAGAGATAAAGTGCACATCCATCCATATATTTATGTATAAGGGAAGAAATAAAAAAAGAAATGGAAAAAAGGGCTGCAAAAGCAGTAGAAAAAAAAAGAATGGAGGGGTATCACAAGTAAGTATGGAATTACAAAAAAACAATAGTAAAGCGGTTCTAATTAATTATCATATTGAACAGTTCCAATTGGATGTAGATGACTTCCAAAGTAGGTGAATAGTCTTCTGAATCCTTCTTCAAGCTCTTCCTTTGTACACGCAAAAACGATGCGGAACCATCCGAACACGTGGCAATTCTGATGAACTCCAGGAGTCAACATTACACCGGCAGTGGCAAGATTCTCGAAAAGTTCGAGCTCACCAGCAGAGTCAACAGTGGATAAAAGCTGGAAATGAAAAGAATTAGGCACTCATAGGCACTTTTTGAAAAATGGGGGGGGGGGGGTTATTGAGGGGTGCAAAAAAGAGGTTCACTTTTGAAAAATCAGCAAAAACGAAGATTCCTGCTTGAGCTGGAACAAATGGAATTTCCAATCTTTCCAAATTTTGGGCAGTGTAGCGATAATGAATGGAAATACGTCTGTTAACTTCAGAGTGGAACTCACGAAGCCAAACTGAAAAAAGAATATACTTGAAGAGTTGGAATCAACTTAACAAACCGGAATCAGACAACAAATTGATAGCAAAATCTTGAACGAAGGGAGAGCATGGATAATACATTTGAAGCTTGGTTGCGGCTCGACGGAGGCCTTCATTGGCAGAATGAATAACTGCGAACTTGAGTCCGGGAAGTCCGAAATCCTTACTGACACTCCATAACCAGGCAACATTCTCTGGACGGTGAACTCGATGACGATAAGAGAGGAAAGGACGGAATTTCGAATTTGGTTTGTCGAAGACACAGTTGGCGAACACCTCATCAATCACTACGTGCAAGTTTTTCGAAGTGGCCCAGTTGCATAAATTAACTACATCTTCTGGTGGGAAAGTGACTCCAAGGGGATTGTGCGGATTGACAATGATGACTCCAGATACTGTATTTTCCAGATCGGTTTGTCTTTTCAGCTCCTCCTCATACTTATTCACATCCAACCGAGGGTTTGAAAGATCAGTCTAAAAAAGTTTGTAAAATTTAAGATAGTTCTGAAAATTGGGGTTTACCTCAACACAAGCAACTACACATTGGGCCTTTTCCTGAACGTTTGAGATCGTTCCAGCGTAGGCTGGTCCGTTGGTCAGAAGAATATCTGAAATAAAATGTAGTAGGTCAAAGTCATCTTCCTTAATATACCGTCAGCTTCAAACAAGCAATAACTTGTAACGTCATAGCCAGTCCTCGTTGAAGGTGTCAATGCCAACTCATCAACTGTCACTCTGGCTCCCATGAATTCTCTGAAGTATTTGACCAACACTTCCCTTGCTTCTGGCCATCCTCCGCCTGGTGGATATCTCACAAGATGTTCGGTGTTTGGGAAGAACAATTCAAGATGTTTGAACCGCTCTTCCAAAAGCGGAGTGCAGATGTTATTCTCGGCAGTGCAAAAGTTAACGACTCCATTTGGGTTGCGTGTCGGCTCGTACTTGTCTACGTTCATCTTCAAAAATGTGGCCGATGCGTGGTCGATGGACTCGATTAGACTTTGACCGCGAGACGAAAGGAGTCCCTCATCTATAAATATACATTTTGTATTAAATATTATTTTTTAGTCTGAATATACGGGGGGATTTTGCTACCCATTTTGGTTTTTAGAAAACTTTGATTACCTTGAAAGTTGGGCGGGCTAAAAGACATTCGCTGTTCGAGGTTAAAGCTTTAAAAAGATAGTGGTTTCCAGATCACAATATAACATTGAATTTAGTTCTTAACAAATAGAACACGTTAAAAATTTTAGGCTTCAAGCTGAGAATACCGAAAAATCTGCGATTTATTCTATCAGATACGGTATAGATTCTATATTTTCAAACATATGTAGTACTGTTGTTATCGAACAATCTGTAATAGCAGAACTCCCATATTGTCAAGTTTGAGACCAATCAACTCAATTCCCGTGCAAGATATGAAAAATGGGTCAACTGGAAAGAAAAGAATCTGATTTTATGATAAACAATTTATCAGCTGACAGTTTATTAAAAATCTTTGACAGGAACTGAGAAAAATTAAGTTAAAAGTTAGGGGGCATTGGTTTTACAGCGGTTGTCCTAAAGTACCTCTAATGAAAATTTTTGGATTTTCTTACATTTTGAAGACGTAGACGACATATCCAAGCACCCGGCTTTTTCTCTGATACAGTTGACCAATAATTTTTTGAGTTTCCTTGTAAGTGAGAAATCAAGTGTTGCCAATCCATTGTTTTGCTCACGGAGTTTCTGAAAGTACGTAAACACTTGGACAGACATTTGCGGAACACTTACCTGCAACATGAGTCCTAGGGGGTCTGATTTGGGGATGAGAAGAGAGTAAGATCCTTTGATAACAAAATAATCTGGTTTGATCTCTATTTCCAACAATTCTTCGTCACTTGGTCTTATTGAGCGGTTTCGGGGAAGTGACAAACTTCTTCGGGAATCAGATTTAGAAATAGATGATGAATCAGATGGATCAACGAACACCAATTTCAGAAGTTCATCATGGGCCTCCGATGATTCCAAATCTTCATTGATAACTTCAGGTTTGACTCGTCTATCAATGGAAGTGTCTGTGCGAGTACGGTAGTATGAATGCAATTTCTCATTTGACTTTTTCCGATCGATAGAAGTATCAGTGTGGTCTGAAAAGATAGGATTAATTTCTCTAGCTAAACAATAATCCAACCTCGAAGTGATTTTGTACTACTGAAAAATGCTGCCTCGTCCATGCTCTTTCCAAGAATATCGTCCACAAATTGACTCACATCCAAATTCTCTGGATCAACGTCCGAATCACTGGATCCAATTTCTTCTTGGTGAATAGAAGTAATGTAGTAGTCGTCGTAGTTGTTTTTTCTGAAAGTAAATACAAATGTGAATGAGCTATTGAATTCAAAAGATCTTACTCTTTATCAGGTTCCTGGGCTGCGGCAGAAGTAGTTGGTTGTGAATCGAAAATTCCCTTGAATGCTTCATCTATGACATGATCTGTGATCCTCGTAGACCTTCTTCTCCCTCTGTCTCCACCCGACATCACTCCGCTATCCTCACTTCCAATAGTGTCCCATCCACTCCGATCTTCGTAGAAATTCGAGAATCTTCTGTTCTCATTGGTTGTAGAAGATACTGGACTGAATATTTCATCCATTGAAATATCAGCATCTTTCCATTGGTGAGTTGTTGTCACAGTTTCCGATACTTTTGGGGAAATGTAGTATGTTCGAGTAGATTGAAGCGGTGGTGATGATGTTGATGGAGCTGGTGCATGATCAGTTTGGATCGTCAATGGAGCTGAAAATTGATGGTTTAGGACTGTCAGAGAACGGAGCAAACCTTCTGGATTGAAAATGTCATCAATTGAAAATTCAGATGGATTCATTATAGTCAAAGTTCTTCTCTCTTCCGAGTCATGCGATACTGACTGTCTCTCTTCTCTTGTCTTGTTTTGAGTCTCGATCTGAAACAGAAAAGTTGACTAGAGTTGTTATAGAAAGCAAAACAACCATAACAAATAATTATAGCTGCATAGATTTAACATATTCCCATAGTTCTCACCTTTCTCCTCTTGATATCTTCCAATTCCTGCTCCGTCAGACGACATGCCGAACATTCACATTCTTCATCATCCTGTTTTCCAATCAGACACTCATTGAACACTCGATCCATGTCGATTTCTGCTTTCCGCTCTGGTTCCATTTGACTAGACCTCAATGTGTATGTGCTCGTTTCCAGAGTTGGGCGGTAGACAACACTGGACACCCATGTGTCATCCGGTTTTCGAAGATGCTCTTCTTCTGATTGATGTTCTTCTTTTTCTTCTTCACGATCCTTATTAGCATCATCTTCAATCAGTTTTGCCACCCATTCATACTTGATCTCTTGACTGATTCTCGTTGGGGATCGATAGTAGTCTTCGATTGCACTTTTTGGAGTTTTCGGAGCTTCTCTTGTTGCTTCGTCAGTTACAGTTGCTACCAAATTATCAATCCAATTATCAACTGGAAGAGCCAAAGGCTTTCTCATTTTCGGTTCGTACACTTGCGAATTTCCAGATTTGGCGAACGAATTGTTGAACGAATCATCAAGACTGATAGTGGAAGCATTTGACATCATTGATTCATTCCATTTTCCAGGAACCATAAGAGATGAGAGATTCTGATGTTTGCGTGGCGGAGGAGTAGGCGAAGTTGATGGCTGATTGGGGTCAAGTGATATGGCAGAAATTGAAATGACTGCGGTGTGCAAGTTTGTGGACCAAAAAGATCATCCAGAGTTGTGACTGTTCTTTTGGAATACGAATCAGTTGATATTTCAGTTCGAGTGGTTGTGGTTGTTGTGGTTTTTTCCGACGTTGTTTTCATGAACCCGGAATCTCTGGTTTTGTCGTCAGGAGAATCGTCAAGAGAATCATCAAAATGCTCCTTGCCAGATGAAGCGCTTGTATTAAAAACGTCGTCCATGGAAATATTCGAAGCATCGAAAGTTTGGTGAGAAGAGTGAGACTCAACGATCAAGTTCCTTTGCTTCTCTTCTTCTGCTTTCTTGAATTCCTCGATTCTTCGTCGAATGTGTTGTTCTTCCTGATCAACATCTTCGGATCGATTGGTTCCAGAATGGGAAACGTTAAAGATATCATCCAACGAGATGTTGGACTCATCGAAAACATGATGGGATGGATGTGGTTCATCTGATTTTTGAATATTCTTTTCCTCTTCTGCTTTCTTGAACTCTTCTATTCTCTTTCGGATGTGCTTCTCTTCTTCATCCACTTCTGAAGGTTTTTCATCATGCCTTTCCACAAATACATTATCCAAACTGATGCCGGCAGATTCTTTTGGAGCAGATAATGAAATAGTAGCTGTTGAAGTTTCATCAGGACTTTTCATCTCTATCGAAAACTCTTCTCTATGAGATGCATTGAAAACATCATCCATTGAAATATCAGACTCATCGAAAAGATGTTTGGTGGAATGGGTTGTCACTACGACTCCAGATCTTTGAGCATCTTTCTCCTGCTTTGCTTTCTTGAACTCAGCGATTCCACGTCGAATCTTTTCATCAGAAGCATCGAAATCCGATTTGCCAGTTGATCCTTCAACGAACAACTTGTCCAGATCAATACTGACAGCTGATGTTCGGTTTTCTTTCGGTGATTCTTCAATGTTCTCTGGTTCTTTTCTCATTTCATTATGGTCCTCGGATGATCTCATTCTGATTGATGATGTTGATGTGACACCGAGATGGTCGTGTGAATCTTCTTTTTCTTTCTCAGATGTCGTATTGAAAACATCATCCAATGAAACTGATTGCTCATCCATATCTGCTCGTTTGGTCAGAGAATGCTCCACAATTAAAGATTGCTGCGACTCTTTCTTCTGATCATCATCATCATGTTTCTCGGATTTTCCTATTCCTTGAACAAAAATGTCATCTAAATTGATGCCAACAGTTGAGACCATATTTTTATTTTTTGCACTGTCTTCCCGTTTTCCATCTCCGAGTTTCACACGTTCAGTGGAAGTGAAGTTGTCCTGTGAACCTGCCGGCTGTGCAGCATCACCAGATGGATCTTCCGAACCGTAGGCTCTTCGACATGTTGTACCAGCTTCCGTTTCTGTATAAGTGGTTGTTTCTGTTTTAGTTTTGGTATCTTCATCAGTGGTCGATATACGCTCCGGACGGCCTTCAGAGATTGATGGTTGATATTCGGATCGTCGAGAATCTGCGGGGGTAGTATTGAACACAACATCCAGTGAGATATTTGAATCATCAAAATTCTTTTTTCTGGTTTCTGGTTTCTTCGTTGATACTGAACCTTGAACCTCTTTGTCTCGTTTGACTTTCTCGAACTCGGCGATGCCTTTTCGGATCCTCTCGTCGCTGACATCACTGTTTGGTTTTGTAGAACTCCCTTGAAAGAAAACATCTTCGAGGGTGAATTGGCTTTCAGATGGATTCGTATCCACAGGATTGTTTGATTCGGTTGGTGATGGAAGACGTTCGGAATGAGCTTCAGTGGAGGGCTCTGGAGACGAACTTCTCCTGTTGAAGACGTCGTCCATGGAAATATTCGAAGCATCGAAAGTTTGGTGAGAAGAGTGAGACTCAACGATCAAGTTCCTTCGCTTCTCTTCCTCTGCTTTCTTAAATTCCTCGATTCTTCGTCGAATGTGTTGTTCTTCCTGATCTACATCTTGGAATTGGTTAATTCCAGAATGGGATACGTTGAAGACATCATCCATCGAGATGTTGGAGTCGTCGAAAACGTGACGAGATGGATGTGTTTCTTCTGATTTTTGGATCAGCTTCTCCTCTTCTGCTTTCTTGAATTCTTCCATTCTCTTTCGGATGTGTTTCTCTTCTTCATCCACTTCTGACGATTTCTCATCATGTCCTTCCACAAATACATTATCCAAACTGATTCCGGCAGATTCTTTTGGAGCATCCGATAACGAAATTGTAGCTGATGAAGTTTGATCAGGACGTTTCATTTGGGCTAAAGGCTCTCCTTCTCTTTGAGATGGATTGAAAACATCTTCCATTGAAATATCGGACTCATCGAAAAGATGTTTACTGGAATGAGTTGTCACTACGACTCCAGATCTTTGAGCATCTTTCTCCTGCTTTGCTCTCTCGAACTCAGCGATTCCACGTCGAATCTTTTCATCAGAAGCATCGAAATCCGATTTGCCAGTTGATCCTTCAACGAACACCTTGTCCAGATCAATACTCACAGCAGATGCTCGATTTTTATTCTCTTCTCTCGAATGAGGCTCTTCGCTAGTCTCCGGTGATCTCATCGAGACGGATGCGGTCGAAATTTCTTTTTTGTATTCATCAGATATAGTTTCCTTGACCACTGATTTAGACATAACCGCATCATCCGCAGGTTTTCCATCTTTATCGGATGTCGAATCTCTGTCCAAATTAATGCTTTCAGAGGAAGTGACATTTGGCCGAGGCGTGTTGAAGACATCATCTATAGAAATGTTAGAAGTAATCAATTTCGTGTGAGATGAGCGAGATTCTGGTTTCATTTGAATCTGTTTCTCCTCTTCTGCGTTCTTGAACTCTTCAATCCTTCTTCGAATATTCTGTTCTTCTTGAGCCACATCCTCGGACGGTTTGCTGCTATGTGGAAGCGATGTGTTGAAGACGTCATCCAAAGAGATTTTCGAGTCGTCCAACACATGATGGGAGACATGAGATTCAGTAGTCACATTGATTTGCTTCTCCTCTTCTGCTTTCTTAAACTCTTCCATTCTCTTTCGGATGTGCTTCTCTTCTTCATCCACTTCTGAAGGTTTTTCATCATGCCTTTCCACAAATACGTTATCCAAATTGACTTCGGCAGTTTGTTTCGTATCCACAGGATTGGTTTTTTTGGTTGGTGCTGGAACACGTTTGGAATGAGCTTCAGTGGAAGGCTCTGGAGACGAACTTCTCCTGTTGAAGACGTCGTCCATGGAAATATTTGAAGAATTGAAAGTTTGGTGAGATGAATGGGACTCTGTGATCAAGTTCCTTTTCTTCTCTTCTTCTGCTTTCTTGAATTCCTCGATTCTCCGTCGAATATGTTGTTCTTCCTGATCAACATCTTCGGATTGGTTGGTTCCAGAATGGGAAACGTTAAAGATATCATCCAACGAGATGTTGGACTCATCGAAAACATGATGGGATGGATGTGGTTCATCTGATTTTTGAATATGCTTTTCCTCTTCTGCTTTCTTGAACTCTTCCATTCTCTTTCGGATGTTTTTCTCTTCTTCATCCACTTCTGACGGTTTCTCATCATTCCTTTCCACAAATACGTTATCCAAATTGACTTCGGCAGATTCTTTTGGAGCAGATAATGCAATAGTATCTGCTGAAGTTTCATCAGGACTTTTCATCTCTATCGAAGACTCTTCTCTCTGAGATGATTTGAAAACATCATCCATTGAAATATCAGACTCATCGAAAAGATGTTTACTGAAATGAGTTGTCACTACGACTCCAGATCTTTGAGCATCTTTCTCCTGCTTTGCTCTCTCGAACTCAGTGATTCCACGTCGAATCTTTTCATCAGAAGCATCAAAATCAGGTTTCCCGGTTGAACCTTCAACGAACACTTTGTCCAGATCAATACTCACAGCAGATGTTCGGTTTTCTTTCTTCTCTGCTTCATCATCCTCTCCGACACCAATTGCGTAGTTATCATTTTGTCCATGTTCCGAAGGTCTCATTCTGATTGAAGAAGTGGATATAACATCAGGCACGTCCGTTGATCTCTTCGCTTCATTGGATTGAGATTCAAGATGACTTTCCGATGATTTCATCTCAATCGAAGCAGTAGATGTTACACTATTGTCAATCAATGGAATCTCCAAATCAAATTTAGGTGAACCAAACACATCGTCCATTGAAATGATTGATTCCACAGCTGCCCGAGACTTCTCATCAATGGTTTTCTCACTTCTGCTCATCTCCGTTTCTTGATGGGCTTTCGTGAATTCAGCTACTCTTTTTCTGATCTTCTGGTCCTTTTCATCAGTTTCCTGAGTTCTTGTAGAGTTTTCCCTGTTAGTGAACACGTCTTCGAGATTTAACGTAGATGTAGATATTTGAGGAGAAATCATTGGATCTTCACTTTTGTCCTTCAACACGAGCTGGGCTTTAGGTGAATGGATGTTCTTGTGTCGTGGTGGAGCCACAGGTGCCTCGCGATCTTTTTCAAAATCGATGATATCCACATCTTGTGCTCTCTGTTTTCGAGTTACAATGAACGTTTTTCTCTCTGTTTCCTTTGGAATATCATCTTTTTTGGTAGTTAGAGCAGTGAAAATATCATCAATACTATGATCAGAAGGTGGAAGTGGGACAGCTTCTCGAGATTTCCTTTTTTCTGGCTTTTTCAATTCATCTATACTAATCCTTCTAGCCACTGAAACTTTTCTAGCCGTAGATGAAGAGGTGGATAAAACTGAAGACTTTCGACTAGATACTCTAGTTTCCCATTCATTAGCATCGTTCATCATCTGACCAACCCAGTCGTCAGACGAGTTAAGCAACTGATCGCGAGCATGCAACTGAGAATCCCGCGAGTTAGTAGTCACCGGCGTCACCTGTTTCCGATCGATGGTTGTGGTTACAAGATGGCGCGATGACTCATCAACGATGGATGATTGGGATGGCGCAGTTGGAGAGGTAGGAGCATGACGACGACGAGTTGGAGGCGTCGGAGGTTTCGTTGTGGTAGATGGTGGAGATGATGGCTTTGGATTGAAGATGTCTTCAAGTTCGATGTTCACTGGAGATGTTCTGTGTCTTGATGGGAGAGTGCTTGCTCTCGTCTCCTGAAAATATAAAGTAAATATTGGAGATTATATGTAGAGTGGCAGCTTACATATTCCGTAGTTTTTGTGAATGATCTACTCTGTCTTGACCGACTCGCTCTTTCAATTCGAACCGCCCGTTCAGCTTCAGACATTCTAATCAATCTACAAGCATTGCATTGACACTTCTCATCCTTTTTGATTTCTGGTGGAGCCGTGCATGAGAATATCTGATTCAAGTCAATATCAGCAGGTGGAAGACCAATCATTGAAGAATCAGAAGCTCTTCGTCTCACATCTCGAGAGGTTTTTCTGTCATCTGAATGGGAGACAAATGGTGGACGAGCGAGTTTTGTTGGTGAAGATGGATCCTGAAAATATGAATTTGTGAATAAGAAAAGATAGACAAAGTCTGAATTTAATTATTATAACTCACTCTCTTCTTCTTCTTCTTTTTGAAAATCTTCACTATTTTTGAAATATCGAAGACCATTTGTGTTGCGATTTTTGTTTGAAAAAAACAAACTAAACGGTTTGCTTTTTTTGAAACGCGAACAAAATTACTTTGCCAAATTGTGTCAGTAATCCCCAATAAATCCGGTTTTTGAACTACATACACCAACTTACTTTCATATTGAATGCAGCATACCAATCGATATCGGTGACAGTGCTCTTCCGACGACGTTGACCTGGTTCTCCAAGAAGATCTTGAGAACCTCTTCGGGATGACGGAGTCTGATTAATGACGACGATTGGTGTGGCTGGAGTCCTAGCTGGAGATCTTGTTTCCCGAATGAAAGTTTCACATTCTATGATGTTGATATCTGGTGGACGTGCACTTCGAGTACTCTTCCTACTGGATTGACCACTTTCAGTTGATACTCTTTCTTCTCTAGTCTGCTTTCTTTCTATTGTTGTCATTGGTGTAGACGTGGCTATCGGATCTCCAATACGGACATGATCCTCATACTTTGATCTTCTCGGTGGCTTTGGTGGAGCTTCTGAAGTAGATCCATGAGATACATAAGAACCTCTTCTGGAATTTGGAGATGAACGTCTTCGTTCTATGAATATATCCATTGTGACGTCGTCTCCAACTCTTCCTACAACTCGATGTTTTCTTTCGGTTTCTGGAGTTCTGATTGGTCCGATAACATTGACGTGAATATGATTGACTCGATGGATTCCTGGAGGAGAGCTTCTAGCTCTTGGAATAGTTGAGAATCTGGATTCAAACGACGTATCTGTGCATGCGTCATTCATCGAAATCGAAGTTATTCCAGCCGTGATATTTCGTTTTTCTGCTGTATCATTCATTGAAATAGAGGTGTTTCCAGGTTCTGGAGATCTCAAAGTGACTCTTCTCTTCTTCTCTGTCTGTTCTTCAATTACTTCTTCATCATCTCGATAGTAATGTAATGATTCTTCTCGTCCCAGTCGTTTTCTGGGCGGAGCAATTGGTGACATTGTTTGAGAAGAAGACTGCTGAAGGTGATCTGCTGAACGAGACCGTCTAGTAACAGAATCTCTATGAATAATGACACTTCCTGAATCACTCGAATCATCATCTCCTCCTTTATTTTCCTCATCAACGAATTTCCGGTAGTAGAGAGTGTGCACTTCCGGTTTTGAATAGCTTCTAGAATTCAGCTTGTTGTCGGAAGTATGAATTATCAATTTTCTCACCTTTTGGAAGACGTACTGTGTGCACTGCTACTTCTTCTTGTAGTCGTCACCTTCTCTGTCTCTGTCACCGACGTCTTCGTTGTCGTTGACACTTTCTTTCTCAAATCAGCAAATCGGCGCCTAGTTCCATTATTTCCATTCTGTTGTTGATGTTTTTGATCATCAGTTGTGTTTTCTGATGTTTCCACAAGTATTGGATGTCTGAATTCTAAATCTATGATATTGTCACTAGACCGGTTGAACAATGTGCTATTGGCTGACGATGGTTGCCGAGGTTTTGTTGAGCTTTCCATCTGAAAACCAAAGAAAAGTTTAAAAATTAGAATGCCACAAACCTTTGTATTCATAACGTCTTCATACACAAATTTACTAGGTTGTTGTCTTTTTTGAGTATAATTGAATGGTTTATGTGTCTCTTGGATACGAATTACGGTCCCTTTTCCCAAGTCTTCTCCGTCGTCTGATTTGTCCAACTCTTCACAGGAATGCCATTTCTCGTGTAAATGCTTGATTGAAACGTTCACTGGATGGGGTCCAGCTGGCGAAACGTTCGTCACTTTGACTTCACACGAGGACGGATGCTTGTCTGGAGCTCCGTTGACTATCTGGAACAAAAAGTGGTTTACACTGGAACAAATATTATAATTGAGGGCTCCGCGTCATTTTGAAACTGCGACTGCGACACTTCGAAACCAGTCATTTCAAAACCGGTCATTTTAAAACCATGGAAATACAGGTCAATGGATAAATTTCGGACTACAAAAATTATTTCAGGGTTTTCATTTATGTTTTTTCTGATAGAACGCATTTTGAAATCCGAGAGAATTCAAAATTTAACTTTTTCAATAAAATTTTTTCTATTTTTTGAGTTTCAAAACGTTCTATCAGAAAAATCATGTTCGAAAACCTTGAAATTGTTTTGGTTGTCTACAATTTATCTATTCGCCAGATGAACGGATGAACGCTGTGAAGTTGACTCACTGGGCTTTTCTTGAATTTTCTCATTACCGTAAAACCTGTCGGCCCTTAACTTTTAACCTTGAGCCAATTATTCACGGCTCCTGTCGAAGATACAAAAACGTTGTCAACTGATAACATATTTATCATAATGTCATCAATACTTTTTCAGTTGACGATTTTCTGATATCTTTTACAGGAACTGAGATAATTGAGCTCAAACTTGAAAGTGTGGGGGCCCTTCTATTACAAGTTTTATAGTTTGTTCAATGTTTTGTACTTTGATTGAAGAGACTTTGTTATCATCAGTCTCAGCACCAGCTCTTAAACAAGATAACCCCTATTTTTCACCTATGATCCTATTCATAAGTATATTCCATCCTATTCACTTTTACACTTTTCCCTCCAACTTCCTCTCTCACTTTTTTCTTTGAAAGTGAAACTGAAAAGAGACGCAGAGAGAAAGAATGCGCAGGAAGTGGAGGATCATTTCGGGTGAAAGTTCAGTATTCGGTTCTTGATTGGTTTTGAAGATAGTGAAAGAGAAAAAAAATGAAGCAAAAGAATGCTGATGGGTATCAGAAGAATGGAGAAGTGTTGGTTTTTATTTTCAGTAGGTGTCAGAACGAATTTCGTATTGTGAATTGAAAAAAAAAACAGAAGAAGAATGAGATGGAGGGAATAGAAGAAGACTTGTGATGATGGGAGGAAGATGAAAATGAAAAATTGAAACAAACAATGTCTCTGATCACAAACTTTCTTCTTCTAATCGATCGATTATTACTTAAAGGAAAACAATCAGAAAAGAAACAACAAGAATTCATACCTCCGTGACAGTGACAGTCTTTGTGATTTCGACAAACTTTTCTCTTCGACGTGGCATCAGATTCTGATAATCGTGTGTCAGAATGTTGCGTAGAAACTTCTGAAAATAATTTTAATTAGTTAATTTTTTTTGGGTCAAAAAGGTTCTTGTAGTTGGGCCCATAATGTAATTTCTTGTAAAAAATTACAAAATTTCTTCTAGATTTAAATGCAAAAGGAGCTGAACTAAGTTATATCCAAAATTTCCTACAAGAAGGTGTGAAAATTTGAAATGGGTTTTCAAAGACTCCGCCCCCTTCAGTTCCTCACAAATGTTTTTCCATTCATATTCACAACAATGGTATTCCTTTCAAAGACTCTCTTACCTCAGAAAACGATTCGTGATCGTCGGGCAATTGATGACTCAAAAATGGAGTGTCGTCAAGTTGCTCGTCATCAGAATTTAGTGGTGGTGGTGATTGTGAATCTGCTGAGAAGTTGCCTCCGTCGTCTTCAGTCCGTTTGGACGATGGTGTTGGAGCTGCGATCATCTTTTTTTTACAACGATGCCATTAGAATATGAAGAGGAAAGGGATGGAATACGAATTTAGAAGCAGACGACGGGATGAGAATAAGGGGAATACACAGTAAGGGAGATGCGCGGAAGGAGACTATCAGCACGTACTACACACTCCACCCATCACTCACTGATTAACAATGATATCAATGTCGACGTCTTCGTCTTCTTCTTATCTCTTTTTTTGCGATATGCTTGCGTATCGGATTGGATTGTCACACCTATTTCAAGAACGCGCAAAATCGGAGACTACTGCGCCAGTTTGGTTTTTGATTTATCGTCAGAGGTCAATCGTTTTTGATAGGATTAGAAATGGATCAGGTGATGATGTCAACTGGAAACAGAAACTAAACACAAGGCTTGTCTTGAAAAGGTATAAAAAGAAAATTGGTTTCAAAAATTGGGGTCGCGGTGTACGGTTAAAGAATATGATACTGTGATTGAGATACCGTAAAAAAACTCCAATGTAATTCCCCGTAAACCGTCCACTTTGAGCCTACATATATCGATTCCTGTGAAAGATATTAAAACTTAGTCAACTGATAAATTGTTTATCATAATATCAACAATATTTTATCAGTCGACAAAGTTTTGATAACTTTCACAGGAATCGAGATAATTGAGATCAAAGTTGATGGTTCGGGTGGTCTTCTATTAAAGGAAATAATTGTACTAGTAGCTCAAATTTAAATTATAAAACTAAACACAGTTTATACATCTTGAGAAATAAAAAGAATAGGAAGAATAGAAATTTTATGAAAAATATATAAATCGTTCACTTTTTTCTTCAACAGATTTCTAACAAAAAAGGTGGAACACTGACACAAAAGATGGATGTGGACAGAAATTTTGAATTTAAAGGAGTACTGTGAGAACTTTTGCAAATCGTGTCATCATAGTTTTGTTAGATATAACATGTTCATTCACACCAGCTAAACGGAGAGATCATATAAAAACATTTGTTCGAGTTTTTTCGACAAAACAAAACAAAATAAGGATTTGAAGGAAGTAAAGCCGCGAAGCCGATCGAGTACATGTTCATGTTTGCGTACTGTCTTTTTCTTTTTTTTCTGTTTGGTTTTTAGATGATTGGAACATAAACATGAGAAACAAAAAGAAAAAAACAATTAGTAAACGACAAACTTTCGGTAATTTTGCAACAAATTTCTCAGTGATCTAAACATGAAAGTGACCGACAGAAAAGTTGGAATGTTTGAAGTGTGTTTAAACAGTTTAAATGCCAAGGAAACGGGTTAACGAAGGGTCGAATAACACAATGAGAAGCAGAAAAAAGACACTAGAAAAGCGATAAAAAGTACGATTGGGAGGAAGAGGGAAAAAGGCTAATTAAACGGAAAGGCAGGGAGAGAAAGAGGTGGGATGGTGGAAGCAGAAAGTTGTTGGATACGGTTGGTAGGTGGGATGAATTACGACACGATGATCATAATCATAATTGACCACTGGATTGGGTCAGGTCTTGTTGTTGCATTCAGTTTGTATTTCATAAAATTGCAGTTTTGAACTTTTAAAAAACTAACTTCTTATCGGTCTACCGTAAAACCTGCAACAGAACTTCAAGCCAATTTTTCTCCTATTGCAGGTTTCACGGTATTTTCTATCCAGAAAATATATTTCGAAGTTCTTTGAAAGTTGGAGAATTATATGAGCTCTAAACTAATACTGACCTTCATGAAAATAATTACAAACCTAGAGCAAAAATAAATAATTAGCAAACCAGGGTAAAGTACGCCCTGAACCAATTCGGAGATTACCTTACATTCTCTAACAGAAGTTATCCCTATATGTGCACTTTGAGCTCAATTATCTCGATTCCTGTGAACGATATCAAAAAGTTGTTGACTGATAAAATTTTGGTAATTTTACAAAAAACATTTCATCAATTGACAAATTTTTGATATCTCTCGAATAAACCGAGATAATTGAGCTCAAAGTGCGCATATTGTATAGAACAGTGTAACCTATAAAAAATGTCAAAAGTATTACGTTATAAAAAGGTATCAGAATGAAATCGAATCAGGAAATTAGCACCGTAATCAAATCAAAAATTGAAGACAAAGAACTGAAGATGGGGAGAAGATTGGGTCAACGAGAAACCGAACACACAAAACAAATTCAGTTTCAAAGTGAGTGAGAGTGAAAAAAAAATCGCTGCAGATCGAAAACCAGTCAGTTAGAAAGTTTCTGAATCGGAAGGTAACCACGACGATTTCGGGTTTCACACACCACCAAATATATCCTACTTTTGTATGTGTCTATCGTCTATGGAACAATATACAAGAGTGACGATGATTTTTTTCGTATTGGAGATTTTCTGCTTCCTAACTCTCAGTATCTCTGCCTTTATATAGAATTGATGGTATACAGTATAGATTGATGATGAGCAATCGGAAGCAGCAAGCATCGTTTGTTGTCTTTTCCTTATGTTTCTGTTTCGTAAAGACGCAACATTCCGAAAACAAAAGAAAACAGAAGTCACATTACAATTTCTATTGAAAGTCTGGAATTTTTGTTCGGCAGAATTTCAATTGAACCGAAAAAAAAGAAAAAGAAGAAAATTCCTACCACACCCATCAGGTTCAGTTTTATTTCAATTCAATGTATACGTCATAAAATAAATAGGGGGATATCCGAATCGAGGTGTTCGTTATAGCGGATTGACCCAAATAAAGAGAGGAAATGAGAGGCTAGAGGAGTGGCAATAAATCTGGTGATATGATAACAAGCATTCTGATAAGCAACTAGTTTTTTGTTCATTTTGGCGGAAGGAGAGGAGAAAATTGGAATAGGAAGAACGCCTGTTCTTTTTCCTAATTGTACTTTTGAGGATCAATTATTTTTAGATCCTGGATTACTGTACCATAGAACTTGGAAGCTGAAACTTAAATGCGTTCCGTAACCTGATTCTTAAAGTTCACGAAAATATTATTTTTTTTGGCGTTATTTCTGTAAGCGGTCAGCTGCGATATCCGGCACCTGTGCCAGCTGAACCAACTCATTAAAGTTTTCTAAACTGTCAAACGTAATCGAAATGGGGTTGATAGGATTATGGAATGTAAAGCGACGAGCTCAGAGAGCAGTTAACAAATTTGAATTCGTGGTTGATAATATCAGAAGGTTAGAAGAATAACATAAAGCATGTAAAAGAAGGGCCCCCACACTGTCAAATTTGACCTAATTTTTCTTGGCTCGCAAGATATCAAAAATGTGTCAACTGACAAAACGCTTCAAAACTTAAAAGTTAGGGGGCCCTTCTATTACAGGTTTTACGTTTTTCTAAATTTTCTACAGCAACCTCTACTATTTATAGAGATAGATCCGGTCAGAATCGTGTTTTGAAAAAGTGTGAACGAGTGAAAAAGTGGTTATCATGGCTGTATCCTCCATGGAAAAAAGATAAAGGGGATGGAATTTATGATCAGTTGTTTGAAAATGGTACAAGAGCAAACTCAATCGTCATCTTGTTCCGGAACATCATCATGTTTGAAACATTCGGAATCGTGATGTACTTTCTTCTATCTTTCAAATATTCACAGTATCCCGAATTGTGAGAATTCATTTATAAATTTCATTAGAATTAGATAATTCAGCATTGGCACATCAATCTCTACAATCATTCATGTTTTTCTGATGTTCACATTAATTTTTCCAAAACTGATGACCTATTTTATGATCTCAATACACGTTATGATGACCACAAAAGTCAAGAACATCATTCTGATACTTCTGGTGACGATGGCTTTTGAGGTTTATACTTCTAAGGCAGTAATCTTCCAGATACCATAAAACCTGTAATAAAAGGGTCCCCACACTGTTTAGTTTGAGCTAATTTATCTCAGTTTCCGTGAAAGCTATCAAAAATGTGTCAACTGAAAATGTGTTAACTATTGGTGATATTATTTCATCAGTTGACAACTTTTTTATATCATTGACGGAATTCAAGAAAAATAGCCTCAATGTTAGGGGCCCTTCTATTCCAGATTTTACGGTATATTTTTAATCCCAGGGTCCAGCAATGAACGTCATCGGCAACATCCATCAGGTGGCATCTGGAGTTGCTTGTGTTCAAATTGATGTAATGAGTTCTCGAAATGATGTTGAAGGAAATGTGATGGATAAAGGAGCAATGCTAGTGTCCCGATTCCGAGCACTACTGAAAAATGTTTCTGGTCCGATGAACAAAGTTAAAAATATGTTATTAGTGTTGGATGAGAAAATGACGAAGTAATATAGACCCGACTACCGATTACCAATATATAAACTTTTCAGATTTGTAGACATAATGAGAAGACACTACCGAGTTATAGCCAGTCTGTCCAACCAGTGCCGGAATATGTTGCAAACACCGTATACAAAATGTCTCAACATTTTTGATGACGCATATTTTTATTGCAAAGAGAAAGCCAGGTTTTTTGGAAGCCATGGAGATGCTTGTGACGTCATTCAGAAAACGGCAAAGGTTCAGACGAAACTAGGTTATTTGAAAATCTTGGGAACATTTCCAGATTTGCCACCAAGCCAAGGGATTCTCCACAGAAGTGTGTTCTCTGCCTGCAATCATTGGAAAAGGAGTCAAAGGAGCAGCTGTTCCGTTTTATTCGGCATATTTCCAAGCAATTGAATTTGCTGTGAAGAAGATTTTCTATGTTCATATTGAAGCCGCAAAATGGGCATTGAAAAAAGTGAATCCAGTGATTGAAGAAATCAAAAAGGCTAAAACGATCAGAGCAGAATATCAATCTTCTGATGATAAACCAAATGCGGCAGACGATACAACAGCTAATTTGAGAGCCAGTGTTAAGAATAGTCTGATGAGTATTGTGAATTTCTACATCAGAATCATCAATGTGATATCATTTATTCTCCGCTACTGTATCATGCCGTTTTTCCTCATTTGGCCATTCATTTACACCCTTCGTTTCATGTACAACTACAGTTACAGCGATGACTATAAGAATCGCTTCTTAACGGAAGAATTCTATAAAATCGACAGGGATTGTGCATTTCGTGGAGCTAGAAAAGTAATGCCGCTGACTCCAGAAGAAGGCAAAACGGTTAAGAAAATATTTCAGGAAAACATTCAGAATAATTATAATTCCAGTATGTCAGTAGAGGTAGATGGAAAATGACAGAACAAGAAAAACCACGTTTTCGATTGGACATCTTCGTAACCATTATCACCTGTTTCACTCCGTTTTTCATGTGCTTACTGGATTACGGTGTATTTACGGTTAAAAAACAATTAAAATAATAGTGCGAAACACTGAATTTTAGACTCTCTCTACAGTACACACTTTGATGAACCGGACCAATATTGACACCCCAGCTCACTACGAATTAAAGGTAGCTGGGAATAGTTCAATGTCAGATGTGATGAACGAGTTCCTTGACGTCTTCTCGCCATTCACTCAGAGTATTCGAGAAAGAGAAAATCGATGGAGACGTTGTTTTAGAGAACCAAACCCGCCGAATTATGCAGAGAACACACTTATGTTGTTGATGTTTATTGTGGCTCTTTTCCTTTGTCGATTAAAGGTACAGACTGAAATCTGGTCTAAACTAAAGCCTCTTCTTCAGGCGTATTTTGGACGACAAACCCTTGCGTTGGCAGACCATTTCTACCCGAATCGGGTTAGAGTTCGTGCTCTTAGCCTGTACAATAAGATTCTTCAAAGTAGACGGAATTTGCTGACTGAGATGTTGGGAAACAACAAGGTGGAAATCGTTTTTTGAAAAACAATTTGACCCAAATAGCTTTTCAGAAAGATATAATGGGTGGTGAGGACGCAGTGATCAGAAGATCAATGCAAAGTCGTGGTTATCTGAGTTCGGATTGTGCAAAATGCGATAAATACGATATGAAAATAACAGATCAAGAGTGAGTTGTCTAGATTCTCAAGTCTTTTTCGAACTTATTCAACTTTTCAGAAACGTTCGTGTTTGTGTTCACTGCAGTGCTTTTTATTGCATCAATTGTTTCAGTCTAACCCTTTTCTGTGTGAAATGTGACGAAGAAATGCAGAATGTCAATGGAATAGAGTTGTATTACGAAGATTCCCATGCAATTCTTGACGATTCTGGTACTTTGTTTTTAAAAATTTACTTTTTGTGACTAAATTTAATTTCAGAAAGTTTATCTAGTGAAACAGATGGTAACGAAACCGTTAATGAGCAGGAGATGGTGGAATCTGCAGACACGAGTTCTGCAGTTGTTGTTTGAATTTTCGGTGTTCCCGCCAAGAACACAAGGGCGCTCCATTGACAATTTCGAATTCAACGCAAATTTGAATTCAGCTTTTGGCGGAGTTTTCGAAATAATTTCGTTAAAATATGTTTTAATCTCGTTTTGTTTATAGATTTCGTTGTAAATAAAGTATTTTTTGCCAACATCGCTTTGCTCATCTAAAGATTTTCAGCAATGATGGGTGAAAATTCCTCTGCATATACAACATTAGCAGATAATCAACTCTACAATCAGTTTTCACCGAGTAGGAGGTATTTCCGTTTGGCCATGTTTTCAAAAAACGATATTTTTCTCAGAAAAGCTGACTTGATCGCTTCAACCAGTGCAACTTCGTCTCCGAACTTAAGAAAGTCTCCCAACCGAGGGTTCAGCTCGCCGAGAGCTCAGCAAAAGCCAATTACCATTTTCGATCAGATAGTTTCTTGGTTCCATTCCGAAATTGATGTGAGAAAGAAGCTGGCTAGTTTTGTATGTGGAGCGGCAGTAGCCCTTTCTTTTATCGTCACTGTTTCCATCCTGAAACTTTCAATTTGGGCTCCATTCAGTTCTGTACAGGGTAAGAATGCTTTAATCGCTTCTCGTTCACTTTTAGTTTTCAGATTCGCTCACATGGTGGCTTTATCCGACTTCTTGGCCAGTAACCTTATTCATTTGGCTCTCATCAGTCGCATGGACGTTTCTCATTATTCATCAGTTTTGCACTGGTAATTCATACCTTTTAAAGGTTTTTCTGAAAATTTTGTTTCAGTTACACAAGTTCCACGAATTCCAATAACGGACACATACGCATGGGCTGGTGCCGCTCTAGAGTTCGTCCATCGCTTGATTTTCGTCTACACAGCTTTCACCGTTTCTGAGTCTTCATTTTTCGAAGATTTCGCATGGATCGCTATTGCTTTTTCTGTTGCGATATCGTCAGCACTTGTCATTTTCAGATCTGATTTCCACCTTAACTTCTCGAACGTTCAAGTGGTACGTTTGAAATCGGCTAAAAAAACCTATTTATTTTTTTCAGAACTCATTCAAGACTCTGATTGACTTTGCAAAATCGCTTCCTTATGGAAGTCTCGCAGAAACTAGTGGTGTCGATGCGGCAATTGCATACACTGCTGCCATGGCACTCACCGTTTTCGGGAGTCCACTTTTATGGGGATTCTCTGCTTGGTGGCTGCTCATTAACATTCAGTTTCATTTAGTCTTATTCGGAGTTTGCTTCGCTCAACAATTTTTCGCAAAGATTTTCATGAAGATTGTCAATCAAATTGTCATGAAGGTGAGTTCGAACTTATCAGTAGCGCAATATTCAAAGTTACTTTTCAGCCAATGAAATTCCCGTTCCCACCACCATATACTGTACATTCTCCCACGCCGGATCAAATTAGAACACTCCCGAATGTCATTGAGACCGACGATCCACTCCTTAAGATGTTTGCTCTTCACGATCTTCGTACCGTCGCCTGGGAAGATGAGAAGCGTCGTGTAGATGTGTTCTCGCTTTCACAGCCAGGAAAGCATCCACGTAACTGGAAAGCTGTTTCAATGCCATGCACAAGAATGCTTGATGAGCTATGTTCGAGAATGACTGTGTCTGCTGCTCGACTTGTTGGATATTCCTGGGATGACCATGATGTGGAGAACGAGGAAGTGCCTCGTGATGCTCTTATGATGCCAAGAAAGATGCGTGAGATGACATACCGCGGAGCTGGACAGAGTCGTCAGCAGAAGACCATAGCACCGATCCGCTCCAATAACACACAAACAGTCGGATTTCTCGCAAAAATAACTCGAAATCTCGGTCTCGGGAAAACGGAGAGACTTGTGATATCTCGCTTCGATGCTCAGCAAAACGCTTATGCGGCAGAGGCTGTGTACATGCTGGTTGTAGATTCCATGGGAGAAGATCGTTTTGGAGTTGTCCAGAAAGATCTGAAAGATCTGATTACGCTTTTGTGCAAACTCATCGCTGCTATCGACACATACGAAAGAGCTAAAGCGGTGAGTATTTTTTAGAATTTTGAAAGATAATGATTAGGAATGTAGCTGTTTCTATGATATCTCTCGTTTACCTTCACGATGCAAAACTGATTATGTTTCATTTCAGTCGGTCGCTGACAAATCAGATGTGACATACTTGCGTCTAGTTGACGCTTCGCTCAAGTCTTGTCTTCAACGTGTCGTCACCACATTCGGAAGCCACTTGCGGTATATATTTTTTGAAAATTGAAAAAATCATCAAAAATTACAGATCGCTCGAACTTGCTGATGAACACATTCGCACTATCAAACTCGTCTGCGCTGAAGAAATCTAAAGACCTCTAATTCATCGACATTGAACTATCTCTTGTTATCATTTTTCAATCGTTGTTAGCATTCAATTTTCAATTTTTTTTTCTTTCTCATCCTCTTTCGTTCCAAACCTATCCCATTTTTTTCTCGTCCGACACTGTTATCATCTTTGTGAACTTTTTCATCTCGCTGTTTTTAAATAACCCAAAAAAGGTCCAATAAACCGTATCCTGTGAACAACGCAACTTTTCGACTCATAATCAGCATATCTTTTTGATACGCGCGCAAAGATTGATAGGAGAAGAACAGAACAGGCGATGGCAATTGAGATGAGATGACACACGACGGAGACAAAACAGTACAACCATATCGATTACCTGATTGGTAAAAAGAAGAAGAGAGACAAAAAGAGAAAAGAAGAGAGAAAAGTTTCTTCAGGTTCAACATCATGCTAATCGCTAATCGTTTACGTTTTTAACAGTGTTGATTTTTAGATAGTTTTTTTTGAATTAGGAATTTCCGGTAGGAATGTTTTTCTCAAAACTTTCGAGTCAAAAATAAGAGTCTTGTGATTCTATAAATGATTTTCCATCTGACAAATTCATCAACTTTATGATCATTTTAGACAGTTGGAAATAATAATCTGATTATAAAAAAACCGGAGCCGAAGGACCCACAACGATAACCACAGTAACTAAAAATTAAATATATTTTATCTGATTTAACGGTTTCGTTTATCATTCTGGTTACCAAAAATTGAAGCTGTGGAAGAGAAACGCCGGTGGTCGTGGTCGATAGTCCCACAACGACAACTACAGTAATCTTTCACTTTCCGAATTTTTTCTCGTTTTTAAGGCTTTTCGGCAAGTTTTCTGTTATTTTCTACCAGTAACGTAGCAAAAATATTGTCCGGATTTATTTTCTTGATTTTCGTGCGGTTTCAGTCAATCTTTCTCAGTATCAGCTATTTTTCTTTTCCGAAAAAGCTAAAAAAAAAACTAAAATCGAAATTTGAACTACAACAATTTTAGGACTGTGTTAAATTTACTAATCTTGGCAATTAAAACATTTGAATAACTTGGGTGATTTTTCTTTTTTATATTGTCTCTGATTCAACCGTTTTTAAGCATCATGCCTTTGATTATTACAGTCTTTCACACAATGTGGTCGGTTCTACACCGACGGCAGTTTGCAATAATTGCTGGATTGATGCAGACAGTTTTCATTTTACTTTTCGCAAAATATGTCAAATACATTGATCCACTTGATGATTCACGAAGAGTCTATTCGGGAACTGATTATCCTTGTGAGTTTTTTCGAACACCTTTTCGAAATTCATTAAAAATAGTTTTCAGTGTTCCAGGATGTACATCTTATGATTTTTGTGGGCTTTGGATTTCTTATGGCCTTTTTGAAAGTGAGTTTTTCTTAAGTTCGAACATTTTTTACAAACTAAATTCAGAGATATGGATTCTCAGCTGTATCTGTGAACCTTCTTCTCTCTGCATTCGTCATTCAATTCGCAATGCTTCTTCGTGGATTTTTGACAGTTGCATTCAATGAAACTGGACTTTTTAGTATCGGTATTCCAGAGTGGGTTATTTCCAGTATTTCTTTAGAATTGAGAATTATTTTAGAATGATATCTGCTGAAAGTTCTTGTGCAGCTGTTTTGATCACAATGGGAGTGCTCCTAGGAAGACTGACACCTGTTCAATTCCTTCTGCTTGCGTTCTTCGAGACGCTGCTAAACGTGGTAGTAGAGCATTTCGTATTCAACTATCTTCATGTAAAAATTCCTTCAAAACTAAATGAAAACAATATTTGAATCTAGGTCAATGACAGTGGAAGATCTCTTTCTGTCCACACTTTTGGAGCATATTTTGGTTTGGCTGCAGCGTTGGTTGGACATAAAAAGAATGTGATGGAAATGGATGAGCATGGAGGAATTCATCACTCGGATTTGTTTTCAATGATTGGTACGGTTAAGATGAAACTGAGGATTTTTTCGGAAATTCAGAAATTTGATATTTCACAAAATTTCGAAAACTTTAATTTTTAACAACATGAGTATTCGAAATTTGTCTAAACTTTTCGAAAATTCTAAATTCATAAACTTCGAATTTTAGAATAAAGATTTTCAGAAAAATGAAAGTTTGAAAATTCCAGAACATCCAAAAAAAATTCCAGAACAGGAAATTTTCAGAAAGTCACAAAATTTTGAATATTCAAAAAATCTGAAACTTAAAAAAATCCTAAATTCTCAAAATAAAAAATCAAGGAAAAAATTATCAATTAATTTAAATTTTTCTATTAATTCCAGGAACTCTCCTCCTCTGGGTCTTCTTTCCCTCCTTCAACGCTGCTATTCAAGAACCTGAAGACGCACGCCACAGAGCAATTATGAACACATATCTGGCAATGGCATCAAGTACAGTAACCACATTTATGATATCTTCTTGTGTAGATGATCTTGGAAGATTCAACATGATTCATATTCAAAGTTCAACTCTGGCTGGTGGTGTTGCCATTGGTGTGTTACTTTCCAGCAAAAATCTTAAAAATTTGAACTTTTCAGGATCCGCAGCAAATGCGGTTCTTTATCCATACCATGCAGTAATCGTTGGTGTTGTATCTGCAATACTATCCGTTATTGGACATGCTTGGATCAGTGTGTGTCTATTTTTAAATTCAACTTTTCTTTTAACAAAAAGTTTCAGCCAAGACTTGAGAGGACATTTCATTTGTTCGATACCTGCGGAGTTCACAATCTACACGGAATGCCGGGAATTTTAGCTGGATTATTGAGCATTGGATTTGCCTACTTTTATGAACCCGAAAGTTATGGAAAGACGTAAGAGTTTCACTATCAATCTTGATTGGAACATCTTTAAAATTTCAGGTTGTATCACATTTATCCGTATTGGGTAGGCGGTGAATTGAATGGAGATCGAGATAATGTTTCCCAAGCACAATACCAAGCTATTGGATTGGTCGTGATTCTAGTGACTGCAATAATTGGAGGATTACTAACAGGTTTGTTCTATTTATTAAAAATCTGATCCCGATTTTGATCCCAAGTCCAATTCTTCCAGGTTGCATTCTAAAAATAAAAGTATGGAATCAAGTCGACGATCCTGACTTCCCTCATGGAGAAATGAACTATTATGCTCAATCAGATGTGAACTTTTTGAGCAAAGTGAGTCAATTTCTTCTGACTATTTCCCAATACACACCCAATTTTTCAGTACAAACATGCTCAAGAGCAACAACGCCTTCGGGAGCGAGAGCAGATGCACGAGATCTATTGAGGCATTGATAATCAGAAGCGAATTGATGATAATTCGTAATTCTTTCGCAAGAAAATATAGGGAGAGAGAGACAGAAAAAAAAAAGAAAAAGAGAAAAATGAAATATTATAAATATTGAAAAGTTGTTGATGCATTTGAAAAAAAGAGAAGAAATCCGTTTTCTAATCCTTTCCATAAGTTGAAGAGGAGGAAGATTACCGTATACCAAATGAATACAATAGACGGATAATGGATTCGATATTCTTATCCACCCATTACTAATACTCGGCGAATTCTAAGATGTGTACAGATGTAAAGAAATGTGCTGAGTAGCAGAGATAAATAGCAGTAATTGAAAAGAAAAATATCAGACGAAATGCTTGGTGGTGGGGGAGGAGCTCCTTTGGGGTGTGAGCTGTCTCCTCAACACGGTTCACCAACTTTTTTTTACTTCATCATTCCGTTTTTTCTGATGTACTTTAGATCCTCATACACCTGACTGATGCCGTCATGATCTTCGACTTCTAGGAATTTCCAACAGTTTTGCATAACATAACATTTTTTGAATTATTTAGAATTTTTTGGAATAGATAATCAAACAATGATTTATCTAAGATTTATCTAAGATTTTTATCTAAGATTTAATTAAACCGATCTTGCATGTAGTTTGACTTGTATGCTGATGATATTATACTCCAGTGATTTTCGAGAAGACTCTCTAACCAGCTTTGTTTCTACGGTCACATTTTGAACCTGTTAGGAAAGCAGAAACTGAATGTTTTGACTATTTCACATATTTTTTCAGCATAAACGCTCCAATAGAGTGTCTCCAAACGGTCAACTTTGAGCGCATATATCTCTTTCCCTGCAAAAATATCAACGAGTGGTCAACTGACAAAATGTATTTGATACTATGATAAACATTTTATCCGTTGACCAGTTTTTGATATATTTTACAGGAGCCGAGATGCCTAAATATCCACTCAAAACTCAAAACTTTAATCATTCGAAAGTAAAGAATAGAAGAACCGTAAAAATCAAAACTGATTTGTTTTTATTGGGCACCACCAGTCCCTCAGGTGAAAATAAAACCGGCTTGTTATTTTTTTGTGTATCTTTTTATTATTTCCCACTGGGACAATTTTATACTCGGAAACAAACTGCCACCACCCTCATCTGAATAAAGTCCAATCTATGAACCATTAATTACTTCCGAATTCCCATAACCTCCTCCCACGTACCATATTTTGTCAAATGTGTCATGAACTTCTTTGTCCCTATCACTCCTCGATTCCCCTCTTTTTGCTGTAGCCGTTACATAGCTCGTCTTGTTAGCTGAAATTGAGGTGTCTCTTGAAGGAAATGAATTCAATTAGCTATTATCTGAAAGAACATATCACAGTTTCTTTAATTTCCGGGATATAGCTATTGTCTTTACTTTTATTCTTGCTATCTTTTTCCAACGGATATGTTATTCATGTTTTTTTATTTGCCGCAATCAACTTCGAATTTAAGAGTCTACTTTTTTTTTGAATTCAGAACCTGTCAAATCTAACAAATAAGACGCTTCTTGGACTGAAACCGCTACACAGCCTCTTCTTTTTGTTTACCTGGAACCATTCGCTAACCTTGACGGCAATGTGACTTTATAACCCTATTCATTAACGGCTGAAATTCGATTTTTTTTCTCGTACATCAAATAATTGCCCAAATTCTCACATTTTTCAGTCATTACAAAATGTCCTTAAAGTTAAATTGGGATACCGTAACCGCTCTGATAGAACGCGTCCCAAACAGTCCACTTTGAGCCGATTTACCCCGGTTCCTGTAAAACATATCAAAAAGTGGTCAACGGACAAAATGTATATCATATTATCACCAACATTTTGCTAGTTGGCTACGTTCGGATATATTTTACAGGAGCCGAGATAAATTGGGTCGAAGTTCTATTAGAGTGTTTACGGCATTTCGATTTCAAAAAGTACGATTCTGCAAAAAAAACTAAGCTATAAAATGTTTAGATGGTTCTAAGTTATAAATAAAAAATTGATCACTACAAATAGTTGAAAATTCTGTAAGATCTTGTACCGGATTACTGTATATATTTTTTGTATATTAATCCATTCATAATTCTATTCTAATCTTTTTGTTATTCATCCACTTTTCGAAGCGTATTCTTTTATGATTTCACTACACAACTAGATTTTATCTCATCATTCAGATTGCTCATTCTGTTGTTTCAAAGTGTCGCTCGATTCGTCCCGTCCCACCGCTGTCTACAATGTCTTCATACTCATCCAATACTATTTTTTGCTCTCAATTCTGGAGACGTCGCAAAAAACTATTGCGGCAAATATTCCAGTTTCCCTGTTCATCGACTCGTCTATTCGAAATTCAGATGCAATTTTTAATCAAGCCAGAGACGAAGTTCTTCAGTTTTCTCCAAATGTTACGTTAGAGTAAGGATAAATTATATTGTTTGTTTCTTTCTGAAAACAATTTTTTTCCAGAAATGTGGTCTATAAAAGTGAAACATGCGGGAGTTTAGAATCAGATACCAAAGATATATTTTCATATTTTACTAATTATCATTCCAAAAACCATAGAATCACAATGGGACCAACTTGTTCCGGCAGTAAGTCAGTTAATGAAAAAATTATTCATCTTGCCCTTTTGAGATTTTCTTCGTTTCGCCAATCTGACTGCTGAAATTCAAACTTTACAAATAAATATTCTAAAAGGATACCCCTATTATCATCCAACAATGATCGATGTAATTCACAAATTCTAAAAAGTGCTTCATAAATGAAAAATGTTTTCAGATGGTAACCAGGTCACCTCAAAATTTAGCAGAGAACGTTGTTGCAGTAGTAAGAGGATTCGAATGGGGACAGGTGGGAGTGGTATTCTGTGAAGAATGTTATGCAGATGACAAACTTGCCAGCGAAGCATACTTTTCTTATGTTGAAGATATTCTTTTGGACAATAATATTGCAATGAAAGAAATCGTGAAATTGAGAAAAGGGGAATCGAAGGAGAATATTTCTGAAATTATCACCATCTTTGAACCATCAGCTAGAGGTAAACTGATAACAAAATACAATATAAGGAAGGTTAAAATTTCAGTAATTCTTTTGTTTCTTGGAAATACTTTGGAAGAGTATATTCCATTCATGGAAGCGATGAGCTTCAATAACTATACCACGGAAGAATACACTCCTGTCATTGTGATATCAAAGAATTCGTTGGATTTGGCGTACCCTTGGCAGAATAACATGCCCATGCTCGAGATATTTCACAAAACTATCATTGTGAGTTCATACAAATAAATTCTCCGTTACCGTATTTCCTCTACCAGAAGCCCACTTATACCATCAACGTTGAGCTCAATTATCTCAATACCTCTGAAAGATATCAAAATTAGGTCAACTGATAAAATATTTTTGATATTATGATTAACTTTTTGTCAGTTGATCGCTTTTTGATATCTTTCACAGGAATCGAGATAATTGAGCTCAAAGTTGACGGCTTGGGTGGGATTCTATAAGAAGGAAAACGGTAGTGCAGAAACGGTGGATCTATTTCAGGTCCATAATAACTGTTACGAAAAATCGAAACTTTCATCGTTTCTCTCAAAATATACGTTTTCTTCACTCGACGAAACCTTAATCTCACTTCAAATGTACGAAGGATACTACTTGCTCGGTTCCTATCTGTATTCTGCCATAACGAACATAACCCTTTTCAATTATGTGGCACCTGAAAAAAGTATTGCTTCTATGGATATTCATGGACCATTCGGACCAATTTATATCAACAATAATGGACAGAGAGTAGCAGGTAAGTGAGGGTAGAAGTAAAAGGAAATTTAAACTTTGGCATAATTATAGGTTACCGAATTCAAATGAAGCATTTCTTTTAGTTTAGTTAGACTGGAACATATTTGTTGTGTTGCTTCAATCATTTTAGAATTATTTAAAAAAACGTTTGAATAATAGACCACCAAATTTCAGGTTTCGAAGTGATGATAGTGAATAAATCGGAACCGATGAGAAACTATACAACAGACCTAGGAACAGTTTCTACCACGAAAAAGTGCCCTCGTATGGCTTGTCTTCATTTCGTTATCAACTCAACCTCATCACCATCTTATGAACCACCTAAAGATGTGCCGTTATGTGGTTTCCATGGAGAGATTTGTGATCAGACTGGGTAAGTTGAAGAGACATCAGGCATGCACACCGCATCATTAGTATCCCTTCTTTCGCCTTCTTCTTCTGCCTGCTTTATGGTGTAACTCTCTGTGCTCCCTTCGAAGAGTTTCTGAGACTTTAGCACGTAGGAAGGAAATTTGAAAAGTTGTTCTTTTTTCTTTTCCATTATTTAAACTCATTATTCAAACTATATATGTTCCCATTGAATGACCTCAAACAATGAGGCGCTTTCTGATTCCAGTGTGATTTACGCGATTGGAGTCGTCGGCGCTGTCGTCGCTATTTTTATTGTCTTCTATGTGGCTATTCGAAAATTGTAAGTCTTTCTTTTGACATTGAAGTAAGAACTCTGAAATTTTTAAGGGTGACTAGTACCAGAGGGAGATCCATCAGTAACCCATGGCTTATACCATTTCACGACCTTCGATTTATCGATTTAACAACTACAGATGGAGTGAGTTAAAATCGAAAATCTTGTTACAGATAAGAACTTTTCAGAGCCAACAAATGTCAGTGCAAAGTCTCAAGGAGAAGATGGCAGAACGGGCACATCTGAAGTCGATTGCTCGTACGAAACTGATTGCTACCGTTGACCAAACTTATGTTCTAGTTGATAAATTCGTTGTGAGAGATAAGATTCGATATGAGAAGAGTGATATCAATTTGCTTTATCAGGTAAGTAAAAGTATCCCTTTTTCATCTAAAGTTCCAATTTTTTCCAGATGAAGAGTCAAGTACAACATGACAATTTGAATCAGTTCGTTGGCTTATCTCTTGACAAGAGCTCCCATATCTATGTTATTTGGAACCAGTGTTTTCGGTACGAGCCTCTTTTTGAAGACGTCTTCGTCAAAAGTCAAAATATTTTCTTTGTTTGTTTTTCAGCGGAAGTTTGTACGACCACATTTTCACGAAAGAACGGTCGAGAGATACTGCAACGAACTTCGAAGGAGCATTTCTTCGTGATATTCTGAAAGGCTTAGACTATTTGCATAACAGCAGTCTGGAATATCATGGAAATCTAACTCTTCATAATTGTCTTTTGGATTCTCATTGGATCGTTAAAATCAGTGGTTTCGGTGTCAATCGTCTTCTTGTCAAATGGAAGGCCAGCGGACAAATATTCACAGAAGATCACACGCCAGTCTTAAAATCAGAAGGTTTGTTGGAAGTGGAGAGATTCAGAGACAAGGGCATTGAACGTATAATTATGTGATGGATGATATTTTTTGAAATAAGAGTGCGAGGGAGTGATAAATAAGTTGAGAATTCGTGTATTCAATGTAGGCATTACTCATAACTAACTTCTAATTAGTGGGTGTTGGCGAGGCAAAGGTTGTTTATAATCCAGTAATTTTCAATTCACAAGGGATGAGAATGCTATAGAATTCGTTTGTTGAAACAAAAACAAAGATCTTGAAGATGAAATAATCGCCGTAAAACCTGTAGTAGAAGGGCCCCTAAATTTCACTTTTGAGGCAATTTATCTCGCTTCTTGTCACAGATATGAAAAATATGTCAAGTGATAAATTGTTTATCATAATATCAGAAGTATTTTGTCATTTGACACATTCTTGATATCTTTTACAGGAATCGAGATAATTGAGCTCAAAGTTGAAGGTAATTTATCTTTTGAAAGGAGAAATGTCAAACACAATTTGGCTTTATCCTTCAAAAAACTGATTCATATATAGTTCTTTGCAGAAATTCATTATTTTGATCCTTTAATGAAGGCGGTGTGGAAATCTATGAATGGAACGAAACAAGACAAAGGAATGATATCAGGGGATATGGGAAGAAGAGGTGACATGTACTCGTTTGGTGTCATTTTGTACGAGATTTGCTTCAAAAAGAAAATGGTTCCACCATTGTTTGATTATCCAAAAGGTGAGGAATTTTTTTTTGGAATTCCAGATATTTTAAAATCAAATTTAAGGAGAAGACGAGAGCGTTTTGATTGACGATGAAAACGATGCGATTGCAAGTAAATACCCACTTCCACTCGATCTTCCACCTAACCATGACATGCACAACGATCTTATCAAATTGCTGGAAAACTGTTTTGGAACTAATCGGCCGGACGTGAAGCTTGCCAGGAAAATTATAGATACAGTTCTGAAAGTGCAAGGATCACTTGTTGACTTGATGATCAAGAACTTGACGGCTTACACCGAAGGTCTGAGTGAAACGGTCAAACAACGAACTGATCAATTGGAGCAGGAAATGAGGAAGAATGAAGATTTATTGAGAGAACTTCTTCCAGCATCTATAGCAGAAGATGTAAAAAGAGGATTAAGACCAGGAGCAAAATCATATTCACAAGTAACTATTCTATATTCCGATATTGTTGGATTCACTTCTCTATGTTCTGAAAGTAAACCACTGGAAGTTGTCAACTTATTGTCTGGAATGTACCAGAGATTTGATCAAATTATTAGTACGAATGGCGGCTACAAGGTATAAAAAATTCCAGTTTTAATCTTTTGATTAATATTTTTCTAGATGGAAACGATTGGAGATGCGTATTGTGTGGCCGCCGGATTACCAGAAGAAAGAGCAATGGAGCATGTCAAGATAATCTGTATGATAGCGTTGTATCAAAGAGATGTGAGTTGTTTTTGTCTAGGTTTCGTATATGATTTCCTATTTTTTTCAGTCGTTACATCACTTCGAGATTCCTCATCGAACGGGACAATATCTGAACTGTCGATGGGGATTCAATTCAGGAGAAGTTTTTGCTGGAATCATTGGACAAAGAGCTCCACGCTATGCATGTTTTGGAGAAGCTGTTATGTTGGCTTCCAAAATGGAGAGCAGTGGAGTAGAAGATCGTATTCAGATGACATTGGTAAGCAAACAGCTCCTGGAAGATCACTATCCCTTCTTCAAATGTAGTTTTAGGGGTGGAGTTACAGTTGAAGTAAGTCACATTGTAAGATTCCAGAAAACCGAATTTAATTTTCAGCCTTTCGGTCATATGCTGACCTATTGGCTGGAAGGAGTACAAGAAGGAAACACCATAAGAGTTGCAGAATTTGAGGAGTCAACTAATGAAAACTTGAAGAAAACAGTAGAGGTTGGAGAGTATGGACATGTTGTGAAAGTAGTGTTGAAGCATTCAACTCCATCTCCAAAGGCCAGTGAACAAAAGAGCCGACAGGAATTGGCAAGAGAGAAAGTTCTGAAAGAAAAAGAACTAGAAGAGTCACGGCTGAAGCGTCAGCAAACCCTCCATGAAGCACTAGAAGAGTATGAAGATGAAGTTGAAATGAACGCTATACTGAAGGATGATGATGAGAAACACAGTGCGGGTGATTTGACAAGTATTCTGAGTGTTCCATTAGAAGGTGAAGATGGAGAAGAAGAGGAAGAAGGCAGAGCAATTGGACATGGAAGGCTGGATAGTCAAGCTTCAACTATTTTTGCGGCGGACGATCCAGCTGAAGAGTCATTGAAGAAATCAGATCCCGATCTTAAAAAGACAGATCCCGAGCCAGCCTAGTTGTCAGGAAAATTTCAACTTTTTTATCTTTGAAACATAATGGTTCTAACATAAATCTCACATTTGCTCATTATTCTATTGGGTTCCCAGTCTTTTAGTTCATCTTTCCCAGTGCCTCATTTTTTATGCTTTTACTAAAAAAAAACATTTTTATATTCCTTTATTTTTGATCCAAGTACTTTCACCACTTCCCTTATGATATTATCCATTGAAGCCTTAGTACTTTTCCTCCCTACACCATGAGTTAATTCAAATGTCATCCTGCCCATCTTTTTATTTATTTTTTGCTGGTCCATAATGATAAGGGTCCTTTCATATTATTTTTTTTTGCAAATCTCATATTTTTATGAACCGCTTTATACTTTTAGTTTGTGTTGAGATCAATTACAAATCAAAAAGTAACAAGGAAGTCAGCCAACAATCTAGGAACATGATTTCATGGGATTAGAAGTACGTGTGAATATGATACTATGACATATATCAATATTATGAGTCAGACAAAAAACTTATCATAATGTAAGACAGATGCTACACCTTTCAAAATTATTCACGTGGGAATTTACGATTCAATGAGTTTGAAAATGATTTTCGATGAAAAGTCATCTTTCTTAACAGCTCGTAATAAACTTGTTTTGAACGTTTTTACATTTCAAATTTACAATTCAAGTATTACAGTACTTCCTCTAAAAGAAGCTCACCAAAACCGCGAACTTCGATCTTAAATATCTTTATTAATGTAGAAGCTATGAAAAAATTGTAAACTGATAAAATATTAGTGATATAACAAGTAGCGATTTTCAAAATTTCTAATTTTCATCCAAAAGCAGTTCGATTTCCAACATTTCTGTGAAGTTTCACAAATTGTACATTTTATTTACTGAGCGAAAAATATGTTCAAATTTACAGGAAATACGTTCAATTCAGTGGTGACAGAAATCGATGCTTTCGATTTTTGTGAGTTTGGCATATTCACGTCTTTCACAGAAATCGAAGCTTTTAATTTCTGGGAGAGCGGAAAATTTACGTGGCTCACATAAATCGAAAGATTCAATTTCTGGGAAGAATGTGGGAGGATTCAGAAGGGTCATGAAAAAAGCAAAATGAATAGTGAGGAAACTATCGTTGGACTTGTTGCTTTCCAAAAGACGGATCCGTGCTTGAAGAGGGTTTTTTTCCATGGGAGCTATCTGTTGGCTGAAAAACTAGCAGAATTTTGGATTACATTCGAAGGTTTTAGTCGAAAAAAAAAACACAAAACTCATTATTGAAATTTTGAAAGATTGGCAACACCTGCTTTTTAGCTATCGAACGATATTTTTCCGTCTCTCCACCAATTTCATCCTAAAGTACTGCACATTACAAAAGTGAGTTTTGTGTTTTTTTTCCGATCAAGACCTTCGAATGTGATCCAAAATTTTTTACTAGCTAATTTTTCAGCCAACAGATCCCATGGAAAAAAACCCTCTTCAAGCACAGATCCGTCTTTTGGAAAGCAACAAGTCCAACGATAGTTTCCTCACTATTCATTTTGCTTTTTTCATGACCCTTCTGAATCCTCCCACATTCTTCCCAGAAATTGAATCTTTCGATTTATGTGAGCCACGTAAATTTTCCGCTCTCCCAGAAATTAAAAGCTTCGATTTCTGTGAAAGACGTGAATATGCCAAACTCACAAAAATCGAAAGCATCGATTTCTGTCACCATTGAATTGAACGTATTTTCTGTAAATTTGAACATATTTTTTGCTCAGCGAATAAAATGTAAAATTTGTGATCAAAACAACACATATTTCTATTTTCATCAGAACTTTCAAATTTTCTGAGAAGATTTACAGAAATTTTGACATTTTTTGATTATTCCTTTCAGAATTAAAAATTTTGAAAATCACTACTCTTATATTATGATAAATAATTTATGAGTTGACAACGTTTCGATATCTTTGACAGGAATCCAAATAATTGAGCTAAAAGTCGTCTATTTGAGTTCTATTAGAGGAAATACAGTAACTATGTGTGTTTCCAAAACCATGAATACTTCGAATCCTGAAATGTCATACCATCGGAAAATAATCCGTTTTGAAACAAGTGAAAACTCAACCAGCCTGTGACCTCCGATCAATAATTCAATAATTCTTTTAAAGTCATCTCTGACGATTTTCGAAAATCATAAACTGATAAAACTGGCATGTTTGATATGTCTTTTCTCCTCTTGATGATTTTTGATGCAAACTTTTCCAACCCATTCTGAAACTTGCATAAAATACAATAGGAATGTTGAATGTTATTTGCGGAAAGGTGTGTTACTGGTACGATGAACTATGAAAAGGACAGAACCACTTTCAAAACATTTCAGTTCAACTGATATTCTAGTCTGAAACATTTCGATCAAAAAGATTACCTGCACACACATTTTCGGCACATGAGAGTTATTTTCTTATCTGCTAAATATGAACCATTCTCTTATCAGTTGCTCCGCCTTTTTCGAAAAAAATCAGTTTTAAAGAACTGCAGTTTTCCCATGATTGGCAAGTTTGAAGTTTCTTCGTTTGATTTTCTCGGAATTCATTTTCCATTGCCTTCATTTTCTCACCTGATTCTTGTGGTTCACTGAGCCCAACTCCATAATTCTTTGCTCTCACACGTACATAATCTAACTGAATTCTCCGCTTCTGTTTCAAGAGGGAAGTCAAAAATATTAAAAGTGAAAAACAAACGAATTGATTCGATTCCGATACGTTTTTCCCTCCATTCGGCAGCTCGGAATATGAAAAACTTTTCGAGAAGAGAAGAGATGATAGGTGGACAACTCACACCTGGTGTTCTTTTTCGAAACCAGACACCCTCACAAATCATTTCTCGTTTCCCTTCTTTTTGCAGTTTCTCATTTTTATCAAAGCTCAAAAAACGCGCAATATCTTGTTATTTTAGTCAGAAAATATAATGGATCCAAAATTAAAAATTTCACCCTCGCCTTATCGAACAGCCATTTTTGAAGCTGCTAGTTCGAAAAATAGGCTAATAACACTGTTCTAGATCGATGACCCGAAATATAATTGAAATTGAAACCTGTTGAAACCTCTTCATTGAAAGGTACCCCCGTTTTCAGTGAAATATGTTACGGAAATTCCACATTTTCACAAAAAAAATTTGTTGAAATTGATAGGTTTTCATGAATTTTGAAAGAAAATTCACCAATTTTTAAAATGAACATTTTCGAAATAAACGGCCCGAAAATAGAAAGATCCCCTCTAATTGAAGGGCCCCTATAATAAAAGTAGGTACCTCGGAACAATAGAAAAGCCCTTCTAATACAGGTTTTCCAGTAATTTTTATTTTGGGAGTCATAAAATTGATCCACTTTCCAAATTTGATGTCATTTTTAAACAAAATTTAATTTTTTTAGTACATCCTGTTTTTCACTCTACCCAAATGTGTACATTTATTTTCTTTTCAAGTCTTACAACTTTTTGAACATTATAGTTTTCCAAATGAATACTCGAATCTAAAAAATTTGCAGATTTCGTATCAGCTCAGTCATTCTTTGTTCTTTTTTTTCTGTTCCAGAGCAGTCGTAAACCACACAAAAAGCATGCGAAACCTTCGCCCTTTTCCTTATCACCCCACATTTTCTTTTCAATTTTTGATCGTCTTTGAAAGTGTTGAGCATCTCAAACAACAGTTTTAAGAAGTCTTAACCGTTACACTAACTAAATACCCTTTTAAATCATATTTTCCTTTTTTTTCATTTTTATCACATGTTTCATAATTTTTGATTCCAGGGGCGGTATTTTTCAAAAAACACGATTCGTCTAACTTGGCAACAACAATACTGAAAATTATGCTAACCCGGTGGTGTTTTCTAGTTTCAATTGCTTTATTATGTTTCATTCTAAATGGGTCATTTCAAGTAGAAGTGAGTTGTATCGTCTCTATAAGAATAAAACTGTTCTATTTTGCAGATCCACGTCTGTGACTCAACAAACTCAAATAATTCGTAAGTTCTACTCTCTTTTGTAATAATTACACTGCATGTTTATAGGTTCATATATTGCAATGGACCGATATTGGATGCTGTAAACTATCATGCACTGTACAATGATTCGAAAGAGTTTGTTGATATGCCGATGAAGCAAGATCCTTGTGAGTCACAGAAGCAATTGCTAAAAAATGTTGCAAAAACTTTCAGTGGAAGTGTATAACGCATGGCTGGCTAAATTTGGAAACTCATCAGCTTCAAGCTTGAATAAGACGGATGTCCAGGCATTTGTGAACCAATATTTCAGTGCTGCTGGAACTGAATTGGTTGCTTGCACTCCGGATGACTGGCAGGAAAAACCTCCTAAACTAGCAACGATTCTGGATCCGCAGCTTCGTGAATGGGCCTACAAGTTGAATGCGATCTGGAAAACATTGTGCCGTAAAATCGATCCAACCATTGTCCAGCACAACTCTCGCTATTCATTATTGTATGTTCCTCATCACTTCATTGTTCCTGGAGGTAGATTCCGAGAGTTCTATTATTGGGATGCTTATTGGATCATCAAGGTAATAGATCATATAAAGATTTCACAGTTCTATAAAATTTTTAGGGGCTCATTGCATGCGAGATGTATAACACCACCAAGAGTATGATCAGGAACTTGGCAACGATGGTAGATCAACACGGATTTGTTCCGAACGGAGGGCGTGTTTACTATCTTCAAAGATCCCAACCTCCCCTTCTCTCTGCAATGGTTTATGAGCTTTACGAGGCGACAAATGACAAAGATTTCATTGCGGAACTTTTGCCAACTCTCTTGAAAGAATCGAATTTCTGGAATCAAAAAAGAACAGTGAATGTGACATTGAATGGAAAAGAATACGAGGTTTATCAGTATAAAACTCCGAGTAATGTGCCAAGACCAGAGTCCTACCGAGTTGATACTCAAAACTCAGCTAAATTGGCAAATGGTGCAGATAAACAACAGTTCTATCAGGTTAGTTGAGTTCTGTTAGATAAGTTACTAAATTGTGAACTTCTCTAGGATCTTGCCAGTGCAGCCGAGTCTGGATGGGATTTCTCCACAAGATGGTTTTCTGATTACAAATCCTTGACAAACATCGAGACAACAAAAGTATTGCCTGTTGATCTAAATGGACTTATTTGCTGGAATATGGACATTATGGAATATCTATACGAGCAAGTCGGAGATACAACCAATTCCCAAATTTTCCGAAACAAAAGAGCGGTATTCCGGGATACTGTTCAAAATGTGTTCTATAACAAAACGGATGGAACTTGGTACGACTACAACCTGAGATCCCAATCTCACAATCCAAGATTTTACACTAGCACTGCGGTTCCACTTTTCACTAACTGCTATAACACCCTTAATACTGGAAAATCTCAGAAAGTCTTCGATTATATGGATGTTAGTGTTAGATTATGTCTTTGTCATTTTGAGTGATTTTTTTCAGAAAATGGGAGTATTCAATTATCCAGGAGGAATTCCATCATCCATGTCTCAAGAAAGTTCTGAGCAATGGGATTTCCCGAATGGTTGGAGTCCAAACAATCACATGATTATTGAGGGATTGAGAAAGTCTGCAAATCCTGAAATGCAAGATAAGGTAAAAGATTCCCAGGCCCTTATAAAAATACTTGGGGTAAACGGGGTCATTGAACATAAGTTGGATGGTCTCTGAGCAAATAACTCGGGTATCAATGTATCGTTCTTTTGCAAGTAGAGTAATTGAAAAAGCACTTAAAAGTTCGTACTTATATAAAACGTACCTCTTTGGTATGTTTTTCTAAAGTATCCCTCTCTAATTTACAAATGTAACTTATCCGAGCAAATCTTTTTTTGTTTACTCCGATTGCTCACCAACCAAAGTTGTACATATATAGAAAAACATGGTTGACGAACCTAATTTAGATTTTTAGTGCAGGCTCAAATTAGCTGTATATGTTTCAAGAAATATTTTTGCTCATGTCTCTTGATCCTTTTTTCCCTCATCTTATTCACCGGTACCCACTTGTGTACATTGACCACGAGGACAATTATATGTAGTGTAACTGTAAGAGCACACCAAATGTCCATGTGTCACTATAGTGTGAAAACCAATCTGTTGTTGACACCAAATTAAACCGGAAGACCGGTGGCGTTGAAAGAACTCGGCCGCACAAAATACTGTAATGGAGGTGCTAAGTTACTGCTAACTCTCATAATCCCCCTTTTGACCATGTGGAGTTATCTAATCAATTTGATTTTCAGGGATTCCTCATTGCATCCAAATGGGTTATGGGAAACTTCCGAGTGTTCTACGAAACTGGACATATGTGGGAGAAGGTAAGACATTTTAGTTCTGGAAATGATAAAGAAAACTCAAGGAGTTATAAACTATAAAAAATAGATATAACAAGTAGTGATTTTCAAAAGTTTTAATTTTGGGAAAAATATTCAGAAAGTGTTAATATTTCTGTTATATTTGTTGAAAAAACACGTTGCTCCCAAAAACTTAACGGTCCATCTTTTGGGAGATTCAAAAGATTCACGTGGCTCACAAAAATTTTTGAAATTTCAGTACTTTGATGTGAAAATTAAACTTTTGAAATTCACTACTTGTTATATTTTGAAAATTCAAAAAAAATCATCAAAATCTCGAACCTGAAGCGTGCTTTGAGGATATCAATTTTTCTGGTGAACTTCAAAATTACACAGTACAGATTTAAAAATGTCAATATAAGGACTCGATTGAGATGTTTCGTAAACCTCTTTTATTTCGATACCTACCATGAACGCTCTAATGGAACGCCACTTTCAACTTTGAGTAAAACTATCTCAGTTCCTGCGAAAAATATCAAAAAGTGATCAACTGACAAAATATGATTGACTCGATCATAAATATTTTGTCAATTAACTCTTTTTTTATATCCTTTACAAGAACTGAGATATATGGGCTCAAAATTGGCGGTTTGGGAAGCTCTTCTAATAAAAGCTTTACGGTAATGCTTTTTTTTCTAACCTAAATTCGTACACTATTAATCTAGAACCTGGGGTGAGAGTACTCAAAACATTTTTTGTTTTTCTAGTTTCTAGAAGTTCTAGAATTTTATCACTCGTCCCGAATATTGTCTCCCTTTCCTCTTCCCATCAAAGTTTCGAATTCCTAGTTTCTTCTACTCGACGAAAGAATAGAGAGCCTACATCACGCCGACCGGGGCCGTCATCATCATAATCATCACTATACATCCTCCTCCACTTTCTTGTCTTTTTTCTCTATTTTCCCACTCCAAATCATATGTAAATATAATTTTAAGAGGGTCCGCCACCATTCTAACACATAAGCTCTTCACATGCATCGTTTCTCAGATTCGCCTATTCTTGCGATTATGTAGATTGTGTTAAATCGCGTGTATGTGCCCTGAAGCGGCATGATTTGGTGTCGTAGAAGGGGCTCCGAATATCTACTACGGTAGGTTAGAGGAGCCCATCCAATGATCGAGATGAGCAGTTGAGACGATGAAGTTGATGAAAATATAAGTGTGTATGGGAGAATAGTAGAAAAATATGTTCGTGCCTATTGTCGAATTAAAAAAAGTGACACCTGAGAATTTGTTCCTCAAACGGGAAGAGCTCGGAGAGTCCATCAAGTCGTTCCCCACATTTTGACCAATTTTTAGAAAAAGGTCCGATGAGCCCTGTCCGTTTCTCTCCTCTCCAGGAAACCGACGACGGACAGGGTCAACAAAACAATCATTGGAGATGATGAACGGGTACTGTATGTTAACAATGCCAGTAAACACCTGTGGCGCTCTGCAAAGGAAACGGTGGGATCGGTCTCAAAAGGCAGCCTTCAGGAAAAAATCAGATTTTTCCGATTCGGTTAGACAGTGCTGAAGTAAAATACCGCAAGCTGCTTCCGGATTCCTATGTCATCAACTTTGGCTCTACTGCTTTCAAATAGAAAGTGGTATTTATGCACATCGCTCTCACCTCTAGAGAGGCTCAGTGTTGAAATTTTTGCATGACAACGAAAAACCACACAAATATTCGAAGAGCCGTTACAAACTCCATCTTCTAGGAATCGAAGTTTTGCATTGCCCATCGTACACCGCCGACCTGGCACTAGCTAATTACTACCATATCAGATTTCTCCAGAATCGTCTTGCTGGTGAGAAAGTCCTTGTCGGAAGGATGTCAAGAAATTTTTGGAACACTGTTTTGCCTCTAAGTCGCCAGAGTTCTACGCGAACGGAATTGCCCAACTTCCGTTGCGCTGGCAAGAAGTTATGAACTCCAATGGCGAAATAATTTCTCAATGATTCTTGTTTTCCTTGAAGAAAAAACTACTTGAAGAAAAGTGACCACTATTTATTGAACAACCTAATATACCAAGAAGTCAAAATTTTGTTCAAAAAATCCCACTACATTCACATAAATAAATTTGTTATCTACAGTATCCGTTTTTGCTCCGCCCCCTCGTAAATCGGCACGAGCGCCGTCTCCGAGATTTTCAGGTCTCACTTTTTTTAATCCGACAATAATATCAGTTTATCTTATAAGAATGAAGCTCCCCTAAATGATCATGAACAAGTTCCGTGATGATGTTCCATCCAAACCCTGTCAATTAAGTAACAATCGTTTTCTTTACCGAACGAAAGTGGGTGGTAACGGGGTAACAGGTGTACAATAGAAAAATAACATCTCCGTTCAAAGGAATCCATTATGTCATTGTGTGTTGACTTGTTACCTCACTCCCGTCACTAATCCGCCATGGCCTCAATCCTGATAGTGTCTACCTGCAGCCGGCCCCTGCAGAGAGAAAATAGTTAATGGTACATGTGGTAAGATGTTTATCGGAAGGCTTACCGGAATCATTTAGACGGCGCGGACAGGTGACGCTATTACTGTATCCCTTACCTAGTAAGGGTCAATCATTGGGAAGAGAAGTTGATTTTTGTCGAAATAGGTGCGGTGAAAGATGAAGACCCGGTGTTTTGAAAAGTGAAGGATCACTTGACTAAAGCGGTTCTTTTTCTAACACTACTACAGTACTACCATGACAATAGGTCTCGATGCGCGAGAAAAAGACCGAGAAAGGCAAGGAATGGCATTGGTTTGATTGGCACCACTTATCGATGATCATGACCTTCTTCTCTCGTTTTTGTTCATCATCGTTTTGTCAATTTCGTCTGAATACCTTCTTTTCAATTGTCTTCTCTTAATTTCGATAGTTAGAGAAACGGAGGATGATTGAACACCTACGATTACTTGATCGATACAATTTGAACAGAAAAGATTAATGAATCAAACTGAGGATCCCGAGAACGAAATAGTTGCCACGTCTTCCGAAGTGTCTGTTTCAGCCAGATCAATTCCCCCATAATCGTTGAGTGCAGTCCTACATAGAATATTAACAGTTTGGATATAGTTAACATTTCACACCTTATTTCACGTGCTGAGCAAACTGAGAACACTTGTCTCAACTAGGTGTCATTCACACCTATCAGTGGGTTGAGTGGTGTTTCTTCACACTTAACCTCTGTATATTTGAAACTGAAAATTCTGATTATGAGAACATTTGTGGGGGATCAAACGGTCTATTCCCTTTCCCTTTACTTTCCTGAATTTTTTCTTTTTATTTGCATGTTCATTCGTGTCACCAATTATCGAAGCACTTATCGCTTGGGGTGTGTTTATTGGAGTCCCGTAGGCCCCCCGTCTGTCAGCAACTCTTGAGCCGCCCTTCTAAATTCTAGTGTCGCACACAAAAGGAAGACAAGTTGTTAGTGAGCACAAATTACCATAAATCTGTGATGACAGCTTGAGCTTTCACACTTTTCTTTTCGAAAGGTTCCACCGGAAGATAATGAAATCAACTCTCAATTAATTAATTTCAGTACAATGTCATCGGAAGCTACCCGGCGCCGGGATCTGGAGGAGAGTACGATGTGCAGGTATGGAGGGGTAATGTAGAGTTCTGAGTAACTATAGAAACGGTGTTTCAGGATGGTTTTGGTTGGACGAATGGAGCTATTTTGGATCTCCTCTTGACCTACAGCGATCGACTCTTCGTTCCTGAGAATTTGGTCAATGTGACTACAACTCCAACTAAATCGCCATCAGTTGAAACTACTACAAAAGTGTCTTATCTTTTGAACTCGTGGATTGTTTTCCTTGGAGTCCTATTTTATGAGCTTTTCTGAAAACTTTTATAACTCTAGAAGCAAATTGAAACTGTATGTAAATAAAAATCAACTATCACACTTTTTCATCGTTCCCCCTCATTTTCGCGCACCGGCAACCACTTGATTCTGATGATTCAGGTGAAGAAATAACCTGAAAAGGGACGATGACGGAAGGGTTTCCTTCTTATTCTTTCTTTTGGTATACACTGCCGGAAGTTGTATTAACAATAGGCAAAATAGGTAGCATATTGGCGGCCGGGAGCCAGCTACCCTTTCGTTTATGAATGACACAATTGGGAGGAGTGGTGGTACAATATGAATGGAAAAGGAAGAAGAAAACGGACCATGCAATAAATGGAATTGGAGTCAGAAGCAGACCAAAAAATATGAAAGGAGAGAACAATAACTTCATTTCAGATGGGAAGCATTGAGTGTTTTTTCTATCAGTTTATTGCTGAAGGTGGAGTTGAAGAGACGGATCTATACGATTATGTTTCAGATATTAAAATGTAGATTCTTAGATGTTTCTACTGATTCCAATTTCTATAGAACAGTCAGAGCTTATGGCATTGATGTTCGGAACGGAATTCGGAATTCCGAAAATTCCGACTATCTTCGGCGGAGAGCTTCGTGGACTACGGTATATCAAAGGCATCTTGTGTCAGAAGAAAGTGGGATTTCTAGCTTAAAAATTGAAGTTTAACAATTGCCGAATTTTCCCGAGTTTCGAAATTTTGAAAATCGCCATTTTCGACATTCTGAAAATTCCGAAATAATCATTCCGAGCATTTATGGTTTTTACACTGTGGCGTCCCGGATTTGTGGAGATTCTGTCCAAAGCACGGTTGGAGCCTAGGCTGTCAATCTGGGTGTGATTGAGATTAGATGAAACTTCGCGGTCTCAAATCTCTGACCCCGACACTACCAAATCATCGATATGGATATTGATATTTTTAAAAACCTGTGTCCTCTTAATATCTTTCATCCCTCTCACTCATTATTTTTTATTAGGATCTTATCAGTTATCATAATATCTGTTTCGATTACAGAACCCCTCTTTTCTTTGTTTCAAAACCGAACAGTGTGATATGTTAACATGAACTGTCGTTTCGCTGATATCACCTGATATTTGTCAACTCAATGAAGAATCATTGTCGGGGAAGCTCTTTCTACCTCTCTTGTCATTCTCACTCTTCTCCTTGTCCCTATTCACTTGTAACCGGCGACTCGTATAGCAGTCGCAATTGCCGAAAGAGAGAAGGATACGGTAAGAGCAACAAATACGACACTTGTTATATCACTGCTCTAGTGGCGCTCGTTTCTTCTTCTTCAGATTCGTTTTCTTCTTCTACATTTTCCAATTTGCCTCAAGTTGTATTTGTCTTTTCACTGAGTCCCCCATCAATGACAAAAAGAGCGCGAAATGCGGGCGCGGGGTGGTCTTTATGAGCATTCAATTACCGTAGCACATTTGGATAGCCAAGAAGAAGAAGAAGAAGGAAAAGAAGCAAACGATGGGTCAAATTTCCAGATGCATCTCTTCTTGACAATCTACACATATTCTCACCTGTCGAAAACGATCAAGATATGAATCTCGACATGCCTCTAGCAACAGGGGGTGAAAGAAATGCACAGTTATCGTTAGCTTACAATAATGTTATCTAAATGTGTATCAAAATGTTGCGCTGAGGATTATGGAGCTCAGATGGCGTAACACATGTTTAACGAAGTCAAATTGATAGGTTAAAACAATTGCTGTACGATCCAAACCGTTCGAAGGGCAGGTGCATGACCTATGATGTGAAGATGGGACAATTCTAGAAGAACCTTCTTCACGGTGTTTTTTTTCCGAACGTCTTCAGAAGGCGCTCAAACGTATATGACTGTAATACTACAGTAAAATTAGAGTTGCCTGAACGCGAAAGCCACTATCTAGATTTCTGTATGTTGCCTGCACCGCATTTTTATACCTATCAGGCTCTATGAACTTCCCTCAACTTTTGCAACACGATTTTCGAAATTTTCAGTCATAGGTCAACTCTCGTCCGTGAGCCGGATAATAGCTTCCGGAGCATTTCTCGGGGTTTTGAAACTCTAAATTCACCCCGCTGTTATACATCGTCTTCTCCATTGTACTTTTTCCTCTTCTTCAAGGGACAAAAGGTTATTTAGTCTCGAAAAGGTGGACCGGAAGTTGACACGGATTATTGGACTGATCGTCGTTTTGGACAAATAGGTGGCCGATATACAGACCGTTGACAATGTATCAATAAATGGTAATCAGGAGGTTCCCGTATGTTGCTCACACAAATACCTTGCGCACACTTGTTTCGCGCGCATACTTCTAGCTTCTAGCGAACAGAAAGTTTATGCATACATATAAGTACCATTCGATGAGCTGTGGATGGTTAATGATCGTGTTTTTCTTGGTGTTGTACTCAAAAACGAGAGACCAAGTAAGTCGAGATTCTACACGCCATCTCTCTCCAACCCGAAAAGCTCTCACGTTTCTTGGCTTTTCCCCACCAAGATTCTTTACCCCTTATCCCTAATCCGATGACGACGATGTTGGTATAAGAGCTACATAGTCAATTGTAACCAATTAAAATAGATGAGCTGCTGCTACTGCTACTGCACATGTTTTAAGGAGTTGAAGGATCTTAAGCTTATGGCGTAATATTTGGATAACATGAGGATAAGTGGGTCCCCTTCCAAAACGGCGACCATCCAAATTGATGGTGACACCGGTGTCGAGTGGATGGGTTCCATCCGGGAAAAGAAGGGAAAGCCAAGGAACCGTCCTATTGCGTAACGAATGACGTTGCAGATGACCTAATTGAGCTTTTTCCTAAATAGACTCACTAATTGAGGTTCCTTCTGTTGTATCTATTTTCAAATAGAAAACTGAAAGATCCTAGAGGCACCACTCTGATACTGTAACCCGAAACTAGTAAGCATTACCAGTGATTCCTAATCCCTGACTCTTTTCACGTAACCTTTTTTGCCTACAGCTATCAAATTTCTTGGATGGATTACGGTAGAGAATGTGTTTCTTCCCCTTCTCACAACCACGCGCGAGGAGCAAACATCCCGAGAGTCACCACTCAGTGACAATCAACCCCGACACGGTGGTTAGATATGTGTATCGATTTGAGTTGATCAATCAGAAGAAAAGAAGGAGATGGTGTAACGAACAAGACGATGTAAAAGACCATGAAGAAAACGATAGAATACAGATCTTCCGCATGATTCTTAATCCTGGTATCAGTGGCGCGCGCTAAATGGCTTAACCGGGGGAAAGAATATGGCGACAACGGTCAAGGTTTGGAGTAGATTCCTTCTACATAGATGTACCGAATACAGAAATCTAGATAGTTGAAAACTTCAAAAGAGTTTGTAAGATAGTATCGTTTTCTGCCAGATGCCCATATAAGCGAGCCATCTGCTCCACCTATTATGAGATGTGACATAATTAGTAACGAGCATAATTAAAGGTAGAAATATGCCGATTTGTAGAGAGTTCCAGGGGCACCTGGTAATTGAATCTCTATTGTTCATTTGCCGTGACAAGGTGAAGACCGCTTTACAAGGTGAAATATAAGGATCATTTATTTATTACTGTTTTATTGGTTGTAATCCGTAACACCCCCTGATTTCACTGTTTTGATCCACTTCTGAAGAATCTTCTCCAATTGCCACACTAATCAATTAATCACTCAAGCGAGCTGTCATCGCCACTTATAGGGTCCGAAATTGACTGAAAACAACTAATGGCAAGGGGTCGAAGAAGGGGGCGGTGTGATTGGAAGAAGTGGTAATAGGCGAAGGAAACAGAAACACTAAATAAATGCCATTAGCGAAACAGCAAAAAAAAAAAAAAAGAGAGACCTCTTTCAAATCATCCATCGAGATGGGGCCTGGCGCCTCGAGAGGAGAACTGAGTACTTGTTTTCTCTTACTCAATGTTCATCAATGCCATACAAAGGAGTACGGTATTGGAAGTGTTAGGATGGGGAGACGAGTTGGATAAACACGTGGCTGTTAAGACCATTTGGGAGCATGGTTTGACGAATGAATGTGGAGATATTGGGCAAGTGCGAACTGATGTTCCATCTATGGTTACAAATATGGGGACTGTTAGAGACTCAGTGAAAAATTTGAAGATGAGATTGAAACTTCCATTTTCAGAAGACCGAATAATTGTGCAAGAAGCTTCTTCTTCTTTTCCATCAACAACTTCAATCGACATCTTTATCTTGCGTCTCCCTCCTCATCCATTCGGCGTCGCCGGCCCCTGCAGTTCCCCTGATTAGTTTCGTAGTTAAACAAAAGCTTCCTAATGATACTCACTTACCCACTACCCCAGGGACAAGAAGTCATCAGTATCGTCTCTCTTTTAGACTTGCATCCCTTTTTCTTCTTTTCCAATAGAAGGGGCGGGGTTTTCAGTATGAGGGTTAGGCAGCCAACCCGCGCGCGTCTCTCACGACTCCGCCCCCGTATCATTAGAAAGATTCGTTGCGCCGAGCGCATACACATTCAACCACACCATACTCATTCGATACATCCCCCATCCTCCTGGCAATCTGACTCCGACAACTGTCATTGATTTCCAGTGTGACTCTGAGTCATTGATCCCAGAAGGGAAACTGTCTCCGAGTCCTAATCCCCTACCCTTCGCGAACATGTTCACTCCAGAACAGTTCTCGAAGGTTATGTCCCAGTTGGGTAACTTCTCCCAATTGGGTCAAATGTTCCAACCCGGAAATTTGGCGATGCTTCAAGCACTTCAAGCCAATGGATCCACAGCCACTCCATCTCTATTCCCAACTATGCCAGTGATACCATCCCTCGCTGCTCCATCATCACCAACAACCTCAAATTTGACTGTTGACCAGGTTAGTTTTTTGTTTGATTTCTAGTAGAATTCTTCTTTTTCTTCTTGATGATAGCGCCCAAATATATGTGTCATTAGAGTAGTGGTGAGCCATCAAAGAAGTAGGCCGCGAAGACATCAGAATAGTTGAAGACAAAGAAAAGAGTAAAAGAGAAAAGAGTTGAAAGCTAAATGATATAAGAAAACGATTTGATCAAATTTGAAACGTATCTTTTCCTCTTCTCCCTTTCTTCTTACTTCCGTTCTCATCCTTCTTCTTTTTTTACTTTCAATCCAATCATGCTCCTTGTCTTCTCATAACTTTATTGCTTTTTGTCTCCTCTCTTTCTCGCCTTCTGCAACAAAGTGCAAAAATAAATTCCATTTTTCATCCCCTTCTCTTGTTACACAAAATGATTGAAAAATGCTTTATAAAGGAGAATCATAAGTATGAGACATCTTCCCTATCTATCAACTTCCAATATCAACTTTCAGATCGTGAAAACCTGTAAGAAACTGGAGAGCGAAGGAGACGTTGACGGTCTATTCCGATTCATGTGCACTATTCCCCCACAGACGGTCCAAGAGGTAAGACACAGTCTTTCTTTCCTAGGAGCATAGATCTTAATCTCATCCCTAATTCCAGGTGTCCGCAAATGAGACGTACCTCCGAGCAAGAGCTCTCGTTTGTTTTCATGCAGGTCACTTCCGAGAGCTTTACTCGATTCTGGAGAACAACAAATTCTCACATGAGTACCATCCGAAGCTTCAAGAGATGTGGCACGAAGCCCATTACCGAGAGCAGGAGAAGAATCGTGGAAAGTGAGTTCGGATCCCCTTTTCTTCGTTGTCTTAAGAAGCTATCATTAGTGCGAGTTACGGTAACATATGGGGGTATAGCGCGGCGTTATTGTATGTGAGTGAGTGAGAAAGAAGAAAGGAGCCGGCTCCTTTTGCTTTGCAATCCTGTCCGACAATATTTGCGTTAAGTGAGAGGAGAAGATGGGTCTTTCTCGCATCGTTCTAACATCGATAGGACTGATAGACGAGACAGATACCCGTGAGCGACAGAACAATGTGATTTGTGAGAACAAGAGGATCAGAAAACAAGGCAGGATAGCATCTGGCGTGTCATGTCTGAAATGATCTTGAGGGGTTTTTTCCTGGGGGAAAGATCTAGATCTCATGACCGTTTCCCACCGAATACATCCGAATACCTCCACACCTTCTATCTCAAGTATCCATTTTTCAAATTAGGTTCACTTTGTCACTATCGAGGGAACGGTAAATGCGTGCTAATCGTCATCGTCTTCTTTGTGACTTCGGGTCATCCTTCTCATCCTGACCACCAGAAGAGAAGCGACGACAATACGAATGAATACCACAAATTTGACACCTTAAGAAAACGAGGTAGCTTTTAGAGCCATCTCGCATGCCGTCTGTCGCATCGTGTCCGCGCAAGAAGGGATGCGCCCTCTAATTAGCTGATTGGCGTTGATTTTGTATGTGTATGGGACTACTACCGGCTAAAGAGCTAACCTCTAAAAGAAACATGTACCATATGTGCAGCGTACAGTGCCTTGGCTTGTTAATCGGATAATTTGTTTGACTCCTAGCCGACAACTAACATGACAAGATGTTTATAAACACATCGAGGGATTTGGGATTATTTCATTGTTCGAAAAACACATCCATCTATCTTTCAGATCCCTTTGTGCCGTCGACAAATACCGTGTCCGCAAGAAGTTCCCAATGCCAAGAACTATTTGGGATGGAGAACAGAAGACACATTGCTTCAAGGAGAGAACTCGATCACTTCTTCGAGAATGGTATCTTAAGGATCCATACCCGAATCCACCAAAGAAGAAGGAGTTGGCCAGTGCGACTGGATTGACACAGATGCAAGTTGGAAATTGGTTCAAGAATCGAAGGCAAAGAGATCGGGCAGCAGCAGCCAAGAACAAGTGAGTTATAATTTCAGCAAAAAAAAACAGAAAACTTTTGGTCAACAAAGTTTCTTTGTCTGGTTGTAATGGTAGTAGAAGACAAGAGCAATTAAAAACGGATCAAGGAAGTTTCTTCTCTATTTCTCGACCTTATGATCCTATGTAATCTGTTTCTTCTACTGCCATATAATCTGGAAATAAGAGAATAATTGACCCGATGCATTTCAAGTGTCATTTACGTTTTTTGTGGCAAACATCCTCTCAAAATATTTTCAGGATGAATACGACTGGAGTAGAACTGAGAAAGATCGCATCTGACATGTCGGAATCAGATGATGACTTCGACGATTCAATGACAGATTCACCAAGTCCGATCGACGAACCAAAGGATCTGAGCAAGAGTAATCTTTCCAAACTCCAGCCATCCCTTCTTCCAAAGATCACAACTCCATTTGATATGTTTGCTGCCGCGTCGTCAAATCCATTGCTCATGATGAATCCAGCGATGTTTTTGCAATTCCACAGTTTCCTGAACTCAATGAAAAACTGTCAAGGAGAAGAGGATGAGAATTTAGAAGCAAGCGTGAAGGTTGAAGCCGATGATGAGGAGATCAAAAAGAAGAGATCCAAGCTGAGCATCGATGAGATCCTCAACATCAAATCCGAAGTTTCTCCTTCTCAATGTTCACCTTGCTCCAATGAATCTCTTTCTCCAAAACAGACGCCCAAGAAGGAAGTGAAGAAAGAAGTCGATGACGAAGCTGCAGCTGAGGAAGATTCTGGCAGTGTCAACAGCGAAAGATCAGATCCAAGCGAAGCTTCCCCGAAGTCATCGACATCTCAATCTGAATGAAATCTTATTTTATTCAGTTGTAATTATTTCTTTAGTCTTTTTTTTCTTCCCATCTCAGTTCAAAAACCGTTCATGTCAAAAGAACGAAAATTCTAAACGTTCCTTCTCTCCTCTCTCCAATGTTCGTTTTATCCGGTACCATCTCGCTCTCCATCCAATTTAATTTCTTTCGAGCTTTTTCCCCCCTATTTCCAGTTGCCAACAAACCACTTTGAACCTCACCTCCTGATTTCTGATGTTTTTTTCCTCTACAATCTACAGGTGATTGCTACGCCGCTTTTCCGCTCGAATTCCTTTTTTTGATAGCTTTACCTAGCGGCGTTTCGAGCACTCATCTGATGGACACTTCTTACCCAAATGTATTATTTTTCTTCTTTTCTAAATATTAAAAATCTAAAACATCTATTATTGATGATAATCTCCTCTCGACAGATCTAATAAATAGAATTCCATATTTCTAAAAAAGTCTTGGTTTCTTTTCCCTGGGATATGCTCAAGTAATTATGATACTGTGTATTTATTACGCAAGACAGGTTGTAGTAGAGAATAGTACTTGCAATGATTTCCCATTGATGATAGTATCTTCCTGGATTGGGTGTCAACCGACGTGATCTCCCTCTGTGTACCTGTACTCCCACTTAAAGTGGTTTCTCCCCCTACAAGTGTTTGCTCAATTCTAGTACAAGTAATTTAGAACCAAGCAATCAAAAGAAGCAACGAAGAACTACTTGTATCGATTTCCATCTACCGTAGTCTTTGTAGATGAAACGTCATCCGAGATGACGCATCATGAGGTATTCTAGCCGGCACATCCATATCGCTTATTGGTTTGATGTCGAATTACACGCTCATTAAACTGAGTGAGTGGTTTTGTGTATAGGAGAGGAAAAGCTCTTTGTGGTAGTCGTCCCCTCTTCCAGTATCCAATATCTACCTGGTTTGCCTTTAGGATGTAGAAGCAGATGCAGTCATCCACAAAACTCATGATGGGGCTCAAACAAAAAGAAAATGGGGATCTTTACTCGCTGTGTTTCATCATCACCATTCCAGATGGTTGTTCAATTTTCAACCCTTCATCTTCATCTTCTCTTTTAACCATCATCGTCACTAATTCGTATCACAGCAGAAAACACCCCCAGCCAACCCCATTAAGAAGTGGAGTGTGAGGGGGAAGGAGGCGAATATACGGTAGATCAGAAGACGATGAATCAAGAATAGTAGAAGAATCCGAATCTGAATCCATTAGGCACACCGATTTATCGACACCTTCCTCCTCTTGTTTATTCTGTGACCGGTGTGTCTAATCGGTCGAAAACGAATACAATACCATCTTGATAGGGTGATTAGCTGATCAAAACTGTTTGAAGAGAGGGTGTGATAAATCTTGGTTTTTCAGAATTCATTTTGTTAAAGTGACAAAAAGTAATGCGATAGGTAGTGGGATCACAATGGTCGAGTTCTGTGAACGCTCAATCTTATCTAATGTCATGGATATTGTGACATGGATATGACATGGATATTGATAAAAGGATTTTTAAAGATAACAAGATAGTTTAGGTAGATCATAGAAATAGTAGATAGATATTTGTGCTGACCATACTTGCTAAACCCCAGGACAGGGCCAGGGTAAAACTTTTTCCGTCTCGCCTGCCTGGTTGCCTTTTTTCTGTTGATATTGAACGATTGTTTGTTAAAGTTATCATTTTGAATTTTCGGAGCACCATGAAATTCAGCCCAGGTTCCCCAAAGACCCGGGCCGGTAAAAACTGTAGGGCACTAAAAAATTTCTACCGAATACACATTTCGAGTCTTTTGCAGATTTTCTGATTCTGCTCCAAACATCGTATCGTTATTCTAGAAGTCTGGTTTCGGGGAAAAATGACTTCCACTACGAAATCCAACTTTTTTATGCTATCAAAAGACGACGTTTCCTTGTGAGAAGAGGTCAGATGATCCTCTTCTTTTCTTTTCTCAAGAATCTCAGGTTTGGGAAGCATTGTGTATGTCTATTCAAACCGTTTCTAATAGATACCAATTAGTTGACACCTTGTCTCCTTTTCTCTCGACGGGAGAGCAAAACGCTCAATCGGAAGACACGGATCGTGTCCTCGAATGCAATTATTGGAATGCCCTTTCCCCCCCCCCCCCCCCCCTGTGAAATCATTGGGGAAGGGGGGGGGGGCGATTTGTTTGATACCTGACACACGGCTATTATCTCTATTATGTTTAGAGGGTATATGTACTTGTATGTGTATGCAGTACATCCAGTTTTGATTTCACACTTTTAATTGCCGTCGGGTATGTGTGCTTCCTGAAATTCGATACATCGATACATACAACACTTTTGCGGTCATTTTAGAACAATAAAAACGGTAACAAGGGATAGGTAACTAGCAGAAGAAAATGAGCAGATGGAATGTCCAAAAATAGGGGGATAGAGATTAAGATACAGTGTCGTAAGCGAGACGACTTACGCAATCAGTGAGAACATACGGTGAGCAAAGGTGCTTATTACGGTATTGGTTCTGCATTATATTTCGATATGCATGGGTCCTTCGACACGCTCTTTCAAAGAACACCTTCTGCTACTACTACTGCTCCAATTAAGGAACGGCTCACAGATGGCAACAGCCGAAGAAAAACAAATGAGAGGTCGAATAAAGAGAGATAGCAATAATGAAAGGTACCTGGGAATATTTAAATAGGTAGCTTCAAATAAACATAAAGCGGTGAAATCAATGTTATACGAAAAAGTTAATTTAACCCTCCGGAGTTCTTGTGAAGTTGATTAGTTTAAAAAATATTGGGTTTATATAAAATTTCCATATAAACACACGATTCCGTAATAAATCTACTATAAAAAATCAACATCAGGACATTTTAGGAAACATTGTTTTAGTTTTGATACTGGTTGCCAAACCTAATAGTTTGCTTTAGATTTAGAATTAAACATTTTTAGTCTGGCAAAATGACATTTGTGGTTTCAATTTTTTAAATTTTCAAAGAGTTTCTGATTTCCAATTATCCTTATACATGATTTTTAATCTGACTGAATAATCTACTGTTATCATCAGTAATCCGTTCCACACTTTATCGCCTCCACTCTGTAAACTAATGCGTAAGTTTTCCTAGATCAATCTGACTGATAGTCTTCCTTGTCACCTTCCACCCATCCACTACCATGTAACTCCTAATGAGATGATCACTAGATTATCTCTCTCTCATCCTCTCATTGCTATTGGGTGTCCTCGTATTGGCGCATGTCCAATTTCACGCCTCATCTCCTTCGTGTGACTATCCGAACTTCTTTGTTTCTCTTTCAATTTGACTATATCTCTCATTTTGGGATGCGAAAGTTTGTTTTATTCATGTCATCTCATCCGGATGAGAGCTCCAGAAGTAACAGGGGGTCACTACGTGTCATGTATAGTTAGTTGGATTCGAATAATGGGTGTGAAGTGCTTCGTCACAGCACGATACCGTAACCAATCGACGACATGAGGTGTCAATTGTTGTGTGCTGTCTCAAGATACTAGGTGTGAAGAATACTACGGTGTCAACACGTGGCCAGTGTATATACAAATATTCATCCGATATAAAGTCCTGTATTACAGAAATTCAATTCACGGGGTATCTGGAACACTGGTTGGTCTTGAACGGTCGACTGAAAGATCTCACCGATTTCTATGTTGTCGTCAACTGTTTTCACAATCGTCTGCATAACTCATTTTTGAATTTTCTGAAAGTTTTGCCGACTAACTAGGGAAGGTTGTAACTGGGATGTGACACTTTGAAATGCTTTTTCGGATGGAAAGAAAAATTTGAATTTTTAAAAGAAAGTTTTTTCAGTCAAATTTGAGACATGTTCCTATTGAAACTGATAGCTCTTCAGCACAAACAAACAAATTTGATGAAGACTTGTTATCAGCTTTCGAATGATGATGGTTTCATCTTGAAGTTTCACACTCCAACTACAACATTCCCTAGTAATTAATCCGAGCTGTGAGTTCGTTTTTAACTACGTTAACAGCTGTTCACTAAAAAAAAAAAATACCTATCAATGATAAAGATTTGAAAATTTTCAGACTGATAGAAAAATATTTAACCACTTTTTCAAAAAGCAAAGAGTTGGAAGACTTTCAAGAAAAATCTTTGAGTTTCCCTACTTATACTTTCAATGCATACTTTCAATATGATAATTTTCAGGCGATCGTTAAAGTGTTCCCTTTTAAAGAGTCATTATAATAATGACTGGAATGCTGACCCAAGATTTTTCACTCAAGTGAAGTGAATTCTGGAAGAATAATATCAACACAAACAGCTCCCAGTTATTACTTTTCCTTATTTTTTTTCTCAAAAGTATTGTGAGAAATTTGGAAAGTGTTTTCTAGCTTTTTTCTTTCTCGGTTTTTTGCCATATTTGCGATTCCTAGTCCGGGTTGTCAGTGAAGATTTTCAATCAGTTTTTGGAGTTTTAGTGAAAGAAAGTTTTCCAAATTTGAGCAATGCGTCAAAAATGGTGCTACTTGTGAGGTTCGGAATGCGCCTAACTTTTTATATAAACGAACAGCGATTAACAAGTTTAGAACCTAAATGTTAGGTTTTAAAAACTTCGTTAACAGTTAATCAAATTTTCTACAACTTATTATTCTGGTAGAAAAAATCGGAGATGTGGAAGAGAAACGCCGATCGCCGATAATCCCACAACAACGGAATCCCCTTTTAAAAGTAGCCTAAAAATATTCCTATTGTCAGGATTTATTTTCTCGTTTTATACTACTTTTAAATGTTTTTTCTGCTACTTTCCTCTAGAAAAGTTGGAAAATCATAATTGTGATAGTGACAGAATCGACTGAAAACGCACAAAAACGGGAAAATGAATCCTGAAAATAAACATATTTTCAGGTTACGGTAGTTGTCGTTGTCCGACTTTCGGCCATGGCCACCGGCGTTTCTCGCCCAGAGCTTCGATTTTTTTTCTCCACCATAATATCTCTTTTTTTTCATTTTAGTCTGGACCACCCTAATCCTACTAATCCTTTAAACGACCCAAATCAAATTATAACTGCCACGTCACAGGACCTCTCCTTCTATTGCTCATCTTCGTCATCGTTTTCTGTCACAGAATTTTCGAAAAGTGCGAACATGGACCCAATTCAATTGTTTCGCTTTCTCGCCTTTTTTTCCTTCCTCCTCCTCTTCCTACATCCCCCAAAGAGTTGTCTTTTGTTTGAAACTGGGTCTCTGCAGAATTTTTTTTTTCTACAACACAAGTTTTGTGTCTTTTCTTGGAGCATTTTCATTGGTTGCAACAAAAAGAAAAAACACTATTACCACACGACATTGCATAAATGACCCTAGTCTTTTCAGAACAAAAAAATGGAGGAGGGTCGTTTTATTTGTGACAAAAAACTCTCTGTCTTTCTTCATCTCCATTCATCTTTTATCCGTCTCGGACTGGGCCCAGCTCCTCCTCTCAGAATTTTATTAGTTCATCTCCACGATAAACTTGAACATTTTCGGAGGGTTTTATCTTCGTCACCACAGAAGAGTTTTTGCGCTTTACGCACGAATCCATCCTAAATTACACGATTTACACTTCCAGACACAGACACATTTCTTTTTTTCTTCTTCTTTTTTTTTCATTTGAAAAGTTTGTGTATCATCCCCTATTTCAGAATCCAAATCCAAAATAACACGTGCGTCCTATATAAATAAACATTTCTTCGTCCGTTTCCCCCAACGCCTTCTACTTCTACTTTTTCTTGTGATACCCTCGGAGAAAAAAATTTAATTTAAAGTTTTTCATCCTCTCGCCCCCGATAGTCAACACCTAGCATTTCACAAGACCAGCAGAACAAGAAGCTCACAATTTTTTCAGATCTCATCCTTCATTCATGGAGTCCTTGTTCCTGTTTTTAGTCTCTTCTCGGAATACCTTTTTGTCCATCTGGTCATTAAAAACTAGTTTTATAACTTTCATTTACCCTTGGGACCATATAAAACGGATATATTTCTAGAATAAAGTGACAAAATGAGTGACATGTCGAGACACCACCACTTGTAGTATTAAAATTGAATATTCTACAATTGTAGTCTTGTTGCCCCCCCCCCCCCCCCCCAAAAGCATTCATTTTTTCAAAGTGTCCATAGAATATTCTAGATCTTGCAGACTATACAGCGATTCTTCTATTTTAGAGCTCTTCTTTTGGTCAACTTTGACCTCAGTTTGAAGATCATTCAAGTAATTATTGTTACGAAACTATTTTAATGGTCATTGCTAGGTCATAGGATACTTAATTTTGGTCTGAAATTTTGATCACTTGGGTTTTAAGCAACTTTGTTTTGTTAATAATTGCATTTTATAGAATCTAAGCCATGGCCATGGGGATTTAGAAAATTAGCTTTAGTCTCTAGAAATATTTTTCAGTCTAGAATTGTGCTAAACATCTCTTGCTAACAGTCTCGTCTCACAAAAGGTTTAAATATTTTGGATATTTTTGAAAGTTTTGAATACCGTAAAATCTGTATTAGAAAGGCCCTTTAATAAATAGGTCCCTCTAATAGAAGGGCCCTCCGAGGGTTCTGGGAACAATAGAAGGGGCGGCCCTTCTAATACAGGTTTTCTCGTACCTGTCAGTTCTACTGATGTTTTTGAAAAATTAATTTTTAGTGCTTTCCAGAGATGTCCGCAATAACTTTTTGAGAAACGTAATCCGGAATAAAATATTTTTCATGCAAACCGGAGAAAAATTAATTTCTCGGAATACGGAGTACAGAACACAGAATCTGGAATTCAGACATCACGACTAAAAATTCGAAAAAACACACGACGCTATTGTTTTTTGCGTTGTTTCTATTGAAACCTAGATATAATCATGACCTAGATAAAAAAATAACTTGAGTTTACAAATTTGAGTCATGACCTAAGTTTGGATTTTTCGGTCATGACCTAGATTTCAATTTTCAGGTCGTGACCTCGATTTCCAAAATTAGGCTATGGTCTAAACTTTTAAAATTAGGTCATGACCTAGATTTGGATTTTTCGGTCATGACTCGTGATCTAGATTTCAAAATTTAGGCCGATCGATTTGATCTTCAAGCAATGCTTTCCCATCAAAAAGCAAAAAACACTAAAACTTCCTGGTCCCAATTTATCCAACTCGAATTGCGAATCAATTACCTATATCCATGCCTCCTTTATGCTCTTTTCCAGAGCCTGAAAAAGACGAAATTGTCCGAATCGAGTCATCATGGTCATAAAACCTAGGCGCACATTTATTTTATGACTTCTTCTGCTTCTCCCTTTACGTAGAAGGCCCTGCCCCCATCTCCATTTCTCTCCCTCATTCCTTCTTCATGGGACACCATCGAGTGCCCGCACTTTTCCAATGAATCTCTTCACACATCTGTGTGTGCAAATATATCGAACTTCCGAAACCAGAAGTTTTCTTCTTTCCTATTTTTCTTTTCGGCCTCACTTTTAGGGATATGTTCCGTATACACTTGACCCTCGAATGGCTTAGATCATTTGAAACCAAAAAGAAAGGAGGGCTTATCAACTTTTCGGCGACCCTTATTTGTCTTCTTCTTTTTTCTTTTTATTTTTCTTCTACTTTTTCTCCTTTTTTCTTATTTTCCCCCTTCTTCCACCATTTCGTTCCTCTTACTTTTTTGGACACCGAACAGATTTTAAGAGCCGATAGCCCTGATCCACAGGGGACCGATTCCGACAACCCAAGTTCATTTTCTCTGCATCAGTATGTCACGCTTCTACTCCACTTCGCATCACATTCAATCCACATCCACATCTACTACGATGACGGCTTCTAGTGCAACTGGTGCTCCAGATGTTAACGGTACGTTTTCCAGGAGTCGAGGAACTTCTTTGGACCAAACGAAGCCATCAGATAAAAAACTAGCGGGCGACTAAAAAACTAAAATTCGAGTTCATTACTTTTCGAACTTCTGCAGGCTAAAAAGGAAATAGGAAAAGAACTACTTGCTGGTTTTTTTCTCTTCTTTCTCAACTCAACCAATTTCCTTGCGGCTCTAATAGTTCTTGGGATACCGTAGTCAAAAGTTGATTCAAAATTTCACTTCTCACTTGGTCAACCAAAACTTCCTGTAAAATCTAAAAAATGAAAAAGTGGACGAAACTTGAGAACTTCACTAATTTGAATAATCTCCGCTTACTCCCCCACTCCATGTAAACTGATCTACATTTTCTATTTTTATGATAATTTGGGGGAAAAATATAGAAATATAAATCACATGACCCCATTCTGTTATTATTTTTCATCCGGTTTTTTAATAACAAAATACTTAATGGTAGATTTTGTTTGTAGAAGACATGAAGATTTGAGTTCAAAGTTTGCTTGTAAATGTGATAAAAAGAAACAGAAAGAAAAAACCGGACGAAGAATGACAGAGTGTCTTGTTCCAATGATAACAATCGGAAAGATTGGGAACAAACAAAATGTACTGATCTTTGTTCCAGGTGGCCATTGTGCATCTCCGTATCTACGTCGTATTCGAATTCCAAAGTTGAATACATTTCGCCATCATTTAGAAGAGGATGAAGATGACGATGAATGGTTTGAAATGCAGATGGCAAAGAATGAATTGATCCGATTACGAATGGTCAGAAGAGCCTTTCTTATTGGTTTTACACATTTTTGTTTCAGAATGAACTGAAGAACAATCGACTGAAAGATCGTACAAACAACAACAATGGGGAATCGAAGAATGTGAAAACGTCGAAAAGTTTCAGTTTGAGTTCAACAGCAAACCATGGAAAGACAAAACAAAACAAAGAACGATCAGATGATGTGGAACCTCGGTAATAAGTGGCATGATCTTTGTTTAATAGGATTTCGGATGATGACAAAAAAGTATATCCTGTGGGGGAAGGTACTAGAAGATTCCAAAGTTTCAGAGTGCGACACCGATCATTGGTCACATGAAATGTTTGAACTACACTTACTGTAAACACTAATAGAATTACCGCCGTTATTTTCAACTTCGAGCCAATTTATCTCGGTTCCTGTAAAAAATATAAAAAAGCAATCAACTGACAAAATACTTTTGATATTATGATAAACATTTTGTCAGTTGATCACTTTCTGATATCTTCTGAAGGAAATGAAATATATGGGCTCAAAATAGACGGAGTTTATAGCCATCTAAAAAAATGAGCAGGTCTCCGGCAGATATCACGGGCAACGTAATTTTTCTTCGGTAGACGTCACTGTAAAAGTCTCTAAAAAGTTGATCAAAGTTTCTCATCTGCCACCGTATCATTCTCCCTCTATAGAGTAATTCTAGACATTTCTCATAATCACAACAGTGAATTATTTCTGAAATCAACAACACACATCTCTCCCTCCCCAAAATATGATTTTATTTTTGGATGAACTCGTTCAAAATTGTGAGTGAATACAATAACAAATTATCTAGAAACGCTCCCATTAAAACAATTACTCACTGCCTCCTATTTTTGTTCCACAAAACTTTGACTCATTTTTGCAGTAACGGCAACAGCAGATGCCTCCGTTCATCGAAAGAAGAGAACAAGAAAAGTGGAGAGGATATGATTGAGACGCACGCATCAATGCAAAGATGTCTCTGGTTCCATCCAAAGCATCTTTTCAATATGTCTCCACAGCCGGAGCCAACTTTGAAGGCGAAAACGATTTCCGATAGATTCTGAATGCATTCAGAATCTATTCTTCTGACTTCTCATGCCCTTTTCCTTGAAACGACCAACTCATTTTTGACTTGATCTGATTGACTAATATTTTTTCATTTTTCGAAAAAAAAACAATATTTATAACCATGTCTCATTCTTTTTGTCCTCCGCCTCTCTCTTCCTTTTTTATGTCTTAAAATCAAAGTCTATCAAAATAATAAACTCGTATATTTTGAATCTCCGCACCCCTGTTCTTCGGTATATATACACCCTTGTCATTAGACGACGTCGCCCTCCTTATAGTTTCGAAAACAGAAGAATGAACAATTTGAATGATATATATATATATATATATATACATTTTTTTTTTTTTTTTTTTAATCAATTTGATGTCAATTCCGTCTCTGGCTGGAACGACTGAAATGCAGAAAACTGACCCTCTTTCAACCATATCGGGGCAAACAAAAAAGAACGCAAAGAAGCTTCTGCCCCCCTCATCCATTTACTTCTTTTTCTTCTTTTCTTTCTTTTTTTTGCTTCTTCCAATTCTCACTTTCGATCATTTATCATTCCGTGTCAACATCTACATGACATGATGTCTGAAGCGGTTAGAAAAAAGAAGTACGATTTTATTATTTTCAACACATTTTTCGGAAGTCACTCTGAAAATATTCGTGTTTGCTCGAATACTACTCGTACTAGGTTCGGTTGTTTACCGCATTTTTCTGTTCCTACCTGAAAAATATATGCGTTCTGTTTGTGTCCTTTGAGAGGGGATGACCTCCAGTTATTCTTTTCAACACTCCCACCAGTGCCTCTCACTTTTTTTTACAGTTTGCATTTCGAATTGCCCTCTCTTTTTAATCTATTCGACAGATTTCTTTTTTATGTTTTGCACTTTTAGTACCCATCTGCTTATAAAAACTGTGCAATGTAACATGAAATAACTCCAAATCAAAAATTTCAACCTTTTTGAAAAGTACCTTTAGAAGCACCATCGATTATAATTTAAAATAGGATAAATAGTTCTTGAACACATATTCTTCGACAAAAATTACTATATCTGGTTTTGGTTTCTAACCTCGTTTCCAGTATATATATATATATATATATACCAATTGGTATTTAGAGTTTTTTTTTTGGACTTTTAAGGACGTCTCCTTGATTTTGAGAATATAAAAAAGCTCAAAGCACCGAAAAAACTCTGGAGGACCAAACAATCTAACTGGGAGGACGAAAAATAAATGAGGATCAAGAAATTCCAAGTTCCAAAATGAGCCCAACATTCAAATAAAAATTGCTCGACTCTCGATTTCGAGACATCCTCTTTTCGCAAAAACATTTATCAGCTGAGCTTTGCGAAAAAAAATGTCTGATTCGTAGAATTTCCTATCATACGACCATATGGTCCAAACAATATTCCAGGTGATGAATCATTCGGATTCTGACCGGAAAAACAAAAATTGATACATTCTTTTCTCAAGTTCCCATCATTACTAATAACAAACACCAAATTCCATACCAAATTTCATATGTCCGGATGTCCGCGCCTTTTCACCGACTTAAGGTTAACCAATTCAGCTTAAACCTAGACAGGTGAATCAGAATTTTTTATTCAACTACAAATCAGAAATCACTCATTTTTCTCATCAAGTGCTGAAACGCTTTTCAATTACAAAATATAGTGTTTTTTGTAGACGGAAACCGCCCGCCCTTATAATCATGCACTCTTTTTTTCTAATATTATTTTTTCCATATTAAAATAATTGATGATTTTTTTTGCTTCTTATCACTCAAATTCTCTCCGGTTAATCCAATCGAGCTCTCTTTCCTCTTTGCTCTGTCACCTTTTTCTTATCACTTTTTTTCACTATTTTATTCAATCAGAAATAGTTCAGATTGTGCAATTACAATTAATAATTCTGAAACTATAAAGACAGTTTCTGGATGCTTCAATAATTAGGAACAATGCACCCATCTGCTGATTTCGATACAGGATCACTGAAATCGTATACGGTTTCGAATTCTCGGTTAGTTTCGTGATTTTTCGTTATGTTTTCCAAATTTTAATTGTCATTTCAGCACAAATCTAGATGTTCGAAAATCTAACTGGACATCATTATGGTTTGCAAATCTTATTCAATATTTTTGTGGACTTCAAGGATCTTTATATTTTACATCGATGTGGCCATATCTTTTAAAACTGGACCCATCGGCTCAACTTCCATTTTTTGGTATTATTCTCGCTAGTTTTAGTATTGGACAAGCGGTTGGATCTCCGATCTTTGGAACATGGACCCAGAAAACGGAAGCTTTCAAAGTTCCAGTTGCAACCGGTCTTGTATTTTGTGCGCTAGGTTAGTTTACAAGATTCCACAAATAGGATAGTTCCTTTTTTTAAGGTAACATTCTTTATGGAATTCTTCCAACAATTAATTGGGAATCTCAATGGTTAATGTTGATTTCTCGAGTTTTGATTGGATTTGGAGCTGGAAATCTGTCTGCTCTCCGAGCTTACGTATCTGCATGTTCCACTTTGGAAGACAGAAATACAGCAGTTTCGCTTGCTACTGGAAGTCAGGTCACTGGAATGCTCACTGGGCCAATTTTACAGGTGAGACACCATGAATCAATAAAAAGGTTAACTTGCTTATCAGTTTATCAGTAGTCGAAAAATATAAATTTTGAAAAAAAAAATCAAGTATACATGTTTTATGGGAGTCAACTGAATGATTTTTTGAACCTGTGGAAGTAAATTTCAAAAATGTTGTTGATAGTTTTTTTTTTCAAAACAATTTTTCGGAAGAGTTCGAATACAGGTACAATATGACCTGCATTAAAAGGAATATTTAATAGAAAAGCCCCCTAATAGAAAGGCCCTTATAATAGAGGGGGTCCTTTTCAAAATGTGTTGTTCGAAATCAAAATTTCTGTCCGCTTTCAGTGAAAAACATTCTAGTAATCCCATAACTTTACAGAAGTTGGTTGAAACACATTTTTCGCTCAAAACATTGATAAGTTTCGGTAATATTTTGATAAGTTTCGGTTAGTGTCGGTTATATTTATTTACCAGCCATCTGCTTGGCGCGCCTTCGGCGCTTCAACCAGCTGGCTGGTGCGTCTTCGGCGCGATTTAGCCCAGTTTTTTTACTGGTTCGTCGCTTCGCTTTTCACGTTTTTTTAAAGAGTCACGTAAATCTATATTTAATTTTCAAATTTTTCAAAAGCGGACAGAGTGACACGGGGACCAACAGACATCTCTAGCGTTTTATATATAAGGAAGATCTTCAGTAACTTTGAAAAAACTAACAAGCAAAATTTCATCAAACTTTGAGAAAAAAATTCCAGACTGCCTTTGCGTTCATTGGAGATGGAGTTCGTGTGTTCAACACATTCGATCTTGACGCCTACACTTCTCCAGCTTTCACTCTTGCCATCGTCCTTACTATCATGTCTGTTATGATATTTTTCTATTTTTCCGAAGATTACGCTGGAGTTATCGATGAGAAGAAAGAAGATTCAGATGTGATCATTCCTCCGTTCAACCGCCAGGCTGCTGTTGTATGCATCTTTTTATGGTTTGTAATCCAAACCATCGCTGTGAACATCGAATCTCTTTGCTCTGTATTCACAATCGCAATGTACAACTGGACGTCACATCAAGCTATTGTTTATGGAGGATATATTGAGACTTGTTCTTGTGCAATTTCAGTTTCTCAGTATTTGGTGATCGGATTTACAAGAATTGGAAAGATGTGAGTATTAGAACTTTTAATTTAGAGAAGTATTAGAGAAAAATGAATTGATGATTTTCAGTGACAAAAGAATACAAATTGTTTTTGGATGTGTCGTCTTCTGTGTCTACTACATTGTTCTCCTTCCATGGCCATTCTATCCAGAATCGCTACATTACAATCCCAATGGTAAATAAATATTTCAAAAATGTTTAAATTATTTTAATCTTCTTCTAATCTTCAGTTACCGATGGAGCTTGTACCTACGACTGGTGTCAATATGTTCCAAAGTAAGCGGAAAATAGATTTCCGCATAATTTTTAATCTTCTTAACGACTTGAATTCCAGAATCCCATTTGTTGCTTACATTCTCGTCTACACTCTGTGCTTTGGAATTGCTTTCCCATATATCGGAAACTCGATCGGAACACTATTCTCAGAAGTTTTAGGGCCAAGGCAGCAGGGAACGATGCAAGGAATTTTTGCTCTTTTTGGAAGTGTTGGAAGATGTTTAGCTCCTTTGGTGACGACGTGAGTTCTGATTCAAAAAACTGTTTGTGGACCTGAATTCCTATGTTCAGATTCTTCTTCAACTCCTCTGGATACACCTGGATTAGTGTTGAAATGCTGACATTCCTAATAATCGGAGCTCTTTCTACGATTATTTCCTGGAAAGTTATGATTCCACTGCAGCTGATTCAAACGAAAAACAGTTCTGGATCTGTTAGTAGTAGTAATAATAATAATAATAATAATAATAATAATAATAATAATAATAATAACGACAAAGTGTGATAGGTTTTTTCTTCTTCTCTCATTTTTGCCTTATTTATCATTGTTTCCGGGTATTTTCTCATCAAAGATGATGACTCAAATTGAAACATATTGCGCTAATAAATACGGTTTAGTATTGATAATTGTCATCTTTTTTGGAGCATTTTACATAGAACACAAGTGTTTTTTGAAATATCAAATCTCAGAAAAAGGCTTTTTCTTGTTTAAAAATAGATTTGTAGTCTTCATATTTTGATTTCCCGATCTTCAATCTTTTACGTATTTAAAGTAACATGGATTTCTTTAAAGTTTATGTACATTAATCGTCAGTCATCACATTATCATGGTTTTAAGCAACTGAATAGCGGACGTGGCCTCGTGTTCCCTTCGTCGAGATCGCTCTTCTATTGAAGTTGTCGATCGTTTCGTGCTCCTGGAAAAATGGAAATTTTGAGAATTCTTTTAAGATAGCACCACCAAACTCTAAATACAAATACCGTAAACTGTCTAATATAATGACCCCTTTAACTTTGAGCCAATGTATCTCAGTTTCTGTCAAAGATATAAAAAAGTTGTCAACTGTCATAATGTTTGTGTTACTATGATAAACGTTTTGTCAGTTAACAACTTTTTGATATCTTTTAAAGGAATCTAGATAATTGAGCTCAAACAAGGACGGCTTCTGGCCATTCTATTAGAGTGTTAATTTAATGTAATTTATTGAAGGGTACGGTACCTCTGTACCCCTCAGTGAGTCATTGTAATTTAAATTGGGCTAAATTTACTTTTTTAGGATTATTGGAGAATCAAACTCACTTTATCTGCAGTTTCCGGGAATTTTTTCGAATAATTATAACAAATTTTGACTGCAATAACCAGGAAGGCGACACAAATGATGCAAATTATTCCAGCAAGAATCCAATCTCTGTAAAATTGAGCAAATTTTCTCAATTTTCTCGAAAGGTATGCACTCACAATTGGCCATTAGCTTCCTCATCAGCCGCTTCGTCCTGTCCATTGAGTACGAGTTCTGTCAGTTTATCCATTCGTGTGTCTTCTGAATCCGCGACTCGGAATATGTGTGGAGAATGAATGAGGTCCGAATAGTGAGCACGATGTCTGGTCGTCAGTGCGGAGGCTGAAAAGAGAAGGAATTCTAGACGAGAGGTTTCCCACGCTTTTTGGGATAACAATCACAAGTGTAAGGTGCATGATGTGAAGGTTCCCCGAGTACCATGGTGGGAGAAAACGGAAATGAGCTATTCATAGTATGAATAGATGAATATATTGAGAGATCTTTCATATATCAGTGGGATCAGTTTGAGCAGTAAAACGTGCGAGAACTTGAGTTATAGCTCGTTGAGTAACACAGACAAACATGTGAGATATGTAACAATCTCATAATCCAAACGGGGTTTTTTTGCTGCTTGACTCTCTTTTTTCGAAAAATAAAGTATTGAATCAGCAATTGAATTCTATCATCATCTTGTCAAGAAGTTTTGAAACTTGATAGAAATATATTTTGACATAAATCTTTTGTTGGAGAGCTCTGAAAAATCTTGAAGTCTCTTTTTTGAAATGTGATTTCAAGAATGAAGGGTTCCGATTAATGTTTGACTACCGTAAAACCTGTAATAGAAAACCCCACGAACCGTCAACTTCGAACCCATATATCTCGTTTCCTGTAAGAGATATCAAAAAGTGGTCAATTGATGAAATAGTTTTGATATTATTTTTTTTTGTATTTTGTCAGTTGACTACTTTTTGATATCCTCAATAGAAACCGAGATATGTAAGCTCAAAGTTGTCCGTTCGGGTGGCCTTTTATCAAAGTGTTTACGGCAATTCAGTAAGCTAAATTTCAGTATTTCAAAAATGGGAATTTATCAATTTTTTGGATTCTTTTGAAATCGCTTCTTCTTATTGCTAATTGTTCAATAACAATTCCGGATACAAAATTCAATAAAAATCATCGGACACTACACAAATCACAGTTCCTAATCCGCTCAATTGTCAGCTGACCACCCAATAAAATTGAATAAGATTTCTCAGAAACTCGCACTGCAAACATTTTCAAACTTACATGAGTTTTGTGGTTCGGAAGATGTTGAAGAAGTCATTTTTCAAATGAATCAATATAGAAAATGAAAAAATTGATAAGAAAATAGGAAAACGGGAAGAAGAAACCGAATATCTTGGTTTTATCCTTTTAGGAAAGCCGATAAGAAGCTCAACATGAATTTCTAGAAGTTTTCCGTCTCTTTTTTTTACGAAATGAGAGCGAGACTCCTCCTCCTTTTCTTTTTCTCGGGGATTTCTAGTTGTCAAGGAAGAATAGAAGAAGAAGATGTGAAACTTCAATTGAACTGAAACTGATGAATGGGAGAGATAAGCCTAAAAAAGGCGGAGTCAACACAAAACTAAAAAGAGTCGATTTGTGAGGGAATGAAGTTTGAAATGCGACCGAAAAAAGACAGAGTCAAAACACACAAAACACGATTTATGCTCATCTTCTTCTTCTTCTTCTTTTTTGCTCTCATCATTTCCTCTTTTATTTTTGGCTTTTGACATTGCAGAATAAAGAACGAGAACTCATTTGAAGTGGATATTCAGAAGTTTGCAAATACACTCAATACGTCACATGAGAAGATGCCATGTCAAGAGCAAAAATGCATATTCGTTGATTCGATTTATAGTCGCATTTAGAATTCGTAGTTTCTGATTATTATAGTTCTACTTGTTCGACCGGATTGCGAAAAATATAAAAAAGTTTTCAGTGATCATTAAAGGAACATTTTCTTCAATTTTTGGCGACATTTTTAGACTTTTTAAGCTTTATCAGCATTTTCGAGCATTTTTTTTTACTTTTCCAAGTTATTTTAAAGCTGAATCTCGATATGACGATGTTCGTCAAGATTACTGTAGATTACTGTAGCTTCTAATCATGTAAAAATGCAGACAAAAAAGCGGGGAAAACAGATTTTTTGGAAATTTGCAGGAAATTAGTTGGCAACTGTAATCTACAGTAATCTTCGCGAACACCATCCCGTCAAAATACACAAAAAAAAACCGGAAAAGGTGAAAAAGAATCTGTAAAAAATAGCTAGAAAACCTAAAAGGCCTCAAAATTTCGCCGAAAAATCGAAAACACTAAAATTTAATTCTCGAATTTTTCGAAATTGGGTTTAGTTTGTAAGATCTACTCGAATTTCAACTCCAAGCTATAGACTAAGTTCATTTTCAGAAGTCCAAAAAAAACCTTATTCGGATTACTGTACTTCCCGATTTCCGCAAATCAGAACTTCCTGCTTCATTCTAGACATATATTTTTATAAATTCTCAACTCAACGTCTACTTCTTTCTCTTATTCTTCAAGAAGGGAACGTTGGATAATCCGTGTTTTTATACATTTTTTTCTCCAGACTAGCCATTCGAAAACAAAGCGGTAATATACATAAAAATGGAGAAAATTGAATATGAAGCCATGAAGTAAAAAAAATTGAAAAATACGAAACGAAATTGCAGAGTCAGAGTGTCCAAGTGCTTCTTCTTCTTCCTCTTCCCCCATCGTGATCAATGGGAGGAATCAGAAGAGATGGATGAAAAAAGAAGCCGTCCGTTTTTTTGAATTATGCATACTTCTGTCCGGAGGCGAGAAGAAATGCATTATCCATTTCCGTACTACTCTTTGAGGATTTCAAAGAGGGGAATGAGAAGAGAGAGGTCTATTTCAGATTCTTGAGAACCAATATCCTGTCTTCTCATGACTACGTGAGAACCCCTCTTGGTCCTGATTGGTTCAAACAGGCGCTTTTCATGTACCACAATAGAGTTAGTTTGGAAAACATTTATATATAGACATATTATTTGAGAAAATAGGTGTAAGACGATAAGTTTCGAATTTGTACAGCTTATTGTTTGGGTGAGAAACAAGCTAAGGCAAAGTACAAGAATTTAGAAGAGGCACTTAGAACACACGAACACGCTGTCACCGATAATTACATATTAGGGAAAGACAGAAAAGTCAATAATAATATTGTGAAAATAATAATATTGTTTTATCTTCACTGATTTTATGAGATGAATTGGCAAGAGAAACGAGGATGCAGCTACACGAGGGACACGGATTGGGGAAGAAACAGGAGAACTAAAAGTGCTCTGGAGAAAGAAGGCATAAATTGAGAGACTACTGAAATCTAGATACCCGGAACAAGTACTACATGTTTTGATGGGAGTTTTATTCGACGTTGTTGTTGGATTCCAGCGGAAGATCGAACATCACGAAGTTGAGTCTGAAAATTATAATAATGAGTGGCTTCATTATAAGTGATGATTATGAAGTCGTACAAATGAAAAACTCACTTCTTTCTATATTTCAATGCTGGATACAAAGCCAAATAAGTTCTCGGCACTTGTCCCATGTCTCCATTTCCTTTCTTGCACGTCCACCAACTCTTGTCAACTGTGTCTTTAGCAATAACAGTCAGTTCTTCTCCAGCATCAAAACTGAGTTCATCTTCAAATTCAGCTTCATATCCGTATGCAGCATACACTTTTCCAGCATTGATGGCTCCGGTCGAGTTGTGAGCAGCGAGGAGATATTTCAAGCATCCATCGTAGCCATCCTCATCTTCTTCACATTTCTCTACTGGTGTCTCCATATCCGAGAGAGTAGATGCCAACACACATCCTCCTCCTTCCACCAGTTGCCTAACCATTGGAAGATTATTACATGACGCGGCACAGTGAAGTGGAGTCCATCCATCAGAATCTTGAGCATTCACATCAGCATCGTGCTCGATCAAGAATCGCACGATTTCATAGTGTCCAGCACAAATCGCATTGTGCAATGCGGTAATCCCTTCATCATTGGCTTGTGAAACATCCGCTAGCTTCGCAGCGCTGCTTCTCACCAAATCGAGTTCTCCTTCAAGAGCGGCATCGAGAAGGAGAGCCAATGGGTCAAATTCGATGCGTCCCTTGTTCATTTTTTCATTCGGTCTTCTGAGAATACCTTTCACAGTTCTTTTTTCCGAAGCCACTTCCATTTCCAAATTCTGTCCATCGTCCGAACGAGTGGAGCATGAGCTTGCATCTTCCTCGGTTGTTGTATCGCTTCCATGTGCCATCTGTTCGATAGGTAACTCCAGATTGTTCGGCGATGTTGACTGTGGAGTATCTGATTTGGATTCAACAACTTCTACGGTAATGGCTTCTGATGGAACGACAGTTGGCTCTTCTTGAGATGGTGGGAGTTGTGGGATAAAATGAGTTCGACCACGTCTTTGCTCGTCAAGAAGCCTATGAATCATCTCTGCCTCGGACATCGAAGTCCCTTCTGATGCGGCCCACGAGCGGCGCTTGGTAGCTTTGAGAGAATCTGATCGAAGAGACACCAAATCAGTCTTTCCACTTCTTAAACGCGATTCGTCGAGACTGTCTCCGAATGCAGTAGGTCGCTCAACAGAAGGAGAATCACGAGTCTGAAAATAGAAATGTGAAAAAATGAGAAAATGCTGACTGGTGTGCGGGATATTTTTTCGAGAAATGCAAATTTAGAATTTTCGAGAAGGGGGCCGTTTTGATGACTCATCGAAAGAACCATTGTTTTGGTTTTTCGGTTTTCTGATTTTCGATCGTTTTGTAGGTAGCGCCTGATGCCAAAAATGATTGAATAAAAGCTACCGTACCATAGTGGAGGAGTTGATCTTCTGCTCAAAGGTGGGAGGGGCAAAAGTGATCAGAGCTGGAGCCTTCTGTGAAGTTGCTGACGAAGATGGAGGACTGAGACTTGGATGTGGATCCTTTGGTGGCGAGGGACTCGTCTCAACATTCTTCTGTTGCTGCTGCTGATTCTCTTTGCTCGGTGCAAGATAAGAAGGCTCGGCAGGAATCTTGTTGATTCCTGCAGATCCATCAATCGAATCGTAGCTGCTGTTGTTGCTGCAAACCAATCGAATTAGGAAAACGAAATCGTAAATATGATAATAATTTATCTCTCTGTATCTAATGTTGCTTTCCCTTTTGTATCCGAATTGATAAGAAAGAGAGGGTTCGATGTTTCCCTCGTTTCCATATTTCAACCGGTTTTAATTTGAAAATGCGCAAAACATAAAAAAAACAGAAGTTCAGTTCGATTTTAAACACAAGTTCGGTGCGATAAGGCCAGAACCAGTTTTTGTTATTTTGATGAAAACTGAACCGATTTCAAAGAAACCATTATTCTTAATTGACAAGTAATTGGTGATTTCGGTTCTTGGTAATTATCTACTTAAAACCCTATTAGTTTAATGTGAGATACATACCTATCGAGACGATCTCTTTTCTCTGCGAACTCATCAGACTTCACCATTTGAGGTGATGCCGGTTGTTGCTGGGCGTTGACAACTTGGAATGGTTCTACAGACGCACGGGGTCGGACGATTTCTTGAGCTGGTACTTGTTGGTTTGCAGCTCTAGCCATAAGAGTATGCTGCTGCTGCTGTTGCATTTTTCGTTGCTCGGCGTGAGCTGCCGCAGTAGCAGTCTGACGTCTTCGATACATCTCTTCGAGCTAAAAATGAATTAAATTTCTATTTATCACGAAGAATTAATGACTTACATGTCGATTCAAAGACTGCGCCCTGATTGAAGCGTTTCGTAGTTCCAGTTGAGCATCTTTAAGAACAGATCCTTGAACAGTAACCTCCTTCTCTCTACCGTAATTTTTGTCACGAAGATGTGACGTTTCGTGTTCCAACTCACGAAGTCGTCGCAGCTCGGTCTCCTCATCGGCGACTTGTCGACGAACTGCTCGAACTTTTTGCACAATCTCTACCGATTGAGGCTTCACTCCATAGTCAGTAGTTTCAGACGGCCTGAACAAATTCATGTGAGGAGTTATATTTTTTGTAAGTATTTACATCTGAAACTGTGTGTTAGTTGGGACGGTTCGTTTGATTTGAGAAGCCATCGTCGGATGAACTTGCATCGTTGGAATAAAGTGCTGTCGGTTTGGTGGTGCCGTGAACATCGTCGGGGCTTGCGAGTGGTGGTATTGAAGATGTTGGGACGACGATTGCTGATGTGGTGGAGGTTGAGCGACCACCCGAACCGGCGGTTTGGACATCTGCAAAAATGATAAAATTAAAAGATTTATAGCGAATGATTCATTAAATTGACGGGGCAGACTGGAACGAAGGACAGACGTCTTCTGATAAAATTGTATCAGAAGGTCAAACTGGGAGGACACATATTCCGATGATGATGATGTGCTTGTGAATCAAGAGATTTCGAAAAATGAAAAACTACTCTAGGTCATCATATGCATAAGCATCTGCCTATGGATTTTTGTTTTCCGGGACCATAAATCATCGGAGAGGAAGTTTAAACCACTCATTGTGGTTGGAGAGAATGAGAAGAATAACATGTGCTTTGGTTATATCGAAATAAATAAAATAAGATGTAACACAATTGAGCGAGACTGAAGAATAGATTTCTTGCGGATAACTTCTACATATGAAACTTAAAACTCATTCATTGAAAGTCTCGAATCAGCTGGACTTACGGGAAGGAGAAAACATCGATCAGTTTAAGAAGAATGTCACTCAAACTTGTCACGGCGGAAAAAAACGAGTGGAAAGTATGAGTAAATGATGATAGGAAGAAGAGAAAATGACCTGACAAAACACCTCAAATTTGAGAGTTAAAAAGTAGTCCTTCTGTGGGCGGAGCTTTAGGAATAGGTTTTTAGGTTTCAGAAGAAGAAGAAGAAAAACAGCTATAACAAAATATACCAGGAGAGTGGAGGAGGGTACATCTTGTGATAAGTGATAATGAAGATGTGACAGAGGGAAGAGGGGAAAGTGAACTTTTTACGATCACTCTCCCACTCATGAATTTTGTCCTGTTTTCAGTCATTTGGCAACGACTTCCATCTTTTTGGATGATACGTCAGTCGTTTGTTAACGAAAAAATGAGGAAAGGGCAAAACGCCGGACGAAGATTTCGAAGGAATGGAAAACAAATTTGTGACCTAAACTAGGACATCCGTCTTTGACACGCTTCATCACCTCCATTTGGTAGCCTCTTGCGTAATCGCCACAGGAAATCGGCGTCGCCAACGAGGATATGTGGGTGGAGAAAAAAAAGGACCCAGCAGTTTTATTATTACCTCCTCCCTCTCTCTCTCTACTTTTTATTCCGCGCCGTTTTCTCAGCTTTTGCGACTACCACATCGCGCGCCGCGCATATCTTCTCTATCTATATTCCCCTATCGTTTGTGGACTGGCGCAGCTTCGCCGTTGCGTCGCTGGTGTTTCTCTGCAAAAGTCAAAGCCAAACAACAGGTTTACGAACACTGTGAAGCCCTATGAAGGGAAGTCAATGGTGGCGTGGAAAAGGCCCACCATAATACATGCATTTTTATCCAATTCGATTAGTTTGAAACTGAAATCTCAGCGATGATTCTAAACGAATTGAGGTCGAGCAGCTAAAAAAGGAGCGGAAAAAAGAAGTTGAAGGAGGGGTGAATGAATGAGAATGACCAGAAGACTCGAGTCAAAAAAGATTGCGCGAAGCGATAAAAACCTTCTCTTTTTGGTAGTATTTCTTTTCGGGACGCGACAGGAAGACGTCCCAGAAACCACCATTATAACACATGACAGGAATAAGGATCTCGAGTGACGTTTAGGAGGAATGGAAATTGTTACTAGAGATTCTTACAGGCAAATTTGATAAAAACTAGAATATAGATAAAATGGGATTCTTTAAAAGTATCAAAAAGGTTCTGGAAGTGGGTACTGGACTAATCAATTTTTGATGGGTGAAACGAGAAGAACACACCACGCGTAATGGGTAATGACGGTGAGTTGGAGGTTTTGCACAGAGCCGCTATCGAAGCCCGCCAACGAGTCTCATACGGAAAGCGTAAAAAACCGTCGGCAAGAGTCTACGAGACACAAATATTGTCCACTGCCGTTGGGCTACCAAGCCGCGCGCTTGCGGCTTACAGAGACAATCAAAACAATGCAAAAAACAGCGGGGGGACATACATCACGGCATTTGAGGAAACACTCGAGAAATCGAGATACCCATATTATTGTGAGAAGAGTCATCTAGAGGATATAGGAAGATCTAGTAGACAAATGAGCTTTTTGATCTGATTTTTCCGTGGTTTTCGGGCAGCCTAGAGCATAGGATGGGAAACGATACGATACAGTCAGGCTGAGACGTAGGGTAAGCACTCCCTGATTTTGGCTTAGTGCCTACTGATTTGGGGAAAATGTTTTTTGCGAGCGGAGCAAACATTTTTGATGAGGGGGGACCCTTATGAATTTTTTTTTTGATAAAATTTTTGAAAAAACACATAAGGGGGGACCCTTATGTGTTTGACACCTACTGATTTTTTGGCCTGACACCCCCTGATTTTTCGGCAAAAATTTTTGGAAATTTGGGCCTGCGATACAGTTCTCGACCGCAATTATTGGATTGGATCCGAGTCCGCAGTTAATCGTCTCAGCTGGTTCTTCTAGGTTAAACCTTCATTGGGGGCTTACGATGAAATCAAGGTGAGAAGTGGCGTCATTCAATGTACACTATGAATTGAATTAGTGAATCAGAAACAACGTTGACACCGAATCATCAGCCTAATCACCTTGAACAAAGAAAAATAATTCAGCTAAGAAACAAGGCACAGCTTAATCGTTGGCGGCAAAAACTCAGCTGGAGGCCTGGCTTCAAAGAACGAGTCTCTCTCGGAACAAACGTGAATATCGTCGTGGTGTTCTATTCTATTGGAGATCCCGAAAGTGAAACATGTCGTAAAACTGTTGTGTGTGTCTACGTCTCCCGATGTTTAGACCGACGACGTTTCGCACAATTTGATAATATTGCTTGGAAAAAATCCGGAGAGATAGATTTTCGGGGATTTAACTTTGAGTGAAAAAGACTGCAGCTAAAGTTAGATTTGAAAGAAAATAAGAAAACAACAAACAACTTGGAAAGAGGCTGCGTTGATTTTAATTTCATCCTCCTCAGTCACGGAAAAGTCGCATCGAATCGCATACCAAAGCAAGGCGATTTGGACAACGATTGTGATGGTTCTGAGTGTATTCAATAGCATAAAAAGAGATGAGTTAGAAACCGAAAAGATTCGACTAGTTGAAGCAAAACGTCAATGGATGAAAATCATTGCACTTGAAATTTTTTCAAGGAATCTACATTTATATTACTCAAATCTTGAAGAAACGGCGGACAGGAAGTAGGAGTTCATTGGCGAATGGGACGAAAAAAAAGAACAACATTTTGAAAAGATCATATCACATGTCGCAATCTAGCTTGTGTAGAACAGAATTTTCAATGACCGCCGGAAGTAAAAAAAAAAACAATGAAGTTCAGGAAAAACGTTTTTTGGCGAATGGAAATATTCTAATGATTCGGGTCATCTTGACCGGCCAGTTTGAAGAAAAAATCATAAAGGATGGGTCTTGAAGGAGGAATTTGATCAACTCGACCATTAAATTTGACTGCTCTATATATTTCATGGCCACATACCGTAAACACTCTAATAGAAGGCCACCCAACCGGCCAACGTTGAGCCTATATATCTCGACTTCTGTAAAAGATATCAAAAAGTGGTTAACTAACAAAATATGTTTAATATTATGATAAACATTTTGTCAGTTGATCGCTTTTTTATATCTTTCACAGGGACCGAAATAAAGGGGCTCAAAGTTGACGGTTCGGGTGGCCTTCTATTAGAGTGTTTACGGTAACTATGCCACAATACTAATTGTAAGACTATCTGTGTGGGTCCGAATTATAGAAGACAAGCAGCCTATAAAAGTACAAAGGAATATATGATTCATGGTTGTAAATTCTAATCAAAGCTTCTCAGACATTATACAAATGACTATGTAAATGTGACTTGAAGACAGTCTCGATTACACAACAATGCGAAATATAAAAACAGCAACTACAACAACTTTTTGCGACTCTCGCCTCTCGTCTACACGAAAACTACACAGATGCAAAAGAAAAATCAGAGAAGAAGCCGAGAGAAGAAGCGTACGTACACACATGCGTTCACTCTCCCTCCCCCTACAATTGCGCAATTAATTTAGTTGTAATACGCGTCGCCGATGTGCGCAAGACTATGCAATGATGAGAAGAAACGAGTAAAAAGAGAGGGAAGGAAAATTTTTAATCGAAGATTAATTGGCTGTCTGGTTCTGGGTTCTTTTTTCCGAACATTTTTCTTACATTCCCTTTTCCTATCAATGTATTTTGATAACTTTTTGATCAATCACCATCAAAAAACATGTGTTTTGGATCTTTGGGTGAGAAATGAGAGGAAACCTTTTTTTGTCTGAGGTGGTGGTCTCACCAACACAGAAATAAGATTAATGGGAAAGAGAAAACTGAAGAAATACGACTCGTTGAGAATCCAAGGTGGGGAAAGCTTGAATGATAAATCGAGGTTAATCGGAAAAGACACGTAAGACTTCACGAATCCATCCGTCCAGCAATCTGGGTCTCCAAAGGTCAGCGTATATACTACGAGAGATGCTGATGATGATGAGAAAATTGTTTCAATTCGTGGACGCGCGTAGTAAGAGGGAAGAAGAACGCCAATTGGCATTTCTTTTCGTCTTTTCAATTTGCCGCACACTCTCTCTTACTATCAATGATATGAGGTGATTAGAAATAGAAAAGATAGGCGGTGAAAGCTGTTTTAAATTATCCTGGTGGCTTATACTATGCAGGTGGAAGGGTAAAAGAAACTGACAATTTGATTGATCGGGAAGTAACTATTTGAAATGGTCTAAAAATAGATTATCACCGGAATGAACAGATTCCAATGAAGTCGTGATAACTGAATCAGATCAATTTTAAATCAAAAAAGTGATTGAAGCCACGCCTATCATCTACGAGAAATCAAGTCAATATTGTATCTTTTTATGTCATTCTCTCTTTTTCCTAATCTCTGATGCATTTCTATCCGTTTTTGATCTTCCTCCGATCTGGTCTAGGACCCATGTCGCTACTCTTTTTGATAGTTTTTGATACATGGTGGTCGGGATGCGATGTTTGTCACATCGTTGTTCATATTAACTGACTTCTGATCTAACTATTGGAATCAACGTGACACTTCGAATCAAATATAGGTTTTCATCTGTCTTCACTCCATCGGTGTTTCAAGTGTTCTTTCCTATCTTTTTCTCATCACCAAAAAAAAAGGAAAAAACTAAAACGACGGATAGGGAAAAATTCAAAGAATTTTTCACGATACTGTCCGAAAAAAAAAACTACAAATTATCAAACAGCCATCATTCATCAAACAGATAGCTGCTGAGATGAAGAAGAGGAAGAAACCAATGAAGATGAAAATTTTTCCGTTATCGAGTTTTCTTTTCAATTTTTTTTTCAAATAAAACGCTCCTCCTCCTCCACAGAGGAATTTCCTTCGTTTTTTTCGTTCCGGGTAGTCGTTCGGAAAGCAAAAAAAAAACTCACTCGCTGGCTAGTCGAAACAAATGGAGCTGATGTCGTCGTGTGCGAAGACTTTTTGATCGCCGAAGACATTGAAGACGTCGGACGATAGATGGGGCCAGTGGAAACGGTGCGCACGGAGTCGGATGAATGGATTAGTGACACCTGGAAAACAAAATTTTGGAGATGGGGATAGCTGTGATTTTTTTCAAATATTGTTCATCTGCTTAAGATCTCTAACATCAGGAAGATCTTGATGTTTGAAGCAGCAAGTATTTAGTAGGAAAATGAAAAATATCACATGATATGATGCACTTCCATAAAAAACATGTGAATTCAGAAGGAACTTTCCAAAAATAAATACGGTTCAAAAAAGAAGTTCTCACCTGTGTAACACCGTTATTGGCGGGGTATACACCACCAACCCCTCCGCTGGTCGTGACCATCTCGTTGAGAATTGAAGTCTGAAAAGCGATTCTTGAATATTTAAATGCGAAGAAAGAAAATAGAGTTGGAAGGAAACAACAAGAGACAATTAAATGTAGAGACATTTTGGACATTTTTCAATTATTCGTTAGGGATGGCATTCGGAATTCTGAAAGAAAATTGGGAATGAAGCTTGTGGTCGGAATAATTCCGAATTTTTTTCGGATAGAAACCCTGACCGGAATATTTCCGACTATTTTACGGAATAAGAATTTTTTGACTACGATATTTAAAGGCGCACGCGAAAAATTTTTTGCGGGTCTCGAGCGGGAGTACTTTTAGTATTTTTTTTTCTCTGTTTCCTACATCAGTTGGTCAATTTTTCCCGCTTTTGTGATTGAAAATTCAGATTTCTCAACATTTCGAAAAGACCATTCCGATATTCCTAAGAATTTGGTCAATTAGCTATTCTTATGGACTGTTATCAACATTGTACTAATTCTACGCTTATCAGCTGTAAGGTGTTAATTGTAAAGACGAAACTAACTATAAAAGACGCCTAATTCGTATCTCTGATAAGCCAATGATACGAAAAAGGAGAGAATTGCCGCTTCCCGATGAGCCGTAATAAAAAGAGAGGACCTGTGACTGAATGATCAGGGGAGCGCGCGCAAGGGAGCGTATGCATGTGTTGGTTCGAAAGATGACGACGAGCCAAAGTAAACACGACCTCTTACGATTGGGGTCGTCTCTATCTCTTTTCCTCCTTTTCCGCTACATTTATCACCAAAAGTAGGTTCTCTTTTTGCGCAGCCTGTATCACTTCAGAAGAAAAAAATTGGCGCGATGCCAGCTCTGCTTGGGGATGAGATAGAAGAGAGAATAAATAGAAAACGACAGATCGGGGACAGCAGCCTTGAATTGGATCACCCGTTGATTAACGATCGAAATTAGAGAACACCGGACATTAGAAAGGTAGCGATGGTCACTAAAATGGAAAAAAAGTGTAAAGTTGAATTCTTCCTTTCTGATGATCAAATCGTGGGAGTATTGGGGGCAGAAGTAGAAGTGCATGATGAATAGAGAAAGGAAGAGGTCCACTTCAAATAATTCCGAAAGTGGCCTATTCAGTCGAGAATTGGCCGCTTCGGAAGGCAGAACAAGCAGAGAAAAGGGAAAAAGAATGAGAAAACTCAATTTCGACCGACAACGCCGTATTTCTGTTGTCACTAAACTCGGATAGGGTCATCAGGAGAAAGCGGCAAATTTTTGAAAGAGAAAAGAGTGTGGCAAGTTGTTCTTTTGAAATGGGGAAATGGACATTCGGCGGCCTTTCGTAGGCCAGCTGGTCTGCCTGATACTAGTAGGCACTGAAAACATATTGGAAGAAGAGAGATTTTGCAGTTTTCTAAATAAGGGAATCGACATATTTTAGGAATCAAGTTCGTCCGAATCGAAAGAACATCATTGTTTTCTTCCTCATGTGACGAAAAACCAGAAGAGAAGTTGGAGCTCTTGCTCCCGCACATTTCAATTGTTTGAAGTGGGGACAAAAGAAGAGAGGAGCTGCACTTTCGATGGCGGTTGCAGCACATTGATTGTTTTTCTTTCTCGATAACACAGAAGTAATGGAAAAGTGCGAACGTATTAGTGTGAGATATTAAGGAAGAAAGATGCGATGATCAAAATTAAATTAAACTGTGAACCGAAAAATAAATAAATGTGGAAACGACAGCCGTCTGAAGACTCTGAACTCACGCGCCCATAAAACGGACCGTTCGGCTGTTCGCGTGTGTCACCAGCCGGGTTAGAGTACAGGAATGGAAGGGACGGAAAAGGTGAGCACGAGAGAGTTCGGAGACGGAGACAGTGAGAGCATGCGAGTTAGTATGCAGATTGGAGAGACGCCGTGTATAATCGGTTCTGCTGTGTACAGGCAAAAGAAAAGGATATTTGTGTTGTGAGGAAGGTCAGAAGAGAGTGACCGTTATTCTAATGAGGCAGACAGTATAGTATATGGTAGAGACATAGAGGGAAGAAGTACAAAAGAAATGCGTCATTTTTGATCGGATCGCCGGAAATGAGGCAATATGGTGAGAGCGAGATCTTTATCACAAGAAACGAAAGCCAGACATCATAAAAGTAAACAAATATTCTCCTCCTGCTACGCTTCATAAGCTCATCACTTTGTCCAATGGGGTGCGGAAACGTTTTTAGAAGGGTTTTTTTTCTTTGCCGAAAAAAGGAAAGAAAACAGTCTGATGAACGATGTATGTTTGTTTTCCAGCTATCGTTTTAGTGAGACCTACATATCAATCTTAAACTGTTGGTTGTCAATTTTCCATCGAAAAGTCTATAAGATTATCACTGCTTATCCGCGCAAACAAACTAATTATCAGTTATCGATGAAGATGTTTAAAGGTGGGGGACAGGAGATTTTTCGTAGTTTTTTTTGTAGCTAGAGTATGCATTCTACCGTCACGGTGTACAACGCTAAATGTCACTCTGCGTACAGCTGTCGTCCTCGCCTTTATGTATGCAAACGGGCGTGCGCTTTCTCTTTGTCCGCGTGGCTCAGTCGGTAGCGGCGCCGCACCCTCAATCATCGCCCTCACAAGTTCAACTCCTCGAGGGGCATCTTTGAACGGAATTTCGAGAACATTATTTTTTTCATGTCCCCCCACCTTTAAAGAATTAGTTCTAAACATAAAAAATATCAGAATTTTTATGAGGAAACAACATTTTACAGTAAGTTAAAGGCGCGCTCTGTTAATATTTCCTGACCCTCGCAACGATTTCGGGTTACTGTGAAAATATTTGAACCCGAAGAAAGAACAGGTTTGAGCTACCTATAATTATAGCTATAAAAACATAACTGATTGAAAAAAAATGTTAGAAAAATTTAATTCATTATTCACTAAAAGGGCTGACTCAAAATGTTTGAAAATAAGTATCCCGTGTCGGAATAAAATAAGGAAACAGCGTGGGTACGGTATATTAAAGGCGCATTCTGTGTTCGATCGCTTAAATATTTACGAACAAGTCTGAAACAATTTAGTTGAAAAAAGTTGGAAAAATGAAATAATCATGAAGAAATTATATATAGCAGGTCGTGCTGATGTCTTCTTGTCTTCCATACTGTCGATTTAATTAGCAGAAACAAACACAACTTCTTCTCTTCTCCTAATTCTCCCAAATTTCTCTTCCCTTTTTCTCACTCTGATTAGAAGACGTCAATCGATGTCTCTCGCTATCTCTATTTCTCTTCTTCTATTTTTATTCCCTATAAATTCACCCAATCCATCAAGCTCTAACTTTCTGGATATTGGCACAACTTATCAAGCAGTGGACTACGGTATTGCAACTGATCAACATCAGCAATGTATTGCGTGGAAGCTGTGGTGGAAAACTCAGAAATCGTTACAAGATCCATCTGCTTCTGATATAGACTTATTGGCTTTGCGAAGGGCAGAAGTCTGGATCAGAAATGAGAATGATGCGGAAAAATATGATGTTCCAGTAGAATTGCTTCAGAACTTTTCGGTTAGTCAGAGTTCTTTATTCGATAAGTGATAGATTTATTAGGAATCAGCATAAATAGTTTCACTCAATGCAAATTTTTCCGGTGAACTTTTGATGAACTAACGACAGACTACAGTAACCTAATTATTCAATTAACGTATACGCAGCTATACATGAGACTACCATTCATACAGCACGAAACAAAAAAGATACCATATCCTGAGTTTCTCAATTGAAAATAGTCAAAATTGATATCCGTTAGTAAAAAGTATTTCAAAATTTTTTCGATTGCTCTGAAATGCTCAGATTATACCACACAAAAATAGAGCCTGAATGTACTGATTGATACCTTTTTTGCCAAAATCCATTCCGATAAGTTATGCCGCTTTTAACCAAAAAAGGACCGAAAGTGCTGCAATTAGCAGTGAAATGAAAGTTGTGCCAGCTTGAGATCCGCTTATCTCACTTTCTTGGACAGTTACGAAAAAGTTGTCAATTACAAATATGAAGCTCCATTCTTATTTAGTCTACTCTGAAAATTTCAGACAAATCGAAAAGGTTTTGACTACTTTTTTTAGGTTTCCGAAATTCATTCGCTCTAACATAAGCCCACCAATACAGTCAACTTTGAGCTCAATTATCTCGATTTCTGTAAAAGGTATCGAAAGTTTGTTAACGAGTAAACTATTCATCATAAAATCACCAACATTTTATCATGTGACAGACTTTTTATATCTTTCACCAGAATCTAGATAATCGAGCTCAAAGTTGACGGTCTGGGTGGGTTTCTATTAGAGGAAATATTGGATTGAAAAAGAATCTAATTCAAGAAAAAAAAATAGCAAGATGAAACATCGTGTAGAACTTTCCCAAACCTTACTATTTGCAGACAATCCGGATAGTCTTCCGAAATGTTTGTCGTCTTTTTCCTCGTGTCCTCCAGATATCTTCGCCACTAGCAGCCCGTCGTAGTCGTATTACTCTCGATGTCCTCTGTCAGACATACAACTATTCGGATCCAGAAGCCAATGAACTCGTTCTTAACAACTATGAAGAAGCGCAGGAAAATGCCATTGGAATAGATCAACTCTTGTTTCTCGATCATCAATCTGTGATGATAGTCATGCCAGCTGCTTGTAATTCCAGTGAGAACGATGAGAAGGAGATAGCAAAGCAATATTATTTAGGTGACTTTTTATTAAAACAAGAGGGATTGAGAAAAAATAATTCAGAAGAAAATTTCAGAAAAATACGGAGATTTCTCATTCAATGTTAGTAATCTGAATATTGAAATGGATAAATTACACGAAATGGTTCATGATTTAAAACCATTGGATCAAATTATGAGGTATGTTTAGTGGAAACAAAAATTAGTTTTTCAAATCCCTAATAACTCGAATCATCATAAAAACTACTTATTTTTAAGTTGAATTCCAGAAATAGTTGTAAATTGGGTGTTTGGGGTTTTTACATTTACCGTAAACCCTGTAATAGAAGGTCCCGACACTATCAAGTTTAAGCTAATTTTTCTTGGTTGCTCTGCGAGATATCAAAAAGTAGTCAACTGACAAAATGTTCCTTATAATATTAAAAATATTTTTTTCAGTTGACCACTTTTTTATATATATTACAGGAACCGAGATAAATTGGTTCAAAGTTAGAAGGGCCCTTTTGAGACACCTGTGAATTGGTTGTTTGAGAGTTATTTACAGTTAGGCAATAAGAAACTAGAAAGTGTCAAACTTTGTTTTTGTTTCTAAAATCAAATAGTAGATAAATTTTTAGTGAAAATCTTGGTTTGGATTATCAACGTCCTCTGCCATCATCTACAATTCTTCCATTTCTTCGAAAAATTGAATACGATGCTCGTCAACCTCCAACCCTTCATGTCGATGATACAGTAACTGTGAAAGTTGGTATATCGGTTCAATCTATGAGCAATTTTGAGCTCTCTACAATGGCAAGTTCATGTTTGAAGTGTTAGCAACCCATAATGAAAATTGAGGATTACGATTTGGATGCGTGGGTCCGAATGTCATGGATCGATCCTAGGCTCCGTCATGATCTATCTCGCCCAATTCTAGTAAACGACTATACGTTTCTGAAAATGATTTGGAGACCTGACCCGATTTTCACCAATGCAAAATACTCGACATTTCACAAAGTGACATATCTGAATTTCTATTTATTCATATTCCCAGATGGGAAGATTTTCATGGATATGAGAGTTTATCTGAAACCAACTGCAGCTCAAATTGTCCTTTGCAAATATCCACATGATAATCCAGCAGTGTCACTGAAAATCAGTTCAAGTAAGTGATTTTAAAGCTAGTTTTCTATTCGAAAGCATCATTATATTTCAGTGGGATTCACACAAGATGTTGTAAAACTGGAGTGGTTCTCTAACTCTAACGACGCTATTCGGGTAGGCCTTTGAAACTAAAAGGCATTTAGTTTTCTGTTTCAGATTGAGAAAAACGTTCGAATTCCTGAATTGAGCATCAGACATCTTCATCCAGATATATGTAACGGCGTAAGAAAATCAGGAGTGTATTCTTGTTTGGAAGCCAAATTTTATATGCATCGAGAAGTTGGTTATCATATTGCAAATACTTACATTCCAACTGCAATCTGTGTTGTATTCTCATGGATTTCCGTTTGGCTTCCAGAAGAATTTGTAGAAGGTGAGCTCGGGAAACTTCAAGAATCGCTCCAGAATAAAAAGCCGGGATTTTTGCAGCAGAAATCGGAATTCCAGAATTTACGGAAATTCCGAAGAGAATATTTTCGTAGCCCTTTCTCAGAATGAAATCCGATCGGAACATTTCCGATTTTTTTTTCGAATTTGAGTTTTTCGGACTACGGTAGTCAAAGGCCTAAATCTGGTTTTCATTATTTTTTCGCGCCTTTGTAATAGGAAATCTTGAAATTTTGAAAATCAGAATATTCCTAAGACTCCGATAACCCGAAAATTTGAAACTCAGACTTTTCGACATTCCAAAAACTTCCAAAAAGGCCATTCCAAACATATCTGCAGATCCATGAATAAGAATTTTCTGGGAACTTCTATTCAAAAACATCAATTTTTCATAACGAGATTAGTAGCTCATATTCTGAAGGGGCCGAAGTACCTTGAGTTACTGTATTTTTTCTAATATAACCCCACTCAACTTCGAGCTTAATTATCTCGATTCCTGTGAAAGACATCCAAATTCTGTCAACTGATACATTGTTCATCAGGATATTATCAATGTTACATCAGTTGAAAAATTATTGATATCTTTCACAGGAATTGAGATAATTAAGCTCAAAGCGGACGGTTTGGGTGTACTACAGAAAATACGGTAGTTTGGAAATCAATTAATTTTTCGAAGAAATGTGGGCAAGGATTTCACCATATAAATTCCGTTCCAGGTCGAATCTTCGTATCCCTAACTGTATTTTTGACACTCTCCGCGGAAAACAACTCAGCAAAAGAGGAACTCCCAAAAGTCTCTTATGTGAAAGCCATCGACATTTGGTTTGGATTCACTTCAACGTTTGTATTCGTTACAATGCTTCAAGCTCTTGTTGTCATCTCATTAGAGCACAACAGTAAACGTTTGGTTGGTTTATCATCTTCTCTCTTTCCAAATAACGCAATATTACAGAGACTGAAATCTGAAAGTAATCTTGATGGATACAGTAAGTATCAAGTGACAAAATCAATGCTTTTAAGTCGATACTACCATCGGATGGCTCGACAGATTGACACATTTTGCAAAGTGATGTATCCAGTGATTTTTATTCTGTTCCTGATGTTTTATGTTTTTGTAATCACTCAGGGAGATGAGAGAAAATGTATCAAAAATTGAATAAAATAAAATTTATTAATTCTACAATTATTATTGTCACATATAAGCCATTTAGCTTGCATTCATCGTTTTCCAAATGGCCTATTCATGTATCCCAACTTTGCTCCAGCTGGTTCGATTCCTCCGTACATGGATCCTCCCACCGAATAGATTGGAGTATCTCCCTCAGATGAATCAGGTAGTACATGAAGATACTGTCCCATTCCCTATAAATAGATTGTTAGTTGGTAGAACAATTCTAGAAAACACACTTGTTTGTTTCCGTTGGCGGTCATTTCTACCATCGAATAGTAAGGACGAAGGATGCCAAGAAGGTCGGAATCTCCTCCACCGACAAGACCACCAACCTGCGAATTCCATTTTTTAGGAAATATAATATATTTAATAGAAAATAAAATAACATTTCTAGTCTAGGATCGAAGTACCGTAACAACTTTAATAGAAGGCTGCTCAAATTGCTAATTTTGAGCTCATTTATCTCGGTTTTGGTAAAAGATATCAAAAAGTTGTTAACTAAAAGAAGATTTACCATAATATCCAAAATATTTTGTCAATTGAAAACTTTTTGATATCTTTTACAAAAACCAAGATTTAGGAGCTCAAAGTATGCAGTTAGGTTGGACTTCTATCAGAGTGTTTCCGGTATGACTGAAGAAGTTTAGGAATCAGGATGGTTCAATTTGAAGTCGTGATGTTAAAACTCACACACTTTGTAGCCAAAGTTCATAGTTTCGGAGGACGATACAAAAAATGGTAGCTCTTCGAAATTAATACCAAATATGTCCTGAACACATTCTAGACATCTAATTGTTGTCATAAATGCATGCATATCATAACCCATAATTAACAGACTGTCAATTCGTGTCACCTTATGTTACTTTTACACACCAACTTACTACATTTCCAAGTCAGGAAACGAACCCAACATACGGTATGATTGCCGGGTACATTTCAGATTCACACCTACTTACAAAGTGTGAAACCCAAAACAAATTGCTTACCTCGTCGAGATCCTTCATTCCTTGCTCACTGAATCCGAAATTGTTGTCCTTCGTAACATCCTGCTCGCCGGATCCAGATAGTGAGCGAGATTTCTTGTACTCTCGTGGAATGAACTTATCCATCCATTCGTTGTCAACCATTTTCATCAAACTCTCATTCGTAGTCTCACTTTCTCCTTTGAATGAACGAGCATCTGAGAGTTTGGATTATTTGAAAAGGCTTTTAAAGCAATTTAACCTGTGAAATGAGCCAAAATCAATAGTAGGGAAGCAAAAAGAATCATCGTGATACTGTGATAACAATAGCTAGTGAAATGATATCGGATAGGATAACATCCATGCCCTCATTCTATTCCCTTATCCCGAATCCTGTTTCTTCGTCCTCTTATCAAGTGTTCAAAATGAACCTTGAACTAAGAACTGAACTGCCAATCTAAACCGGATATTTCGATTCAACGGAGACCTTTTCGAGAATTCAATGCTTCTTGAAGATGAAACCAAAACACTTGGCAAGTGTGGAACAATCCTAAAAGAACATCCCGACGCCTGTTTACTTTGTGTTTTGTCACTTCCGTTGACATGGATCTTGCCGGTATTAGGTATGCCGTTCTCACTAATACCCCACAAAGAATCATCCGAAAGAGATCGGCTCCGGCGCAGATGTACACCATGTCACCTCCTTTATAATGGAATTAATGTTCTGTCGGGAAACAGGTGAACGGAAGGAAGATAAGTAAAAAAAAAAGACAAGTGACAACTGGAAAAGAGAATTATGAATTATGAAAGACGAAGAAACACCTTGGCAACATAATGGAGAGCTAAACACTTTTTTAGTTTTCTTTTTTTTTAATACTCATAAATCGAAAGTGTATTATTCTCAATCATACTCAAGTCTGTTATTCTGGCTTTTTCTGACAGTGATTTATTTTTTTGGAACATTTCAAAATTTCATTTTGAAGAGTCTGTGTGTACGGAAATTCCTTAAATGAAGGGGTACTGTAATTGAAACAGCATATATAATAGTTGATATGATCCTAATAAATTCATAATTGATAGTGGTTAGTGAGAGAGGTGAAAAATATATATACAATACAAACTTCTAAAAGTTTTAAGATCCATATCGATAATTGGTAGTGTCGGGTTTCAAAGCCTTGAGACCGCAATCGCATGTTACAATCTCAGATAATAAATTTCACCTACTCTTAATCACAGCGTTTCTCTTCCACAGCTCCGATTTTTAGTAGCAGAATAGTACAATTCTAGTTCTGTGAAAATTATATCAGCCAGAAGAAAATATATCACCATCAAAACTCTAATTGAACGCAGTACCCCCTGATCCTAAGTAAATTATTAAAGACAATTTTTCTCGGTTCCTGTGAAAAATATTGAAATGCCGCCCATTAACAAAACTTTTATCATAATATCAAAAACATTTTGTCAGTTTGTCACTTTTTGAAATCTCTTTCATGGAGCGAGATAAATTAGCTCAAGATGAACTGTTCGGTGGCTTACGGTATTTTAAGAGGAAATTTCTATTTTGTAAAAAATCTAGAACCTTCATTCTTCATTATCCGAATTATTGTTTTTGTTATTTTACAAAGTGTCAAGCGTCGTTTTGCAACATAACAAGTACAATGAACCCCTCTTTAGGACACTTGAGTTCCATTATTTGACGGAATTTGGAGTGAGTTTGTTTGATTGTGAAAATGTGAAAGGCCAATGTTAAATTCAAATTTCTCCCACGATCTTTTCAATGTTAGCTCACCGTTATCAGTTTTTCGGCGACGATGAGACTTTTTTGTTTATCTACACAGTACTTTTTCACACGTTCAAATGTTAAATTTAGGTTGAAAATGTAATGAAAACTGGGAATTTTAGCGAAAAGTGTTTCAAAGTTTGATTAGGTTGTGAGTAGGTACATTTGTATGTTTCATGGAGTAGATTCAACTTGTACATCACTATGTTTGAAATTATGTATCTATAAGTTCGACGTTATCAGTTCTCTAATAATCTTTTTCTTAGAAGTCAGCCTATGTAAAATCTACATAAACTACAAAAGACTACCGTAATCCAGAAAAAAAAACTGAAAATCGCTATGAAAAACTTTTTCAATAACCCTCAAGCCTATTAATGAACATCATCATGCAACGAGACTAGAAAACAAATAAAAAACTTGAATGAGGTAGAAGTGTCATTTTTCTTTAATATCGCTAGACGTCTTTAGACATACTAAACACCCTGAAAAAAACTATACCTGCAATAGAAGGGGTCTCTAACTTTTAACTTTGAACCGAAAAAGGTCCAATTTTTTCTCTGTTTCTCTCGAAGATGTGAAAAAGTTGTCAACAAATACATTATTTATCACAATATCATAAGAATTTTGTCAGTTGACTACTTTTCGATATCGTTCCTAGGAATTGAGATAATTGAGCTCAAACTTAACAGTGTGGGGACCTGCAAATAAAGGTCCTACCGTGGCTCAAAAAAAATGTTTGATGCTCAATACGTTGAAAAAAAAGTATTGTAATGATTATTCATCGAATACAAAAATTTTTCCTTCTCACTGGACTGTTTTTTCTGTTTCTTTTTTTCTAATTGCAACACGACTTCCCACAAAGATCAACATTCTTCAGCACAAATCAGACGCGGCATAATTAGAAAATTAGCTCCGTTTTTGAAGAGATGGCAGTCACATCCGATCCGAAGTCACAAGTTGAATCTCTTCGTTTCTCTCTTCTCTTTTAACTGAATTTTTGTTTTTTTTCGAGAATGCTCAACGTCAGTTTCTCCTCTTCTCAATTTCCGACTTTCGGGAATCCTGAATTTTGAATCTCAAATTCCGTCACAAAATTCGAAATTGGCAATTAGGTTTGAAGTGGTTTCTTTTTTTGCTGCTTTCCACCTTCTCCTTCCTTCCCCTTCGTTTTCCTTCGATACCTCCGATCCCTTATTTGGTCTCAGTGCCCGCCTCCTCCGCCTTTGCCCAATCGTCTGGGTGGGCGGGGACTTGGGAAGCAGGGCCGAAGAGGGCTGGACTGAATACGCATGGGAGAGACACGCTCACGGTGAACGATCCTCCACAAGCACTCATATAAGAGGTAAATGAGCTCTAAGAGATTCTCTCGGTTTACTTGAAGGACCACTTTGGGCCCTCGCGTCCTCTCCATGACTTTTCAAGTTTTTAACTTAAGTGAGTTTTGAGTAGTTTTCGGGACGGACGCCACTTCCATCCTCCCCTTCACACCCCATCCTTCACATTTTGCGCCCCAATCGAGGCACCAGAGCAGTAGTTTCTTCTCTGTTCCAGAAAAATATGTCAAAATATCTAGAGTCCCAACCTACTGCTAACTCAGCAACTCCTAACTTGAAAAGTCATGGTGAGTCTTATATTCCTCTTCTTTTTATATTCTTTTCTGAGTTCATACTCACTCTTCCATACTTCTTCATCTTTCTAAAATAACTTTGAATTTCTAGAATGTCTTCTGGTTCCTCCAGCTCTTCTACATCCGCCACAGATTCCGTGACTCCTATCTCTGAAGGATTCCAAACTCTTTCCATCACGACTCCACCAGTCACGTCGACACATATGTCATACTTTGGATTCCAGACGCCACAGTATGCTAATGACTTTTCCAGGTAAGTAACAATGTATACTCTATTACACGCCTAATTGCCTCTTTTTTCAGCTACACTCCAAGTGCTGCCACGGCTTACCCAACCGCTCCATACCCCATGGCAACGCATTCTCATCTGACCAATTGTGAGTTTTTTTCGTTCTGAACTTCATCTCGAATTTTCTCACTTTTTTCCCGTCCGTTCCAATAATTATTCCTTGAATAGGCGCGGTTGCTGCTTCGCAACAATTATTTTCTTCTATTTTCACAGTCTAGATTCCTTCCCCACTTCTTCTTCCTCTTCTCCTTATAGGTTTGATTCTTATTCTAATAACTTAGATTATTATTTTTGTTATATAACGCATATATAATAAAACAAGCATACCCCCGTGGTATAATTGACGCACACCTACGCCAGAGCTACCGTAGTCCTTTTTTGCCTGAGTCAGGGGGTAGACGAAGGTGTATTTTCCCACACCAGCTTTTCCTTTTTTTCTGGATCTCTGCAAAAAACATATAATCCCTTTCTCTCGTTTTCTTTTTCCTGTGGTGCTAAATGTTTGTCTTCCGAGACGAAACTCGTCCTACAGTACCTCCTATGAAATTGGCAATGAACAAGTTTGCCAACTAACCAACTACCCCTTCCTAACTACTCCCACCCTTATTTTTCTTTGTTATACAACAAACAACTAATATTCATGGTGCTGATAGTAGGTAGCAGGAGGTGTATAGCCATTTTCGAAGTTGCGTCGGAAGTGACGCAACTTCAGTAATCTACAACACCTACTTGAACCGTGAGAATTGCGTGGGGAGAGGAGGTATTGTTAAAGGAAAGGCAGAAGTTTAGAAGGGGTACTGTAAGAAAATGAACATGTGACAAGAACTTGGAACCAGTTGGAAAAAGGACATTTCACTTATTAGAAGGTCAGCACTTTTGCAGACCATGTTCGATGAATAATCAAGAACATCAGGCACACTGACAGTTTTGGAATACACCAAAAATCCTTGCCTAAAGTATACCACCCTAGTTACTTACAACCACTTGGAATCATCAGATGTAGGTACCACAAATCCTTGACTACAGTACCCTAGTCACTGACAACCTCTTTCCAATCAACTTGTTTAGTCACTGCGCCACGGGGAGCCCCGAGTCAATTGACTGGTAAACGACGGACCTATATCCATATTTGTTCATCAGTTTGCTATGGTGCCAAATTTGTATCGTCGTTGAGACAAGTGTGTTAGCATACATACCAACACGCGTGCATGTGTACTTTTCCTATTGTTTTTGTAAGGGACTACGGAAATTGACGATTTCCGAGACTTCCGGGACCCACACAATTCCGTTAATTTCGCGGATCTTATTGTTTGGAGAAAAGTAAATATCAAGAGATCCATTTTTCAGTGAATCGCTTCAGTACCACCAATCATTTGAGCTTCGGGATCGCAGCAACTCAACAAAATATGATGATTTCTGCTGGAATCGGAAGAAGGAAGCGGAGAGTACTTTTCTCTCCCCAACAAGTTCATGTTCTGGAGCACAAGTTTGGTTCTAACAAATATCTGAGTGCTTCTGATCGAGAACAACTGGCGAAAAGCATTAATTTGACGCCGACACAGGTTTGTACTTTTTAATTTCTTTTTAATTTAGGCTAATTAGTTATCCCTACTAATTAGTTCCTGGTCAGAAGATTCCTTCTAATTCTGCCGTATTCAGGTAAAAATCTGGTTCCAAAATCAAAGATACAAGCACAAGAGACAGGAAAAGGAGAAGAAAATGGATGGAGGTTGTTATCGGCCAAACGAAGGGGATTCCGATTCTGAAAGGGATAATGATAGTAGTGGATCGATGGGATCTTCTCCGAACGTTAAGAAAGAGGTAGATGAAGATCACAAGGCTCCATTCATGAATTCTACGATTCCCGTGGATACTTCATGTGTTCCAGACATCACTCAATCTGCATTCCCATATCAGGTTCGTTTTGAAATTAGCTGTCGGACTCAATGAGATTGAGAGGGGATGGGGGTAGAATAATCCAATAGGATTACCATAGGATCGGATCACCCACTTGTGACTGTCTCTTTCTAATTCAATTTGTTCCGTTTTGGTTCCATCACCTGGGAAGGAAGGGTAGCAGATGCACGGGATGATTTTTGAAGGACCCACTTCTTAATATCCATTTTCTGAGACTGCAGCTGTCCTTTCCCACTTTTGAGCTATTGAAAAATTCACCCACGTGATCGTCTTCGAAGCATAATTCAACAATAGTTTCAGATGTATCCAACGACCGGCTACATGCCCCAATTCTTCTATCAACAACAAGCAACTACTTATCCACAGACGTATTCAAATATTACTGGCTTCCAGACCTTATAATTTGAATCTGTATTTGTATGCTCAATTCAATTTTCTCATTTTTCTAAAATCTCCTGATGACAAAATCTCTCCTTCCTCTCATTATGAGCTTTTTTCCGATTCTTCTCCTTCTTCCAAAAATCCCAAAACTCAAACTGGTATGTATTTATGTACGTTGTTCTTTTTTTCTCATTTTATTTTTTTGATCGACTAAACTTTTCACTCAGCTTTATTTTGCATCTGATTTCTAGGTTTTTATCAAAATAAACAAACAATTCGAATTCAAATCGACGTAGTACACACCCAGTTTTACCGTAATCACCACAGACGACGTGCCATTCTTTTTTTCGCCTATTCACATCGATGAATGGTGATGAACATGAAGAGGCGCACATGTTGTATAGAGAAGGCGTAGTATATTGTTTTGTAGAAAACTGAGTGGAGGTACTTGAAACCCGTCGACATCATCGGAGCGACTGGGTGAAGAAAATGGAAAAAAAGAGAAGATGAAGACGTCAGACAGAAGCAGAAGGTGTATGAATCAGAGACATCATCATGAAGTTTCTTTGATTGATTTGTGTGGAATTGAAATTTGGAAAATATATTCAGGTAGACCTTCGATTTGGAATGTTTCAACAAAAATATGCATCAAATGTAGGGGCCATTCAGAATCTGGTATACCGTAAAACCTAATAGAAGGGTTTCCTTTGAGCCAAGTTTTCTTGGTTCTTGTCAAAGATATGAAAAAGTTGTCAACTGATGAAGTGTTTATCAGGATATCGGAAGTGTTTTGTCAGTTAACAAATTTTTGATACCTTGATAATGGAGCTCAAAGATGAGAGTGTGGGGGTCCTTCTATTACAATTTTTTACGGTATGTCCAAAGTTATCAATTTCATTCAAATAAAAATTTTCCACCGGATATCCGACAACTTCATCAACCAGTTTCAATATCTTGGGACCATCTGATCATATAATCCTATTTTGTCAACTAGTAAAGCTTTCCAGCAGTATCCTGTCATTATTTCACACCTCTGGTATGCACAGCCGGATAATCCACAGTTTGATGACAGGACAGTGGCACGTGTTGCGTCACCACCTGTATATACAAAGCTCCCAGAAGAAGAAAAGGGGAGAAAAGAAAAAGGAATTAGAAGAGCATTGAGAGTACCGTGACTTCCTTCTGTTCCCTGTAATTAGATGATTTGTGTTGCTTAGACTGAGTGAAAGGATACGCCGAAATGACTAATTTGGGTCATCAGAGGTTACCGTAGTAGGTGTAACAAAGAGGTGTGAGCATACTTTGTGAATAGGGAAAGAAGTGTTTAATAAATTATCCCAAATTTGGCTACTCTTATTCAGAAGTTGTTTCTAGAATTTCTTGCTGGGTAACAACTACCGTATTTGATAGAACTCTCTATACTTGCATTTCAGCTCAATTTTCTCGATTTCTGTGAAAGATATCCAAAACTTGTCAACTGATAACTTATTCAACATTATATCATCAATATTTTATTAGTTGACAGATTTTTGATAATTCTGCTAGGAACCGAGATAACTGAGCTCAAAGCGAACGCTTAGTGTGGGCTTCTATTAGAGCGAAAACGGTAACGCTTTTACGTTTGGAACCATTTTAGTTTTCATAATAATCGAATTCTGGAACAATTCAGATATAATTATAATAATGCTACACATATAGGTTATCAAATGTTCATTTTGTTATACCTGTCTTTTTCCTCAACATTCAAACTTTTTATCGACTGAGGATGATGAATATAAACAGGTCAGATCTTCTGATTCATCTTCGAATCACTACACTTCATAAAAATTTCAAAAATCAAGGAAGTTATGAGTATTCGAATGAGGAACTTTTTCTGTCCCTGTCGGTGCCAGGGTGCTCTATTTGTTCATTTCTGGACACACTTGTGCGTGACTCGATACCGTAACCCACCCCACACCGTTCTTGCACATTCACCCACACCTGTAAATGGTCGCTGGCTCTCGTCAAGTGCTTACCTTCTTTCTTTTCAGGATGAAGATTGTTCTCACTCTTCCGATGACCAACACTTATACCCACCACATTTACCCATAAACAGAGAGAGTCGGCTGCCTCTAAGAATCCCAAACTCATCCAGAGGGACGAAATCGCAGTCAATTAGAAAAAGAGCCGAAAACATATTGAAGGCAGACGGTTATGCCTTTTTGTTCATTATTGTGTTGATAAGTGCAATGGTTCCTTCCGCCTGCGGCATCAACCAAAGAGGAACTCGTTTAATAGACAAAGTGTGCCCTGATGAGGATGACCCCGAAAAGACATCTAAAGAACATTATACCAGTTAGACAAGATAAAAAAGGGAGCACTCAACATCAGAAAAGAGAGGATGAGCACCCGACAAAACACATTAACCAGTGTCTTTGTCAATATGTAGGCATTGTAATTGGGCCGATCTCTTGTGATCAGGTAAAGGTTGTTGTTTTTATTTTGAAGGGAAACGAGGAGATAAATCTGAAAATCTGTAATTTTGCGTAGCCACATGGTTACTGTAGCTAATCGATTAGTCACTTCCAGCCATAAAATATTTCACCAGGGAGTTGAAACTCATCCATCATATTTACAAATCCCTGACTTTCACCTCCAATCAATCAAAAATACAGTATGGCGGGTAGAATTGAGTCGATAGCATTAATTAGGTTTGGTGACTGTATCCATATCCTAATTTACCTAACCGCTGTTTTCCTCTATTTATTAGAAACACTTGAGTTATGTCATAAGTGAAAAACGTATCTTATTTCAGCTCTACCTTTCGGCATATCGATCATAGTCAGAAAGAGAGACTAACGCATGATATATATCTGTCTGGATATATACGCAAGGAAAGAAAACAGAAGACGAAGAGAAAAGTCGTTTTGTTCAAGTGTTTGTGCTGCTGGCTACGGTGGCTCAGCTAAGGGAAAAGGTGAAGAATTGAGCAGTTTATGTAAGCGAGAAGGGAGGGATTTTTGAAGTGGTTCACATGCCTAATGGGATAAAACGATTTACGCCCCAAACGAAGAAGCAGAGTCAAAACGAGTTCTTCGTAATTTGGGAGTTTTTGAAAGTTGTATTTTTCCACATCATTTCCACCAGTGAGATATCACCCGGTTACAGTACTTCACACTCAATTGATATCCGTAGAGGTGTAGAACCTTCTGTCATTTACAAGTATCAATATTCTGAAAAAGGTGTGAACCTTCTGTTACACTTTCTCCACACCTCTCCCCACATGTTCCCAACAAATACAACAAGTGACCCACATCGTACGGGACCATTCATTTCATTCAGCAAGGGATTCCTCCCCTCATTCGCATTCATCGTCATCGCTGGATTAAAATTTGCATATTTACTGATGTTCCAACTCATTGAATACAATACCGTACATCAGGAATTTTTGATTTACAATCATTTATTAGCAGAAAGGTAGATAACACGAATCCAAAGGGACCGCCACCGGAACAAACCAATTGCTCAGAGGAAATGTCCAACTTGGCGGATGCACTGCTCATCATGTTATTTTAGATTAATCCAATCGACAAATACAATAAATCGGTGTCTTCCGTTTACCGCAAAAGGTATTAGCCACGTCCATTCTCACTAAATCTATATCTACATTCCTTTGTACTGTCATGAGAAACTGCGAAAAACTTTGCTCCGGGGAAGCAAAGCGGCATAATTTTTTTGAAGGTCGGAAGGTCTAAGATCGCGAAAGATGTTAGTCGGACAGGTGTGATTGGCGGAGATCCGGATAAGAAAGGAAAGAATTCTTTTGGGAGGACTCGAAGAACATGGTGTTAGGTAGGGGTTCGTAGAATTCGGGGATGTGGAGAAATATTGAAAATTGAAAAACTGACTGTAGTCACCTGAAATTTTTTTGTCAAATTTGGAACATTTGTAATCTGCAGGGTGTATTCAAGTATTACACCAAAATCTCAACATCAATAACTCGTCTTTTAAAACTTCGGTTCCTGACACAGATATCGAAAGTGAAGGAAGTTGAATATGTTTATCGGCAACTTTTGTATCTTCCAGGAACGGAGATATCACTCTAATAGAGTTCAACTCAAATCTTCAATTTGAGCCCATATACCGTAAAACCTCTAATAGAACGACACCCGGATCGTCCACTTTGAGCCTATATATCTCATTTTCTGTGAAAGATATCAAAAAGTGGCTAACTAATAAAATGTTGCTGATATCCTGATAAACATTTTACTAGTTAACCACTTTTTGATATCTTTCAAAAGAAGTGAGATACATAGGCTCAAAGTGGACGATCCGGGTGTCGTTCTATTAGAGGTTTTACGGTATCTCTCACTTCCTTTGAAAAATATCAAAAAGTGGTTGACTGAAAAAATATTTTTGGTATTAGGATAGACATTTCGCTTTGGATGACCCTCTATCAGAGATTTTAGGGTAGTTTGTGTCAACATGAAGATATGCGAGGGCAGTCTATTAGGGAGAAGATTCTAATAAAGTTTTAAGAAAGAGTACCATATACTGCCTCCGTTGAAAAATGTGAACCTATTACAGTAGGTAATTTGAAAATATTTTCTTCCAAAAACTACAAGACAAGATCAACTTACTGCTTACATGATTTATCCGGTCACAAATGTTTACCACCTAATTACGTAATTATATACTAAGCATGATTAATGACTACTCGCTTCTGGTATCATTCTTTTGAGCAAATATTTCCGTTTTTTCGCAAGTTGACATGATTACGCAATTGAGATATTGATGTTGGGTAATATTTATGGAGAATATTGAAAATATGGAAAAATACAGAAAAATGTTTGAATCAATATTCTAAAAAGTTACCTGTGTCGATAATGAGGTATTTAAACACAGAATTATCGGCTCTATGAGCATGTGAAACCTGATAGTCGGTCGGCTTTTCCAAACACTGGCGGTAGACCATGTCCATGTCAAAAGAAACCGCTTTTGTCTGTTATCAATGCGCTAAAACTTTGAGCTGTGAACGCGCA